ACCGAACTCTACGGAAGGACAACTGTCGGGACGGGATGTCGGTCGGTTGTGCGCTCGTGCGTCTGGGGGGGTCGAGAACTGGTGAGCTGGACTCCCGATGCAGCATCTGGAAGCAGGAATATTATTCCACCGTTTGCTCTGCGGAAATTCGATTTTCTCCGACAGACACACTGGCCTCCGATGTGCATGCTCCTACGTTCGGACATCAGATCGCACTCGGATCCATCTGAGACTTTGGGCCTCCGGACGATCCAGTCATAACACGGACGCCGGGCCAGCATTCGCTGCAATGCGGCGTGCCAATCCCTCCCAAGCCCATCGTTCGACGTCGCAACAACTCGTGCGTGAGACGGTCCGCACACAGAAAGAGTTTAGGAGGTGGCTGTTGTCGAAGAACAACTCATCGTTTCCATTTTGAACGGGGCCGAGGAGAGCTACAAACATGGGGTCTGTTACGGATTTTGTTATTCTATGCAGCGCCAGCTATGATGTCCAGGAGACGAGCGGCTAGCAGGAGCGAACGGACGGGAGACAATCAGAACACGACATTTATCAGCATTTGTGCTGACTTTCTCTGGCGTCTCCTGCACCTGCGAACTGCTTGCCAGCTGCACACGCTAAGTCTCGTTCCGATTTTCGATACCTGTGAGCATTTTTTGTGAGCGAGTTGTTCGGAGGGCAAACTTAGCTTGTGCCTTCCCCGCTTGAACCGCTTGTATCACGGTTGACCTAGTCGCAGCGGGCAGCCAATTGGAAGGGCCGCAGTTTTGCTCGAATAACAGAATGAGGAAGGATAGCTCGTGACACGGGATCGGACGCGATGCCTAATCCAGCGGACACAGCATAATAATCGTCGATATGGGATATGATGGCGGTTAACGGGGGACAACGGTGAGGCCGAGAGCGACAAGAAAGAGCGGGCGGGGACTTTTGCAGCTCGCTCAGCCTTGCCGACAAACGCCGCAGTTGTAACTTGCGACTGCGGTGGGTGCGGGTGAGTAAATGTGGCCGGCCGGCGACGGTTGCCACGGCCAATTCCCGGCCACGAGTACGGCTGCGACGGCCACGGTGCACGCGCAGAACAAAATGCCCCTCCCCCCCATTTTCGAACCAGAGGGCATACGCCAGTTGAGACCGGTTTAAGGTTCTCACGCACGGTGGTGGTCACTTGAACACACGTTCTCTCTGGCTTCGAGTGAGGGGGAGTATCACCCAAGATGGATGTTCAGCTCGCGTACGACACTGGTCGAATTGGATTCCGCAGGCCGGAGAGATCGTCATCATACAGCGCCCACGATATTAGGTTTATGGGACGTGCGCAAGCTTAAGCGCATGGGTTGCTGGTGCAGCACACATCCATGCCCTTAGAGCTACGACAACATGCAACATCAAGCGCTGCCATTGGCTTCCTTTTTTAATCGCTATTTTGCTGCGACGGGCAATATTATTATTTTTATTTGCACGAAAATCCCCGCTTTCGAGACTCGCTTCAGCGAACCGAATTCGCTGATTATTGCAGTGGCCTCGACGACTCTACGCATGCCCTGAGAACCAATTGGACCAAGCCCCCACAATTGCTAGAATCACAGGTATTCACCATCCCCGTCGTATATCCCGCCACCACTCACGCAACGCCGGGTCCCAATCCGCTGCTGAGGATCCACCGCCGTCAATCGCTCAACCGCCCCCCGATTTATTAATCGAATCGAGAAAAATAATTTGGGAAAATAGATACAAAAGATAATGGATTTCAATGCTATTCGGCCAGAGTTATGTACGAAATACGGGTATGTCGACTGGGATGGCCCGCCCGCCGGAGGCAACGGCAAAGAGCCTCCAAGAGGCTACAGTTACATTGTACTTGCCGAGAGACATCAACGGCAGCTAGGGACAAGTAGGGAAGTACTGAGTCGAGGAAGTGCCGACTAATTGGCCCTGAAGCACAGACAGAACCGAACCCCCCCTCCACCGCCAGTGCCATCGAAATCGGCATCTCCCAGAGATCTAGAGTCCATTGGTCTCTACAGGCACACGGAGATATCAATCAGGGCATGCTGGTGGGGAAAGGCAGGAAGATGATGTTTCGATGAGTATTGAGCTGATCTACTGGCGGAGTACTGACGGTAGAGTATTCCTTACACTGCTGCTGCTCCGATTAATTGCTCTCTACACATCAGCATAGCAGCGACGATCTATCTATCTGTCTGCTGCGAAGTGCAGAAGATATTACTCTCATCTGGCATCAGCGGCGAGCGAATTGGTGGCGGGAGGCCATTGCTTTGCCTTCTGGCACACCGTCATTGTTCATTCCCCGGCCACGTCCTAATATCGGTATGTATTTGTCGCAGATGCATCATCATCGTTGTGGTTCTTGGTGTTGAGCAATCGGATTGGGAGGGGCCGGCGGGGGGGTGGGGGGGGGGGGGGGGGGACTTCTGGTGGGCAGGGTCCCCATACATAGAATCTTCTGTGGTGGCTACACCCAATACACCCAAACCACCAGTCTATCGTCGCGGTCGAGGCTGCTGTTAGCCCGTCGGCCATTGCGGGCAACAGCTACGTGGCATGGGGATGGATGGGGAACTGACTGACTGCGAGTGAGCGGTGTTTTGCAACGGGGAGTTGCGTTCTTTTTTTTTCCTTTCCACTATTGCCTCGACCACTTCCGGGCTCACCGAGTTCGGGGATTCGACGGGGACGTCAAGTGGTCACGATGGCGATTTGCCCCACGGACGGCGGCGGCGGATACGGACGAGCACGAGGAATTTTATTGTATTCGCGACAGTGGCGCGCTGGTCGCAACTGGCGGACGCCGGACGGTTCTGCTGCTGCTGCCCACGAGCTCCCTCGCAGTTTTGGCGGTTAGTTTCAAAAACCCTTCACATGTCACGCCCATGTCCGTGAGGGGTATACGTCGAGAGTCGAGATGATGGGGGGTGGACATGGGCGATGCAGTCGGCTGCATCGGGGTCTTAATATCATGTTTCCTGCAGATGCAAACATGGTAGTCATGTATGTGTGAGGATGTGTACATGCCTACCTAACGTATCTACTTTTCCAGCAGGCGGTGATAGGGTGTAGGTGGGTGTCTTGCCTACATGTAATGGTGACCCGAGATATGTATTGGAGATCCCTCAGGGAAGCGTGGATATGCGTGGGCTCAACGTCCAAGCGTATAATTATTATTGTTGTGGCTTCTCGCGGAGAATCCGGCGGCGGAGGAATAACAAGTACATACAGAGACAGGCGGCGGCGGCCATGGCAATGCCATGAAGTCGAAAAGAAAAGAAAAGAAAAGAAATAGCATCATGCGGGGCCGGGGCCGGGGAAGGACGAAAAAGGAAAAACGAAAGCCAAAAGGAATTCAAGCTCCAGCTCCTATGTACCTACTCTACGGTGTGAATGTATGATATGTACTGCCTCCACCGGTACATACAGACTCGGGGCTAGTTCGAATAGCTATCCAGCTCCGAGAACGCTTTGTTTCTTTACCTAAGGACTCAAGATAGAGCACTCTATCGAGCCTCTTGACCAGTACTTCCCATCCTTATCTCACGCTCCTCACTCTGCGCCATCGCAGATTTTGCGTGTGGCGGGAGCGGGGATCGACGGCAGACCAGAGAAGAGATTACCGCCAGAAGACGCGCAGCATAGTGGGGCTTGTTACCCGGCCCTTGGCGGAGCGCAGCCCGGCTAGACTACCAAAAATAGGCGGCTAACCCCTCCCTCCCTCCACTCCTCCCCTACCTTACTTTGCTCCCCTACCTCAGTCTTTGCCTTCCATCAGATCCAATGCCAGCGCACCCTGCATGCAGGCCGTTCGTCACTGCATCTCTTCAAGCTGCACATCTCATTCCCTAGTCCCAGTTCCCCGCTTGCCCCCCCCCCCCATCGAAAGAGAAGAGGAAAAAAATCCCCCCCCCCCCCCGCCCTCTGTTCGAACTGAACCCCACCGCCGCGACGAATCGAAGCAGGCCACGGATTACTACCGGCCAGTAGTGTCGTTTCGCGGCTCTCATTCGATGACAACGTGTTTTGGCAGGGGCCGACACTGGATGAACGAGGGGTAGAGCGAAGGGAGGGGGGAGGGCTCGAGGGCTTGAGGGCTTGACGGAGGGAGGGGGAGGGGCAGAGGCACGACACAGCAAACAAATGGTTTGACCGACGCGGGCCTACCGAGCGAGCTAATGGTACTGTACCTGCTAGCTATGCCATGTAGTATGAAGTACTTCGCTCACTACATACATACAAGTATGCCTACTACATACGTCTACATACATCATACCTGCCTGTCCTCTACCGTCTATCTATTGAGCGCCTCTCCGCGTTATGCTGTCCATGGTGGGCAGTTGACGCTCGGTTCACGGATGATGATGATCATGAATCAGCGGAATGGGAGGTGGTTGACGAGGTGGTTGAGGAGGACAGAGGGCGTCGGTCGTCGGCTACCTACGCGATGAGCGGGACCGATAGGACAATGGACTAGGATCTGTTCCGATGGGATGGAATGTTCGTAGCAGGGATTCGGGGTTGGTTGGTTGCTTTTCCAACGCCGTGACGCTGGTGGGCTGGTGGGCTGGTGGGCTGGTGGGCTGGCTGGTGGGCTGGTGGGCTGGCTGGTGGGCTGGTGGGCTGGCTGGTGGGCTGGATTATGTTTCGACGATGGCGGCGGTCCAGCGGGGGGAAGGGGTGGGGTGAATCGCTGTTGAAGCGCAGAGATGGCAGGCGGACAGCAGGCGCAAAAGTTTGGTCGAAGTCTCCGGTGTTTCTCTCTCCCACAGTACACTGCGGTGATCGGCCGAGTTGTGGGCGGCGTGCGGGCGGACAAGGTAGCGAGTGATAGTCCGTCCTCGTCCCCGACCGGCGTAGCTGCTGCGTGGTTTTTGTCATTGTCTCTTTCATGTTTCCCCGTCGACTTTCTGCTTTCTGCTTTCTTTTTTCTTATTTTCGCGGGGCATGCGCAGGATGGACGTCCGGACCGCAGGAGGCGGAGAGAACGTGGGGGATAGACGTTCGGAACGAATTGCGTCCTGGCCTTCTTTTTTTTTTGTTGGTCTACCTACCATCGCCGGCAGGATGCTGATAGGCGGTCGTCGCCATGGTTGATGAGGATGCCGCTTGGTGGGGAATGGGAAGGCCAGGGCAGGAAGCACAACATCCACCAGTCACGCATCTCCGGCACGTTTTTGGCCGGGGGGGTATAAGTCTTTTTCCTTTCTTTTTACGTGTTGTCTCTCTCTCTCTCTTCCTTTTCGCCTCAACCCTTTTATCCGATTTAATATTCCATTCTTTTTTTCCATTTCTTTTTTCTTTTGCATTTACGCCATTAACTCAGCGAGTATTCTCCAAAACCGCTTCTTACCCTTTCCCGCTCCTGCTGCAGCTGCTCTACTCTACTCCAGGGTAGGGTACATTTGCGTTTTTCGACTGCTGCTGCTCCTTGACTCGCCCGGGCGGGAGGTCACCACGCTCCCCGTATAACGGTCCTAGCCATCCCCTCCCCCCTCCCACCAATTCCTGCCTGTCCGTGTCTCACCTCCTCGGTTCTCGCATGGGATGGATGGATGCTGGGATGGATGAACTGATGATGCTATGATGCCGGACGGAGGAATGAGCTACCTTACCTTACCTTACCTCCCCAGCTATGTGGCTTGCTGCTTGCTTGCTGCTGTGTTTTCAAACTTTCCCACCCGCCAGCCGCCCTTCCTCTTCTTCTTTGTTGTCGTGGACAAGGCAGGGCCAGGACTCAGGACTCAGGACTCAGGAGGATCATTCCAAAAACAAAAATAAAAAATAAAAAGGGGATAGTGAGGCCGTTGTCGCTGTCGCTGTCGGCGTCGTTGTCGTTGCAGTGTGGATGTCTTCGTTGTTGTTGATGCTGTTGTTGACAGTTGTTGCTGTTGTTGTGTGCGCGTTAAGTGATGGATATCACAGGAAACCCTGTCGCCCAGTGCACTCGCTATGGTTGTGCACATCCCGGTGATGATGATGATGATGATGATGATGCTGCTGATGCTGATGCTGATGCTGCTGCTATTGTTGCTGCTGGTGGTGGTGGTGGTACTGGTGGTGATGGAGGTGGTGGAGGTGGTGGAGGTGGAGTGTGGTGGTTGTGATGATGATGATGATGATGATGATGATGATGACGGTGCAAACAAAGCCGCTAACTCCCTAGCCATGTACTTAGCTTACCGAGCGGCTTCATGAGAGACAAGCCCGCGCGAGAGTAGATGGCCGGGGTGGAGGGTGGAGGAGGGGTTACGTGGTGGTGGCTGCTGCTGCTGCCGTGAATCGGGACTTTTTTTTTGTTCCCTCCCCAAGATCTTGAGGACCGACTGACCGACGGAATGCTAGTTAGTACTGTACCGTACGTAGCCCTCGGCGGTCCAAACTGCCTAGAGCAGAGAAACTAGGGCAAAGACGATGGACGAGTGGTGTTGTGTTCCGGACGTGCCGCCGTGGATTATTCACATTCAACCTCAACCTCCACCTCCAAAGCAGCAGCTGGTCCCCCTCCTCAGTACTCCTCCTCCTCTTGCCTGCCTGCCTGCCTGCCGATATGTACGACCGATATGTACGAGTGCAGATGCACATTGCACATATGCCGGTGTAGGCAGGGTGGAGGTACATACATGCCTCGCCACACTCGAGCGCACATACTGGTTACTACTGCTACTGTTACTATTACTGCTGCTGCTAGTTACTACTACTATTACGATTACCGCTACTACTGCTACTACTACTCTACATACATGCGACCGTCCTGTCCCACTCGTGCTGCTCAACTTAGTACCCTATAGGTAATCCGCAACGCCAGCTGCTGCAGACCAGGAGGGAGGGACATGAGTGAAGCAGCTGCACAGAGAGAGCGAGAGTGAGTGAGGGGTGGAGAGAGTCGCGCGCTCGCTTGCTGGGCCACAGCTCGACCCCCTCTACTCTAGACCCGCAGCCCCACCGCCGCTCCCCTCGCCCCTCCCCTCCTGTCCGGAGTAGTCCTCAACGTACGTCCTCGTCCCATCCTCCCCCGCCGCCGCCAGTGGCTCAATGGCAGCAGCAGCAGTAGCAAGTGGCGATATGGTACCGGCAGTCCGAGCGCTCAGACTGGCGCTGGTATGTACATGGTACATCACTACTTGCAATTGCAGCCTGGCCCGATGGTGGGCCGTCGATAGCGCGCGCGGCGATGGCTGATGGCTGATGGAGGGGGCCCGCCGGCCCGTGACGATTGATTGCTTGATCCATTGATTGATCCATTGATTGATTGCGCGCGCGCGGGCGCGTTGGTGGTGTTTGTGAGCGGCGGAGACGTGTGACTTGCGATGTTGTGAGTGCGTGCGTTGCTTTTCTTGCCGTACTGGCCGTCCTGGCCCGACCGACTGCCTGCCCGCCCGCCAGCCTATCGGTATTTCTACGGAGTCGTCGAACTAGCTAACTGCCCAGTGCTCATTGTACACGGTACAGACCGTTTAACGATATGTGCTCGACCGCGGCTGGTGATTCGAAAAAGTCCGCTCCACGCCCGCAATAATCAGCGGCCACGGCATCCCTCACCACCCCATGGCCCATCGTTGGCCATCTGCCTGCCTACCTGCCTGCCTACCTACAGACCTACCTCCTACCTGCCTACCTGCCTGGCCAGGGCCCTCCCTGCCTGGCTGGCCTCCTCCTCCTCATCGTCCTCCTCCTCCTCCTGCTCCCCCCGTCCATCCTCTCCTCTCGCCATCCGTCGTCGTGTGTCTCTCTCTGTTCCCTGCCGATGCTGTCCGTCGCTGCTCTGTTCGGGTCGTGCATACTTGGGATTCGCACACCCAATACCGGCTGCATCTGGAATTGCTTGCCTCGTCCCCGACTATCCACTCCCTCCTGATCTGATCTCCCCTCCAACAACTGCGTTGCTCTGCGTTTGCTACCTCCACACCCAGTACTCTATTCTGGTACGGACCACAACTGTCCGCCCTTTCCTCTTCCTGTACATTGCTGCTTTATCTTCCGTATACTTCCCTGCCCTCCTCGTCCTCCTGCTCCTCGTCCTCCTGCTCCGCCTGCTTGCTGCTCTCCATCTCGCTCTCCCTCACCACCACCGCCAGCTACTGTTGTTCTCTAGCCCCACTACTGCTAACTCTCCCACAACCACCACTACCCCCCCTCCCGCATTCCGCTGTGTGATCACTCTCCTCAACCCTTCATCTTCCATCGTCAAAACCATACACAAACTCGTCCATCTATGCAGCCATCCTTGTCTCGTACATAGCCCTTCGAGCCTGCAGCCACTCCCCCCCTCCCACCCTCCCACCCTCATCCACTTCCCACCCTTACATCTTCCGCACTACCCACACCCCCCCCCCCCCCCCCCCCCCCCCAATTACGCCAGACGCACAATCTGCTGCTAGAAAAGGCAGAACTTGTTTCGTTTGGTCAGTCCAGCTCGGCCTCCCACCCACCCCCAACAAGTAGTTTCTGGCCCGTATCTCCATCTTCGGTCCCCAAAAAACCTCCTCCCACTTCGGTTGTTTCCGGTAGCCACTTCCAAACACCCTCCCTCCCACCCGCCCGCCCTGCCACCATCGATCTCTTCTAGCTGCTTAGTTATTGTGTCGTGGCAATAGCGGGGTAGCTGTGCTTCCATCTGATATCTGGTTCATCTGAAGTCTGGATATCTTTCGATATTCGATTACCTACAGTAAGTCACACACAATCAACCCCTCCTTCAACCCCACCACCACCACATCCTCCTCCACCACCACCACCTACACCCTCCTCCACCCGCCTCCTCCGCCTCCCCCACCGCCTGGTAGGTATAAGATGCCCTTTGGGCTTGCATCTTTCTGCCTCGACTGCTTTTTATCTTCCTTTCTTCTTCACAACACCCACCCACACCCACACTCAACATCAACATCATCAAACAACATCCCAACCACCATCCCAACACCATCCCAACACCATCCCAACACCTTGCTATGTGCCTTTGAGCTTCACGGAAAAGACTAACTCGCTGCCCTTGCCATCCACACGATAGACTTCAACTCTCCCTTCAATCCCAGCATCAATCAACAATGGCTTCAGCATCCTTCCCAACTTCGTCTTCGCGCGGTGTTACGAGACAGCTCCCTGCTCCCGCTCCGCTCTGCACGACACTACCTCCCATGCCATCGACGGGTCTGTACCAGGCTCGTCAACCATCGTTGTCGAACGAGTCATTGTATGCCCACACACAACACTATGCCCCAGACGCCTACTTCACGGCACCACACTCCAACCCTCCCTCGATGCCTTCGTCCACCGCGTCGACTCCCGCCCCCACATCGGCCCTAGGACGGGCAGATTCGCCCCAGCCTAGACGAAGCACCAGAGCGACCGCTACCAAGAGGGCTTCCATCTCCTCATTGCTTTCTTCGCCCGACAATTCGTCGGGCGCCGACAGCTCATCAGCGTCGTCGCCGCTGTACAATTGGTCGGGCAGTAGCTCGCCTACTACCGCTGGTACCACACGGAGCAATTCCGTGGTTAACACGCCAGTCAGCATTCCTACACCAGCTAGCGCCTGTTTCGGCCCAATCGATTACGATCTGTCTCGAGATATGTACGGCACCCAGGACGAGGACAACAAGCTGTACACGGTCGGAGCTGTGAGGTCCAAGAAGGGCAGAAAGTTTGTTTTTACCACATCCACATAACATTGAGTCTCCACATGCTGATTTTTTCCCCCTCGATAAAGCTCTCCTCGTACCGGTCCCAACGTCACGGAAGTCAATCGCGATGAATACGACGTCCTTGGTCGCAAGAAGTCAGTGCCTAGTTTTTCCAGTTGGCTCACGTGATCTGTACTAACAAATCATCCAGGCCCAAGACCCCACGAACTCCCATGTCATGGGACCCCAATGATGATATCCTCCTGAAGCAATTAAAGGAAGAGCAGAGGCTCGGATGGAAAGAAATCGCCACACACTGTAAGAACTTTTTTTCTTATTTTTATTTTCGGTGGTGTGAGAATTTGCCCGGCTAACATGCGTGTGCTCAGTTCGTGGCAGGACTTCCCATGCTTGTCAATTCCGATGGCGTCGCCTTGCATCTGGTCAGTTGAAATACTACCAGGGTCACCGCCGCCCTCCGCCAGTCACCACCACTTCCGCTTCTTTCGCCAATGAGATGGCCTCAACCGCCACTGCCGGCACCATTTCATCGAGCCCTAAGATTCTGATGAACTCACTTCACGGCACTTCGCCGTCCGCAACCACTCCGCGTGCACTTCATGCGATCCCGCACATGTCCCCGACTACGGAATCTGCACTTCCACCCATGCACCACAATCTCTATCAAGTTGTGCAGCCCAACTGGGGGCAGTCTGCCAGTCTCTTCCAACCGACCCCGCTTCCGTCGCCGACTTCGTATGCAGCCCGCTTCATGATCGAAGACCATCGGGAACCCCACAGCAACTGGTCCGAACAAGAGGATGACCTGTTGCTCAACCGCAAGCTCAGCTTCGATGAGGTCAACGTTTTGCTCGCCGGCAGAAGCGAGTCCGAGATCTGGAGCAGGATGGTCAAGCTCCGCGAGAACGAGATGACCCACAGGCAGGCCATGATGCCCATGCACTGCATGAGTGAGGTCCGCAGAGAAAGCTACGAGGAGAGAATTCCCGGCATTGGAAGCGTAGCCATGAGCTACCACACCGCCTCAAGGTGATGATGATGATGAGGAGGCATCCAAACGACAGAGCGCCCCTCTCTCTATCTCAGGGTCGGGGCTGAATGTTTTGACTCGATCTTTTTTTTTTTCTTTTTCATATTTCTTCCATCCTTTTCCATCACCTCACGACATCTCGATTTATTTCTATCCTATCTCCTTATCTTTTTGATGGGTTTTCTTACGGAGCATTTTACTTTGGGTGGCGGGGGGGTTATTTTTCTTTCTCCGAATTTCTGGAGGAGCTTCCGGATATGGTGTTGCTTGCTTGCTTTGTACTTTTTGGTGTTTTTTTTTTTGTTCCCTGCGCGATGGCTTTTTCCCTTCTGCGGGTCACACAGTCCTCACGACAGGGCAAGGGGTGTTGTGCACCTCATCGGATCTGATGTTTGGATCCGAGCGTGGACATGCCATTTCCGGCACCGATGATATTTCGACTTCTTCTGCTTCTTGTCTATGATTTCTGGGCACGTACCAACGGGTTTTCTCTTTTTTAATGGCTGGGGTCTGGGACTTCTTTCACGACTACCAACGACGAAACGACACTATGATGAGGACGGTCAACGACTATCACGATTACGAATTATTAACGACTCTGGGGGAGCTTTTGTTTTTGCGATTTTTTTTTTGAGCTGGAGTGTGTATATCTCCTTACGGTACTTTGGGTGGTGGAGGGTTGGGGGTTTGGGTATGGGGTGTTTGGGAACCGGCGGTCAGGCCTGGGGTTTGGGATGGAGTTTTTGCTTTTCGGGGTCTAACTTTCTTACGGGTTTGGGTGGGGGGTCCGGGTGGGGGAGGGGTTTTCATCAAAAGTTTTGGGTTGGCGAAGGGATTTATACGGGACTGTCTTGGGATAAAGATACAGGTTATAGGGATTATTGGGGGGGGGTATTTGGCAGGCATTTTAGAGAGGAGGATACGCCGAGTACATCTTGTGGAGGAACTGGGATCTTGGTGTACTCTAGAGAAGGAATCAATGGCTTGAATCGATTGATCTGATTGGGAAAGAATTGGCGGTGTCCTTCGAGGAGCGTGCTGCAAGTCTTGCCTGTTGCTTGCATACTTCATCTTGCGTTCATCTGTTTGTTCTCCCATCCACCCGTCCAGGTTTTGCCATGTGGTGGTGGTGGTGGTGGTGGTGGTGGTGGTGGTGGTGGTGGTGGTGGTGGTGGTGGTGGTTGTGCTTGCTGCTGCCATGCCATGCCATGGTGCTTTCGATGTGGGGTTGTCGATCCGTCGGTAAGTTTCCGCTTGGAAGAGACCGTTACGGGGGCGAAACGCATGGAGCGAAGCCTTCCAGAAGCCGCAATCCATACCCTCCACCCGGTGGCCGGGGGGGCACCACCACACCACATTTTCTGTCATTTTGAGGGAGGGGCAAACAGTCGCCATGACCGCAGTCTGCAGCCGCGACGGAGGAGTTCACGATCAGCTCTGCTGCAGCGTGGACCGTGGACCATGGCTAGAAGGCCAGCGCACGCACGCGCAGAGCCTGGCTTTTTCTTTTTCTACATGATGTATGTATGTAGGAGGCCTGGGGGCATGCATGCGTTTCTACTTGTACTCGTACAACGTCGTCGGTTCCCGTTGCTTTGATGGGCATGGGCATGGAGGAGTGCGTGGGTTCGTCTCGACTATCGATTGTCGGGATAAGTTGAGGGTGGATGGTGGAGGGTGGAGTGTCAGTGACGTCGGTTCCCGGGGGGGGGGGGGGGGGGCTCCTTGACGGTGGGCACTGGGATATAGTATGTACTGCGCAGTGCGTCTAGATCTCGACTGTGGATGCCCTTCCCGTGGGGAACTGGCGGGGGTAGGGCGGTTTGATGGGATGGCCCGTGGATGGGTGGAGTATGGGGGGTGTGCGAGCGGGTAGGGGCGGGGCAGGACAAACGGGCAAGTGGGCGGGGGCGGGGCGGGGCGGGGCGGGTGGAGGGGGGATGTCAATGGCGGATGTCAATGGCGGGTGTCAATGGCGGGTGTCAATGGCGGGTGTCAATGGCGGGTGTCAATGGCGGGTGTCAATGGCGGGTGTCAATGGCGGGTGGCCACTTGCGGCTAATAACTACTTCAGTCGACCCGCCCTTTGTGTGCGGGACTCCGGGAAGCGGGAGGCGACTACCTACGTCCTACTTTAGGTATCTACGCGGGTGTCGGCAGCGGTCAGCGGTCAGCTGTCACAGGTGGGAGGAATCTAGGTCTTTTGTGGCTTTGAAGTTTGTAGTATGTTTGTGGTACATAGGAGGTAGAAGTATGTAGAGTATGGTAGCTTGAGGGTAGTGTAGGTGTGTGGGTGTGGAATGTTTTCCCGTGAACAAGCAAGCAAGCAACGGCGGTGTACTGTACTCTGAAGTCAGTTCAAGCTACTGCGGCTCATCGAACCGCGCGCACGGCTTCAAAGAGCAGGGCTATAACTAGAGTACTGCACAGCTTTCGCTGGCGGCCCTGTAGGGCTCCATGGTACGCTTGTTGTCCACGCCTGCCAGCTCCCGCTCCTTAACTAACGGATTACGCAACCGAGTGATATTTGTGGATCTGAGGAAAAAGTGTCGCGTGTCCGCCCAGAACTCGATAATGATCGGATAAATGTGGGGAGCGTGGTATGGAAATAGAGTACGCCGATGGTTCCTGTCCTTCATATTAGATCAAGCAGAGCTAGATGTCAATAAAACATTCGTTTCGCTGTAGACCCTTAAGTATAGATACTGTTGGTTAACCGTTGATGTCATCAACTTGGCTTGCAGGGATGTCGAGGTGAGACAGCTGTAAGGGTGCACACTGCACCGAAGCCCAACCTCCACCCCCCACAGCCCTGAGCTCCATATTGCCCCGACGAACGCCATCCAACAGGGCGTCACCACGAAACAGCTACCTTCACGACTCGTTATCTACACCCCACCACCGTGCGGCAGAGCGGTTCTCCGTTCCGTTCGAAGACGGCCTCGACGACGACGACGAAGTGGCCGTGTCCTGCCGTCCCCGGGAGCTCGATCAAAAGGATGACTCCATCCACCATCCACCTTCTGACAGCATCGCTGCTGCTGCTGCTGCAACCTCTCGCCGACTCATGCGGTGTATTGTATTGTCCCCACCCTGGGGCTCCCTCGATAAGCATTACTAACATCGGAGCCTCACCTTTAGGGTCCACAACCAAATCGTGCACCGATCGGGGCACATATTCGCGCTGCCGAACTCGCTGCCGCAATTCCACGCGCCGCAGAAAGTATTTTCGCCGCTCGTCACCGCGGCCGCGAATGCGGCGTCGGTGCAGGCCGGCGCGTTCTTCCCCGACTGGGGGTACCAGTGTTTGCAGACCGACGAGCTCGCGGAGGCCGCGCACTGGCCGCCGTTCCTGATCGCCGCGGTTGAACATATCACGTCGAAATACGGGTTTCTCAACGGTACGGAGGCGGGAGGTACCGGAAGAACGCGCTCGCGGTCGGAGGATGAACAGAAGCATCTTGAGAGCTTGGTCGCGTTCGTGTTCGCCGTGGCGTCGCACCAGACCGCCGATGCGACGTGGCACGCGATCCGGTTGCCGACGGGGTTTTTGGCGGCGCTTGCGGGCATCGATTTTGGCGGAAATGTGGCCGAGGCGCATCAGACGCTCGATGTGGGCGGGGACTTCATTGCGGCGGCCAGGCTCGCGAGACTACCGCAGGAGTCCAGTGCGTGGATCGAGAATTCTTGGCAGATGCCTGTCGGTGATCTCGTCCAGATATATGAGCGCATGGGATTGAGGGTCAGTAAGTGGGGGCTCAGGTACTGCACTATGCGCGGACTGGCGGCACTGAGGAGTGAACTCGCGCTGGGTGGTAGGCTCTTTGAGAAGTTTGCGGCGACGTCGCCGATGCTGGTCGATGAGATGGATGGGTACTATCTGGGTGGCATCGACGAGATGACGGCGCGAACGGTCAACTGCTGGGCAAACTTGACGAGGTGGTTTTCTGACGGAATCAGCGAGGAGGATAAGTTGAGCGCAGGATGGAACATCTGTGATGTGTTTCAAGCCATTCGGGCCAGAGGAGGTGCTGGGAAAATGGCCCCGCCGCACACACATCAATTTCGACACAATATTCTGGATGACGACAGTTTGTATGCGGCTACATTGCGAGAGATGGAGGAAATGGATGTCAAGACCGACAGGTTTGGTGCGGAGACATTCAATCTTCCGCGAAAGCTTGAGCAAGTTCGAACACTTCCACGCCGACCGGCGGAAAAATATTCTCTACCTTTTGATGACCGAATCTACGTCGCAACATATGTGCCGTACGGACACATGGGTGCATCGATCTCCGCCGGGTACTTCTCGACTGATCCGGAGGAGCTGGCTTTTGCGGTTGGAGCACCATGGGAAAGTGAAGATTCGTCTCGACCTGGTGAGGGAAACGTTTACGTCATTCCGAATAGCTTCATTTCGGGCTCGCTTACTCAAAGCTCGACGCATAATTTACGCATCAACAGTACCCGCTCGAAAGGCTTGCACGATGCATCGTCGCTCACAGTAAGAGGAGTGGGCTCGTCTGTCGATCAGCGTTTCGGTACGGCATCAACCAGTTTGAAAGCGCTCAACCGCACATTTCTCGCCGTCTCCGCCCCGGGACCGTTAACGTGCGACGGCGCCCGTCCTCCTTCGCTCCCATTCCATCCGCAAGCCCTCGCTGGGCGCGTCGAACTTTTCATTCCTGGAGACGGCGAATCGCAATTCACGTTTTCGCGGCAGGGAGCGGAGCTGGGCTCGATCGGCACCCGTCAATGGGGCGATCACCTCTTATCGGCCGCGCTTCATCCGGATAGCGATGAGGAATTTCTGATTGTCTCGGCCTCTAGTTCCGACCGCGAACGAGCCTGCAATGGACGCGAGAGACCACAGTTCGGTGAAGGAGAAGTCGCCATCATTAGGCTTCGGTATGCTACCTCGGAGGACGACGTGGTCTCGGACAATCACAGGAGCCCACTTATCCTAGCACAACAGCACAACGCAATCAATAATACTTGCATTTCCGAGGATCGGATTGGCGTCACTAGTTGCTATTCTCTCCATGAGGCACGGGGTGAAGGGGTTGTTGCTGATATGTTTGGACTTTACTTGCCGGAATCGGAGAGAGATCGCATCCCGTGTGATCGCCAAACCACGTACGCACGATTTGGTACTTCCATCGCATTCTCGTCCGGCTCCAAGCTCCTCTGGATCTCAGCGCCCGGGAGAGGAAAGGTATTTGGCTACCGTTTCTCACCCGACGAGCCTGCCAAACTCGTTACCACTATCGCGGATGAGGACTTTGCGCTCCGTCCGCAACGTACCGGATTCGGCCATTCCCTTGCTACGGGAATGCTACCGGACGGCCGAGAATGGATCGCTGTTTCTGCGCCAAACGAGGAGGTGGATGATTCGAAGCAGGTTGGTGTGGTAAGGATATACCAGATTACTACAACAAGCACGGGAACTAACACGCCCGAAATCAAACTGGTTCACGAGGTTATCCCAAGTGATCCGGCGGGATACACCAAGTTTGGCCGCTCCCTGGCTGCCGACGCGGATAGTCGTCTGCTATGGATTGGAAGCGAATTCGCGGGCGAGGAGCGCGGCGCAGTGTGGGCAGTCGAGATCGGGAACGGTGAGATGCTGACAGGCCAGTCGACCGCGTCGACCGCACGCAGCTGGATGGAATTGGTGCTGAGCAAGCTTCCATTCCTTCCGCGGGACACGGAAGACGACAAGAGGATAAGGGCCAAAGTGGTATGGGAGGGTGCGGAGCCCGGCGAGCGGTTTGGCGCAACGATTGTAGCTGCCGCGGGTGATGTTGCGGTCGGTGTGCCGTTCGCGGGAATCGGGAAGGTCCCCCAGGAGGAGAACTTTTTTGGTGCTATGGCGGTTTTCAGGAGGAGGAAGGCGAACAGTGAGGAATTGTAGCTGTAGCTGTGGCTGTAGCTGCGTTGGTTTTCATTCTTATTTTTCTTGTTTTGCTGCTGCTGCTGCTTTTGGCTGGAATTTGGAATTTGGCATGGTTGTACGGTTGTGTGGTTGTATGGTTGTATGCGCATTCCCCCATGCATCTGAGGTTGTGGGGTTGGTTTTGTTTTTGGGACGCGTTCATGAGGTGGGTTGGATTCACGATTGTAAATATATGATGTTATGATGAGCTCGGCTTGGAGCTGCTACGAATTGATATCCTGTTGTTTATGTTTATCTTGTCGTCGGTGTTTATCAACCCGGACGAGGGACACCTAAGGAGGCATTGACTTTGACATCTTGCGTCTGGAGTTACAGGAATGACAGCTCTCCCATGCTGTCCGAACTGTTAGCTGCTTGGAATGCTGCACTCTTGGAAAAAAATGCAGCTAAATCAAGGAGGGCTTGGAAAATTGAAATGCTCGAGCCTCGGATCGCACTTTATCGCCCCATCAGATGACGCTTCCTATCATCAAATGCCGCCGGAAAGCGGGGTTGATCCTTCCAAGAGCAGGTACCTAAGACGGAGGAACATGGAAGGAGGGGTGGAAGGATATAACAGCCACTCAAATCCGCAGTTCCTCCAGCATCTGCTTCCTCAGTCAGTCCTTTCAGCCCGAAATCCATCGCCTTCCTTCCTCCAAGGTCCTCCAAGGCTCTAAGCAGGGCGCTTCACCGCGCCAATCACCCACCTTCTTTCGAAGGGTGATGGAGGCTACTAGACTACTAGTATTGTTCCACTGCTTTTTCTTGAATCCTACTTCGCTCTCACTCTCCGGCGGCGATGCTATACTCATAGTCACTCGGGCAGAAAATCCGCCGACTCGCCGACGGTGCGTCGGTGCCTTCGAAGGTCTGGTCCGGGGCTTCGTGCCGTATGTACCTACCCATGCTTTTTTCCGACTCGTCGCGAGATAGGTACTGACGCTTGCGTGCTGAAGATTCAACACGCCGGGAATGGGAATGTTCCAAGCGATGGCGGAGGACGCAGCTCGTCACTCGGAGTTGCAGCGCAACGTCGTACATCTCCACACTTACAAAAACGCGCCGTTCGCCGTTCGCCATTCGCCGTTCGCCATTCGCCGTTCGCCATTCGCCGTTCGCCATTCGCCGTTCGCCATTCGCCGTTCGCCATTCGCCATTCGCCGTCTTCCCTGCGCGCCCTGTCCTGGTACTGCGGCGAGAACTCCGCAGAGAGCAGCCAGCAGCAGGCCCGAAGATCGGCGGAGAGTAGCGACTCTTCAGGGCGCGGCCGCGCGTGACGTAGCCCGAGGGTCGAACATGTGCGCTCAGGGCAAACGAGAGCATCTGAATGACACATAGTAACCCCGAAGAGCCATCTTTCAAAGAATCGTAGATATCACTCGGCCCGATGGGAAGAGTCATTTACGCCCTGGAGCTCCCGCCCACCACCGCCCAGGCTTTTTATGGAGAGGTGGGAGCAGCTCAGCACAAGGGGAAAATGGTTTCCAAGTTGCGATCGAGCGCCTGGGGAAGAGGAACTTGGAAGGGGCTGGTAGAGAGGCGAGACGGAATCCCAGCAAGCTGGCCGGGCTGCTGGCGGAGGTTGCCAAGATATGTACAGAGACCGATTCTGATGGTGATGGTGATGGTGGTGCGGAGGGAGACACCGCAATTGTAGCCCGTACACAGCGCAATGCTCGACGCGAACGAAACGGCGGTCTGCCAACTGTTCACCATCCACCCCGTGACTGCTCCCAAACACCTGGTTATCCCCTCCGACGCCGGCAACACCTATCCGGGCTGCAACAACCTGGAGCGGTGCCGGTTGGCTGGTGATTTCTTTGGGGAGAGAACCTTTATTGCGCACTTGAGTCGACAGCAGTCTTTGCTGTGCTTCGCTGGGGCTGAGGGCAGTTGAGCATGGATGATAGCAGACATTTTTACTGCCTGGGGAAAATCAACCTCGGAAGAGGAGTGGGGAAATTCTGAATTCCCTAACCCTACATTTCCCCGGCCTACCCATCGTCGATCTGCCGTGCCAAAATCTGCAGTCAACCGTCAATCGTCAACCGCCGTCTTCCCGAGTCTTGGACAATGACTGTCTAAACCAAGCCGACTACCGTGTCCTACTCGATGAACCAATACAGCAGAAGCTGCTAAGCGGACAGTTCAGCAGAGACGCTTTTGATCATACAATGTGTCCTTGATAGAGGTGCCTAGACCGACAGGATCGCCTCCCCGGGCCGCCCGGTTCACCATCCGCAGTCTACCGAAAGCACCTATGAAAGAATTTGGGGGGTGTCCTACGTACACGGAAAAGCGGAGCATCTCGATCGATGGGCTTAGATAGTCGATTACCCCTAATCAAGTTCAATTCCCAGAGTGTCGCACGCCAGCTTCAAGTCCGACGGCGTGATTCTCCCACCGGAACTTCCCTCGGTGGAGCCAGTGCAGACGAACGATGATGCCCTGACGGCTTCTGTACGCTGGAGTATCCGTTGAAGGAAGAATGTTTCTCCAAGAAAAATTCGGAACACGCATAGGACTATGCAAAGTTTCATGGAGATGATTGAATCGCCAATCGAGTCCTACAAATCTACGATACCTTAAGGCCACAGCGGATGTCAGTCTGCTCCTATCTTCACGGAACACGTAGGAGTCCGTCTCTTGCGGTGTGAGGTCTCGCTGTCTCTTCTCCCACTCGTACTCTCGTTACGAACCCACGCAAAGGGGCCACCTTCGTCGCGACCGCCGCGTCCGCCGCCCACGGTGGCATCACCCGCAATCACCCTTCCGCTTTCGTGGCGGTATTCCTCCAAGCCGATAGAGCTGACCCCAGCTTCCAATCCGGCATCACGTACGGCCACGAGGTCTTCGACTTCACCGCGCCGCAGCACTTAACGCTGCTGGAAGAACCGCGTATACAGTCACTGTAACTATAGGCGGAAATAAGCATACTAGAGACGAAGACGGGAACGAAGCCGGGAACGAGACCCTGTTCGTTCTACCCACCTCAAAAAGGCGCAAGCCAAACGCGCCTACGAGCTCGTATCCGGAGAGCGTACAATACATAGGACGATGCTCGGTTCCTGGTTGTGAGGAGAATATTGGCGAGTCTAGGCCGGCGCAAGAGTGGAAGTGTTGGGGAGAATCACTCGGTCGTTTGGTCGCGTGGGAGTCACGGGGGTAGTCGACATGATATTTTTTCCCTCCCAACTATGGCGATGCCTCCTTCTGTGCCCATGCATGCCGCCGATATCTATTTTGTGATTTTCAGAGTATGAGACGTCCGGAAGCGGTCGATGACGGCCGCAGTGATGCTGGGAGAGTTGGCCGTCCGGAATGTCTCGCAGAAGGTCGCAGCTATGCTGGCAGTCTACAACAATGTCTTGGTCCGGCGAGACTGGAGGATAAGAGAAGATTATCAGCGATTACATCTTCTATTTGACATATTTTGTATCAGATCATCTGTAGTTACTTTGTTACTAGCATCGCCTTCAAGCCTAATCATCAGATACAAATTAGATATCGGTGACATGAGTGGTTACAGCAAAACACTCGTGTCGCTGATATCTAATTTGTATTTCATCATCTGTTTCGCTCACAAATAAAGCTCAGCCAACAGAAAACTGAAGAAACTGTTCCTGTGCCATCAGTCCGTGCGTCGGCTTATTGCCATCTCACCTCGTTCGGGCCCCTTGGTGGCCAGCAGCTCCCGTACAGCCCGTCTGGTAACCGTCTCCAATATTTTCTCATGGCAAGTTGCTCATCACCTTGGCGCTATGATTACCTCCACGGGGATTGCTTGCGTTTCAGAGTTGCCCGTGGCCCAGCCTTTCACCTTCTTCTTCTCCCCTTTCTTCTCTCCCCCAGTCTTTACAGAATGAAGCTTGCCAGCCTCGTTGCCTGGGAGCTTCGCTTTGCGCCTTGCCCTTATTGTCTGTCTGGGGTGGCGATGACCCATCAGCCTGGAGTGCATCAATATCGAGTTGGCGACGTGATCCTTCAGCTTCCTGGGGCGGTGAGATAAGCCTCAGCTTCCGCGAACCTGGTTCCGTCTTCGTTTGGAACCCTGGCTGAGTGCGGGGCATCCAGCACGGCACGGGTCACTGGTAGTTACACAAGTCCTTACGGTGTAACACTTTGTTCGGAAAAATGGTCCTATCGGGTGCCATGAGCCGCACGAATGACCGTGTTTGTTATTGACTGATTCGTCGAGGTACTGATTGGTTCCGACTCACACACGATACACCGTAGTCAGCCTCTTCGTTCCGATACAATCCCGCTCCTGATCTTGTCTGCACTCCCAAATGCTGCCTTCTGGCTCCTACTTCAAGATCGGAGTCGATGTCGGCGGAACAAACACAGATGCCGCCCTCCTCTCATTTTCTCCAGCCTCGAATGAGTTCGAGGTAGTATCGACTTACAAGGCCCCCACCGCGCTGTCCATCACCTCGGGAATCACCGCTGCAATCTCTTTTCTTCTCTCCACCACTGCAATTGATCGTTCCTGCATCCGGTCCATCACAGTCGGCACCACCGCTTTCGTGAACGCGCTCGTAGAGCGAGACATCGACGTGCTGGAACGAGTTGCTGTGCTTCGACTCTGCGGGCCCTACATCAAGGACATCCCGCCATTTGCTGCCTGGCCCGGTGAACTGCGCGTATGTTGCGACGGTGGATATACGGCCGTTGACGGTGGACTGGAGATTCACAGCGGCGCGATAGCGGAGTTGGATGAAGATACCATCTCTGCTGAAGCCAGACGGATGAGGGAATCCGGGATCAGACATGTTGCCGTGGTAGGCGTGTTTTCGCCGTTGGATAACGAAGGGGAACAGGAATACCGGGTTAGGGACATCTTCACGCAAGTGGCGCCGGAGATGATAGTAGTGTGTAGTCGGGACGTAGGGAACATTGGATTGTACGGTTCCGTGTCTTGTCCAGATTCTTGTTTTCTTACTGACTAGTTGTGGTGACAGTATCGAGCGTGAGAACGCAACGATACTCAATGCCTCACTCCATTCGATCGCGCTTCGTTTTGTCGGCGGGATCTCAACGGCGATGGAGGAGCTGAAACTACCTGCTACCGTTCAGCTCTTTCTGACGACAAACTCCGGCACACACTGCAGCGCCGAGGCAGCAAAGCAGTTACCCATCAAAACATTCACCTGCGGACCCACAAACTCCATGGCTGGGGCAGCTTTCCTGACCAGTAAACGCCCTCGTAAGGCGGACGAGCAGGTGGTAGTTGTGGACATCGGGGGTACCACCACCGACATCGGTTTCCTGCAACCGAACGGATTCCCGCGGCAAGCGCCGGCTTGCGTCGAGGTTGCTGGGGTTCGCACTACATTTCCAATGCCGGATGTGGCGACGCTTCCTCTGGGCGGCGGAACTATCGTCAAGGTCGACGAAGATGGTAAATGCGTTAAGGTGGGCCCGGAAAGTTTGGGGTATAGGATCGTCAAAGAATCCATACTCGCAGGTGGAACAACGATGACGGTGACTGATGTGGCCGTTGCCTCGGGTCTCGTCGCTTGTCCTTCGTACGGCGAAAAGGAACGCGTGCGGCTGATTCCGGGATGGGTCGTGGATCTGGTCAAGGAGCATATCCGGACGGTTCTAGCTACGGGAATTGACTCCATGAAGGCCACTCAGACCCCAGCAACCGTATTGTTGGCTGGGGGTGGCGCAATTATCGTGGACGAAGGGATCAAGGGAGGACTGAGCGGCATATGTGAGGTCATCGAAGTCCCATTTGCCGGTGCTGCCAATGCCGTTGGTGCAGCAGTTGCTCTGGTGGAAGGCCTTTTAGATACTCTAATCATCATGAAAGAAAGGGAAGAAGTAGTAGAAGACAGACTCAAAGCCGATGCAATACAGAAGGCGGTGGAAAATGGTGCCGAAAAATCCAAAACCCGAGTTGTGGCCGTCGAGAAAATCCAGTTACAATATGTGGAGCAAAAGGTTGTGCGTTTCATCGTTCGGGCAGTCGGTCCTCTTGATGCCAATGCTCCTCCCCCATCGATAGCTCAACCACCACTTATGTCGTCGAAAGTCCCTACCGTATCGCCCCAAAGGCTTCCATCCAAGCACAAGTTTACCAGCCTACTTTCATCCTCATTCTCAAATGGATCTGACCAGAATCCCGAATACTACACTCCGGACATCCATAGGAATATATGGTACCCATCAGCCCTGGATATCCACTTTATTTCGACTGGCTGCGGAATATTAGGCTGCGGCGGTGGTGGCTCAACTTACGTCTCCCTCCTCCGGACTCTATCATTATTCTCCAGTCTTCCTCCCAGAAGCCTGCGGATAATCTCACCAGCTTCCGTCGATGACTCTAGATACTTTCTCTTTGGCTCGCACTACGGGGCTCCCAGCGTCTCGGCCGAGAGGATTCAAGACGCAGCTGAGGTCTCAAGGGCCCAGCAAGCAGCCGTCCAGGCTGCCGGCATATCTTGGGGGAATGTCTCTGGTTACATAACCGACGAGATCGGCGGTGGGAACGGGCTGATGGGACTTACCGCCGCCTGCGTCAACCCTCATCTCCCAGTGATAGACTGTGATGCCATGGGCCGAGCATTTCCGAGTATCGAGCACGCGACGCCGTATCTCGCGGGCTGCCAGGTGCAGCCTGTTGGTGTTTCAGTAGGCGATAAAAACGTATTTGCCATCTCAGACGCCTCTACAACTGCGGACCTGGAAAAGGCGCTCAGGCAGCTGAGTATCGACAATGGAATGGCCATGTCCATTTCTCCGCGGCCATTGACCGGAAGGGAAGTTAAGGATACTATGGTGTTACATTCGCTATCTAAGGCGTGGTATATTGGCCGTGCCATTGGGAACTACCATGGTGGTAGCGTGCTTGATGCTTTGGTATGTACCTTCCTTTTTCACTCGGTATTAGCGAATCATACCAGCTGATATTCTGCAGTTCAAATGTACCGCCATGCGCCTAGTGTATACCGGCAAAGTTGTCCGCGTAACAACCAGCATCACCGACGGCTACAACATCGGCACGATCCTCCTAAGTCCTCTACCCTCTACCACCACAATACAGCCCCTCGTCCCACCCGCCTACCACCTAAAAATCCCATTCCAAAATGAATTCCTCTACGCCTCCCTTTTCGATCCCAATTCTCCATCTGACGACCAGAAAGAGATAATAGTGGCAGTACCAGACCTGCTCACGCTCTTGGACGTCACGGACGGCAGCGCGATTGCGAGCACAGAGTTGAAGTATGGGCTTCGCGTACACGTGGTTGCCATGCCGGCGGACAAGAGGTGGAAGACTCCCGAGGGGTTGAAGAAAGGTGGGTTGGGGTGGTTCGGGGTTCGGGGTAAGGCAACGTTCGAGTGGCCTAGTGATGAGGATGGGATGGGTGGGAAGGTAAAGAGTATTTTTGAGGAATTTGGGAGATAAGGGCGTGCGCTCGCTAGTTACGCGTGGTGTCGTTTAGGTTCGATGGCTGGGGTTTTTCTGGTTTCGTGTCATTGAATTCGATCTTTTCTAGTCAAGGCTGCTATCGTGCACCTTATCCCGTCCCCTCCACATCGTACTTGACTTCTGCATTATGTTCTGAGGATTTGCTAGTAGTGTACTCGATAGATATCACTCGCTCCTTCTACCATCTGCCAAGGACGTAAATAAGAAAATACGTACCCTATAGAGGCATACGATATCATTACTGAGATTACTCCGGACATGCTGTTATTATTATTGTTGCTGCTGCGTAGAGACAACGTACTCACAATCATGCTAGTAACTATCATTCCGTAGCAGGTCCGCAATCAAACGAATTCGTATTTGATATATGCAGTAGAGAGATAGTATCGCCACGGCATTTCGAATATATTATAGTAACTTAGTAATACAAATTCATTGGAATGGAGTGGTTAAGTGACTGCTGACAGATTGATAAAACTGCTGCGCCCCCGCCAACCAACGGCATTCATGTGAATGCCCAACCTCGCAAATACCGACACACTTCGGTAGATCTGCCGTACTTTTTGATCGACATATCCGTGAGGATGAGCACCTTCCGTGAGTACGCACTCTTCCTTTAATGCATTCCATACTCAGCCGTCCTATTTATGCATTGTAAGCTCCACTGCGCATTATATATAATATGGTAGCACCACCGTCGCCAAAAGCACCCGTTTTTTTGCCAGAGTAATAAATCGCAGTTTCGTCCCAACAATCCTCGCCTCCACACGGATCACCTCTGGCTAGCGAAGATCAGGACTTACCATAGGTACTATGGAAAAAAAGGGGTGTTTTACGCAACAGTAAGTTTTCCACCACTAGACGAGTGACATCACATGTGGGGTTGTAGGGACGAGACTGGATAAATGCCAACCGATCTCGTTTAATTTACGTACCGTTGCCAAGCCCACTTCAAAGCTTCGTGAGATTCAACCCTTTCAAATAACCATGTGAAAATGTGCATCTCAAACAAGTCAACACAATTCAATATCCATATATGAACTTATTCAAAGAATCGCGACCACTCCCACCGATTCTAAAAAGAGGCTATGATGTTACTAAAATCAGGCCAGAGAATTATGAAGAGCGCAAATCTCATTCAAGCCGGAGAAGTGTCCTCCTCCTGATAAAAACCGCTCCTTTTCCTGCTCCTCCTCTCGTTCTCACTCCACACTTGCACAGTTCAAAGCAACTTCGGAATACTTTCATATAAACGATACTCACGAGTACGAAATCAACAATTACACGAACACTACTTCAAAAATAACAACCACAGACACGTCTTCGCAATCTCTACTTCAGAGAATATCACTTAAGTCCCAAACTACCCAGAACCAGTGACAAGCAAGTAAAATGTCACCCCCCGCCGACCTCCCCGCCAACCACAAAAGCTACTACGAGCCGAATGGGCATTTCATGCTCCGCATGAGGGACAACACGTACACGGACCTCGGGTTCGTGCCAGCCGACCAGCGCCACCTCACTCTCACCGAGCTGCTAGCTGCGCGGCAAGCATACGCCAACCGGACGGCGCAGGAAGCGGGGCGCGCCTACAACAATTATGTGGCGACCAGCGGCAACGAGGACCGAGCGCGGGCGGTAGGGTATGAAGCGTACCTGCGCAACAATGCCGATAGAGCCGCCGGGAGGCGCCCGCTGTGGCTGGCGGCACCGGATGTAAGCTCTCCCCATGGTTTGCATGACCGATAAGATGGGCAAGTATGCTGATGGGGAATAGTACGATGAGGAGCGTGCGAGAGTGAGGGACTGGAATCCGCCTGCTGGCGGGGGCTATCCGCAGGCGGGACAATACTACAATCCTGGCCAATACGAATATCCCGCTCAGGCGGCTGGCCAATATGAATATCCCGTTCAGGCGGCTGGCCAAAACTACTACTATCCCGCTCAGGGAGCTGGCCAATACTACTACCCTCCCGCTCAGGCGGCTGGCCAATACAACCCTCCCGCTCCACCGCCCCGGAACGCGCCCGGAGAAGCACGACAGCCGCAACAGCAGGGAGTCCAGACACAAGGACTTTATCCTGACGCTGCTTTCGTATACGATCCCCTGACTGGCAGCTACAGGCCACAGGGAGCAGCCGGGCGGCAACCGCCAGAGGGAAACGGGGCGCAACAGCCGCCAAGAGCCGATTCTCAGGATGATGGGAGGATTCCTGATGGATATTTTACGATGTATCGGCATCCTGATGGTGAATATAGGCTGCATCCGCCACCGGGCGGGCTCCACTAACCGAGGATGGACCGTTTCTCCAGTTCAATAATTTTTAGTCACTCCCCTAGGGATTTGAGCTTGGTAGTTTTCTGTTTTCGTTAGATAATTTATTTCATGCAACGCTGGAAATGGATGGATGTCATCTTCAATTATGTTTTCAAAATTCGAGGTTCACTCTTTTCATGCGGTTAGATAGCACAGCCAATTTCAGAAAAGTGTATACCATCATATCCCACTCTGAAACAGTTAACCATGTCACCATGTTTTTCAGGTACGGTTTCCCATTCGATACCTATGCCGACCACGCCATCATTCTCAGAGTTCCCGGCCGGTTTCCTCCATCATGCAACATACCTACCTAGGCAAAAGCACCTTTCATGTCTATGATATGTCAGTCGTGACCATATATTAAAAATCGGATGGATTGACTTGAGCTCACAAAAACCGTGACAAGGAGTGATTTCGCACTTGATATGTGTGATGTAAGCACAGGTATTGTCAGAATCAGGTCCGATCAGTGTAGCCCACCACTCAGGTCCATCCACCAGTGGGTAATGCCATTCAAGCCTCGGAGACCAAACCGTGAAGGTCGTTTTGAAAAAGGGCTCGGGTTTCTTAGGATTTCTCGCCCCCAACGGCACAAGAATCAACCCAAGAAATGGATTAACGTATTCATTGAGAAGCCCGAGTAGGTCCACTTGCTTATCATAGCCATAGATGCGCATGAAGAGGCAGCGGTTCTTGGGGCGGGAAATCCCGTCGGCGATGTCCAAACGGATGATGAAGTCGCAGGCATTATAAGGGGCGTTGAACGGAGACTCAATTGGGGCGGAGCGGCCGGGGAAACTCTCCATGTTGATGGCGGAGTCCATGACTACGTCCCAAAGATGCACCATCCCATCGGACAATGAAGTTGGTTTCTTCAAATTTGGAGAAGACTCGAAACATTCAGGAAGGAGCCGTTGAATTGTTTCCGTAAGAAGCTGTAACGCATCCATCAATTCGAGTTCTAACAGCTAGAGGGAATACCTAGGTTCAACCGACCCTATTTTGCGTGTCCTCTGTGCGAACGAGGAACCGCCGTGGCTCCGCAGATAGAGACTTGCGAAGCGTCATCCGAACAAATCCAGCCGCGTTGATGGTCGCCCGACGTTCATTCGAGATCATATTGATAGCGGGAGAGTCCTTCGACTCGCGGAAGTACTTGGTGTGTGCGCCTATTACTGTGAGCGCGGTGCGAAGCTTGGGCTCCTCGTTATGTAGGATGACCTCGTCTGTCTTTTCGAACATCATCGTAACCAGCATTGAGGGAAGTTTGCACAAATCTTCAAAGTCCGTCAGACGATCGACATGGTACATCTTACCATTCACGCGGACTGCGACGTCGCGTGCCGCCTGGAAGCTGCGGTTGTGGGTTAAGATCTCGCGGAACGTCTGCGAACAGGTGTCAGTAAATGCCATCAAACTTTGCTCTGCCGGTACAAACCATTAAGTTGATGCTGAAGATAGACAATTCGTTCATGGCTTTGTCCCATCGCAAGGCGAGCTTACAATTGCCTAGTTTCAAGTCCTCCTCGGCAGATTTCACCGGAACTGTCTTCTCCTCAGATGCCATCTGAACTGCCTTCTGCTTGACCTCTTTACCCTTCCGGCTCCCAGTTGGTATGTTTTCTGTTGGTGGTTGACGAGAGATGGAAGGGATACGGTGATTATCGGCGAACGAGAGACGCAGGGCAGCGAATCTCATGTACCGGATTACCGTAAAGTATGAGGCGTGACGGTAAATTGTCACGTCACAGTGTAAGTCTTGACGGTAACGTTACTGTGTGTCGCGTCACGCACGTGACTGATTTGTGACTGGCCCCTTGAAAGAACGGAGAGAGTGAATACCAGCCCACCAGCCACCCACCAGCCACCACTGGCCGTCTTGGCAATAACGTTGCCGTCACGACTCATGCTTTACTGTCACATTAGTTACGTGACATTAGATACGTGACATGACATGTAACGTTACAGCCGGTATCAAACTTCAAACTTCAAACGGTTGCGGCTATGTAAAAATAGAACCTGGACCTACCACTAACTAGACTCTAACTACTAGGTACTCTAGTTAGAGTTAGTACACAAGCGGCCATACCCACAAACATGTGAACTTTGAAGCTGTGAACTTTGAAGCCGTCATCACGCACTCGAAACGCAGACTTCTTGTGGGTCCAAGCTGTTTGTTTCGTCTCGGAACGGGTCGATCGGGACATTCACCGTGTTGTGTCGATACACAACCGCTGGAGATCAGCAGCTTGCTGATCGCTGACGTTCAGCCGCAGCTGTCGCTGCCGTGTCGCACTGCATGCGATAGGCTGAGCTGAGGAGCTAAACACGCATTCTGGTTGCGAACGTCCAGGAACTCATCTGCTTGCATCGATAGTTCGAGTATAAAGTGTTGTGATCACCCAGGCCAACGCCATCGACTGCAACAGCACCGTGAAACTCGCCGCGCAATACCCCACCCCACTACCAATACCCTTCGACCAACCACAGCCAACGGATTAGCAGACGGAAGCAACCATGGACGTCGCGTCGGGTCCATCGCCAACGACAAACAGCACAAACCGCTCCCCCGCGCCCTTCCGCTTCCCATCGACCTCGCTCCTCTTCACCGACACGATTCTCCTCTTCCGCAACTTCGCCTACCTCCCCTACATCATCTTCCCTTTGAACACGTCCAACCCTCGCGGCGAGTTGTACCTCTGGTCGCCGGGGAACATCTTCACTCTACTAGTCCACGTCATTTTCGTCGCCGTCGGCATTTTGGGGTTCGGATTGATACCACTATGGTTGCAGTGGCCTGGCGCGATGTGGTTGCTGTTTGCGGCGGGGTATGGCGCGGTTGTGTGGGCGCTCGCATGGATACTTAACCAAGCGCCCGAGGGCGAGCTGATCGAGAGCCAGCCCACGATCGACGAGGTGCCCGGCGAGAAGTGGGTTTTCGTAAACGGCGTTATGGCGGGGAGGTGAGTACGCGCGCGCTTGGTGGGGTCGCATATCGGTGGCTAAACACGCGTAGGTGGTGGGCGCAGAGCGCAATCGATGAGCTTCAGCGACGGTTCGGGCGGCCCATAGACGCGATTCACAACCGCACGTCCGTTTCCCCTTCGCACCGAACACCGGAATTCTTGCTGATAGAAGCAGATACGGCGTGGTGCTGGATATCTTTCAGTGCCTTATTCAGCGCGACCTGGGACTCACCAGCGGCTGCGTCAGAAACACGTACAAGCAACTTCGGACCAATCTCCTAATGCGAGATCCCAAGAACCGGGAGGAATGGAGGTACAAGAAGGTCGTGGTCATTGCGCATAGTCAGGGAGCGTTGGTAACGTCGTTGGCATTGGACATGCTGTATGCGGACGTGGCGGACGAAGTACTGCAGCGCCTTGAGGTGTATGTACTCGACCGCATCCCTTCGCGGGGTCTCAGTGCGTCAGTTAGTTTCTGACTTCAGCAGCTACACCTTCGGTTGTGCAGCCAATCACTTCAATAACCCGCCAAACACGTACACGCCCAAGTCGGGTGGTAAGGCCATTCGCTTCCCGACGATCAAACACATCGAGCACTACGGCAACGGTAAGCATCCTCATCAGGACTACCCCCAAGACACGGCAATTCTAACCCCACCATTCCCCAGAATACGACTTCGTCAGTCGCTTTGGCGTCCTCGCCTATCATCCAGGGCCGCGCGCCCGTCAAGACAACACGGAAGCTGACTTCCTCGAATGGTCCCTCAGCGGCCGCCCACACGTCGCAGACGATGCCTACCATGGCTCGGGTATGGAAGACAACCAGTTCGCGGGAAAACTGTTTATGCGTCCTGGAAAAGGCGGACACCAGTTCGTGATGCATTATCTGGACGAGATGTTCAACGTCGGCGAAGAGGGGAAGCCCGTGTTTGTGCCCGTCAATGCGACTGAGGATGCCGCCGATGGCAGGAGCGATGCGAAAGGTGTACTCATCGACGCGGGCCAGGAGGGAGTGATCAAGAAGACGGATTTGGAGGAAACTTCGAGGTTGTGGAGTTACCGCGGTGGCACGGTGCTGAAAGATTGAACGAGTAGGCAGTGATCTGTGCATGATGTCAAGTATGATACCCTGGATTATGGAGACGGCGGTTTTGGAGATGCAACTAGATTTCATTGTTTCAAGATGAGCTGGAGCGCACGGTTGTTGTCGTCTAGATTTTATTATGTAACGCCTTGAAAGTGCTGACGAGCCGGAGAATAAGCCGCTTGAGGGCATGTGCATTGCCCCGATGGTTTCGTCTGCCGATGACAACATGACACGTGCAAGAAGCCATTGCACGTGAGTCGGTTTCCAGCCGATCACTCTTGGGGATCCACTCGTGACCAAAGTGCTGAAATCGGGAAACGTCCAGACTGGCTAAATCTAGCCAAGATCCTGAAAAGCCCCTCGTTGAGGACTGTACTATGATACTAGGATACTAGGTGCTTGAATCCATCGGCCGAGTGACGATGTGCGTGCCGTAGACGCGCTTAGCGGTGTCACAATCAGCCGTTCGTTGTGCGATTAAGCGCTTCTCTCGTGTGGCCGCTGAGTCAACGCCAAATGAAGGCCAAATTCAGCCGCTGACAGGGCCCGACGCGATGTCGAGAAAATCTTTCCCATAAGAAGCCGAAAGAGTGCAAAGGTTTCGGCCGAGTCAAGCAAGCGGTAGTTACTCTACTATCATACCATCGAGACACCTGACGTGCTCCTACACCAATAACTATCGGTAGAGTGAATGGCATTAACCTAGGATGGCGGCCTGGGAGTTCCTTGTCGCGCGCAAACATACAGTAACACCGCTTCGTGGGCGTGATCTCATATGTGGACGCCAGCTTTGCGGACACAACCTCGAGCCCTCTGCATGCCATTGATTGAAATTGTCCCCGCAGCGATGGTGGGGCCGGGAGGGTGGCCTAAATACCACCTATGTCAACATGCACATGCCGGTCACCGCATATGTGGAACGGGGAAGTATCATATGTAGGCACATAATCCGACGCCGAGATTCTCCTACATGCGATTCTCCTACATACGATGCCGATGCCTTATAACACATCACGAGCCAGGTTTCCACCACCGCCCTCCCGGTTTACCAGGGGAGGACGCGCTTCAATGACACATCGCCGTGCAGCGGGAAAGGCCCACCACGGTACCACCACCACTACTACCGTCACGGTTATGTCGATAATCTTCTGCCAGCAGCTTGCAAATCAGGGCATCTAACTTAGTTAGCGCGCCAGTCTTCAGGCATACGTCGCGGGTTGCCTTGTCGTATACACAGTTGCCGACGATGTGGATAAGGCCCTGTCCGTAAATCTCGCCCGGCCGTAACCTTCAAACCGGCCTACATACGATTTACGACGACGGCTTTTTTTTGTTTCAATGCTGCATGCTGTTGCCTAGAATTCGAACCCGTCGATGGTTCTCTCTCGCTTTTAGGGGGCCTGTGAGGCTGAAACGAGTGCACAACTGCCGGATGAAAAGCTCGGGTTGAATCTCATCAGGCCAAAAAATACGTAAAAATTGTGAGCCTAAACCTCCCCAGAACAATAGATCAACTCACGGCAGTCTTCAGCCGGGATTCCTCCTAATCTCTGCGTAAAATCTTTGTGCCACGATGTCGCGATGTTGTTGAAGGTGGGGGATGGTTAAGTATCCTTGCCTACATCCTACATGACGACAGGATTTCCCCGTGGTCGTGTGGTACATGTCTGTATGTAGCCTGTAGGCACCGCATCCCGACCAGCTTATGTAAACATATCAGAGTTTGGCCGGTATGGCGGATGGGCGGTGATCGATGACATAACCTCTATTCTACTCTACTCGAGTACCAGGTATGAGGTATGTCGTCTGCCACCACCATGAGAGGAGCAAATGTAGATGGAGGAGCTGATAAGATAGGAGGAGGAGAGGCTATTCTGGATCCGAATGGTGGTGTCAACTGGACTAGCCGGATCGAGTGACACCGAACGTTGTAGGCAGCGGAGGAGAGCCAACTTAGATAGCTCTTCAATACAACCTCAACCTCTTCATCCCTCCTCACTTCCAGGGTTATGTCAACCTACTCCAGAGTACCTACCGGTATTCATTCACCTCCACGCAACGCAACCAAACGTAACGCCTCCCAACGCACCCCAACGCAATCCAACACGACGAGACGACACAGCTCCGGAACCGGAACGACACTTCTGCACTTGTACTGCAAGCCTTTTTTCCGGACCTCTTTCTCGAAGATATTCCGCTGATCGGCCGGCCTGGATGACGGTTTGTCCGCGCGGCGGTAATCTCGGTACCTAAGGCCTCAATCAAATGCGCAGTGGGCGCACCGAAGCTGCAGGAAAGACGAACCTACTCTACCTAACGTACGATCTGCAACCTTTCTTTTCTAATCTCAATGTACCATACGAACGATGTGCTGACGCTCGGGTGTATAGTATTACTATACCTAGTAATCGTGAGGCCCACTCTCCTCGTGGGCTACTACTCTATGCTATGCAAACTTTCGGCGGATGGTTTCACACCCGCAAGAACTTGAGCACAGCGGGTGACAGACTATGATCTGCACTGCAAGTCTGCAAGTCCAGACCTCTGCATAGGCCGCAAAGCCGGCAGTGAAAGTGGAGACGATATTTTTTCAAGCTAGTCATGTTCTGCTTCCCTCCCGATAGTTATATCGATCCGCACCGAGACGGTGGCGTTCACCATGCACCCACCGGCACGAATACAAACGCGCAGCATTTCGGACCCCACTAGCTACAAGCCCAAAGTGCGAACTAGGTACCTTTTCTGACCGGTCTGCGCGATTCCAGGTACATACATAAGCAACTACTAGGTAGGTAACGGGGTGAGGGGGGGACACCGCAACGTGAACGCGCACCTGCAAAGTTTTTGCTTCGAACACACATCCTCTCCTCCTTCCCAGTCACGTTGTGTGGTTTCCACCTCCCCCGTCGATAGGTATGTAGTAGTGGAAATTCCCCCCTCGGATTTCCTCGCTCTAGTGCGGTGGAGTCGATCAGTCAGTCACCGCGAGCACTGTTGCCTACAACCGTAGGCATCGGTGCTGATGCATGCATATCACGGATTTCGCGAGAGCGAGCTCACTGTCATTCTTTATGCAGGAATAGGGAGACAGAGAGAGAACTACGCCGCACGGCTACCGACGCACAGACTAGTTATCTAGCGGCGTGTTCGCAGTTTGTCCTTCACAATTGGACCGCTAAGCGCCCGGCCGCGGAAAAAGTAACGGCCTGCGGCCGAAAAGAAATCACTCTACCGAATGATGCTGTGTGCTTGCGGGTGCCCCGTTCACACGCACACATCGTGGATCTGGACTGTGAGGTTGCCCGTCCCGTCGCCCCACCGGGTGCCACAGGGCTTCGATACAGACACCGAAAACTCACCGACCCGGCTGGGCCAATCCCCTGCTCCAAGTCAAAAGCTACCTATGGTAACGAATGGGCTAGCCGGCCAGTCGCAAAAGTGCTCAGCACTACGGTAGTTATGTACCTAGCTTGCTGAAGTGATATCCACAAATACGCGGCCAGGTATGTATGTCGGTAACAATGCATTACATTTATGGGTATTGAGACTCCCGCTGACAACGTTAGGGCTAGCTAGTACTACTGTCCGAAACAACAATACGGACTATAGTAGTAGCCTGCAGAGGAGACACCGAGTCAATCCTGCCACTGGTCGATAGTGGCATGTCAATCGTTTCTGGCGCGGTGCATGACAGATCGGATGCTGTTAAGGGGGGCGGGGTAATCGGTGAAGTTTTCAACTGCCCCTCATCAGAAGATTTGGATCCGTTGCGGTGTACTCGGGGGCGAAACCTCGGAAACGATATTACAATCATGCTGGGTTGGCTTCGAGCACCGCAGCTCATTCCTACGACCGCAGATCATTTGCATACAATACCGATGTGGGATGAAATCATTAAAATGCTAATTCGGGGAAGATGCGGGGGGCTCATATGGACGAATCGTTCTACATGTTGTGAGTTAGTGGTTTTTGATGGAATGCTGATCCACGACCATGTGCTTTCGAAGCTCATTGTATTCGCTGACCTCGATAGGTACGTACGTACGTACTATACTGAGTGAAACTGTCCTGGGGGGATGGGGAGGGGTGAAGGGGGGAGAGGTGAATGGCCTCGGTACGGGGACGCCGCCGCCCGAGTAGCATGAAAGACTGCATGGCAACCACATGTTTCGTCCATACGTTGAGCCGGCGCAGCAAGTAAGCATGCTTCTCTCGCTCCCAAACGGAATCCCAATCCATACCAATGGATGTCCTCCACACCAACCAGCAGCAGCACAAGCGGTTGCAATTCAAATTTTCGCCTTGTTTCTCACGCTTCATCTTAGCCGCATGCAGATGCACGGTCTTTGGCTGCGAACGTGTGGGGGAATCGAATTGGCCTCGTCAGCGAGCATCCGCTGTAGGGAATCGGCTTATCGCTCACCCTACTCTACCATGCGGTGGTTGTCGGGTTGCGGGCCCTCTGGTTCGTCGAGACTGGCATCAGGTGCTGACGGGCAGCCACACCCGTCGTCGTCCAGGCTCACGTACCTATAGTATGGTATAGGCCACGCATCCATCAGCTGTAGGAAGATGCTGTTTCGGCATTGAGAACAAGCGATTCCGGGGATTCGTGGTCGCGCATAGCCGTGAGACTGGGAGGCGGGAGAGATCATCCGCGTGCGCTGCAGACTGGACCGAACCAACTGCTACTGCTGCTACAGCTGATGCTACGGCTGCTTCTGATGCTACTGCTGTTGCTGCGGACTGGCCCCACCGCGACCATAGGTAAGTAGGTGGTTATGCCTCACGGAGGATCGACCGTACCACCCCACTCATCCCAGAGCTAGGTATCCCTCCTGCCCCTCGACTCACCCTCCCTACCCGGTTATGCTGAGGGGGCGGGAGGCAAGGTGTTTCAACGGGTACAATGGAGAATGGACGGCAAACATGCGGAGTGCTCGCATTGCGTTGGTGTCCGCCAAGGTGGGGAAGTAGTCGAAAACCCACAATAAAAATCGTGCCAAGGCACCCTGCAGGACGATGCCACTTCTGGATACGCTGAAAGCAGGATCCCTCAAAGCGCACCTTTACGTGGATGCCGTTGGTAGGGGCGAGATTGTGGGAATCTGGGAGATGGTGGTGAGGAACCTTTGCCGTTATTTACATCCGTCTGCCTCATCCTGAACTCTCGAGCCTCCCGCGTTCAAGCGTGGTTTGGATTCCCCGGCCCTTCCAGCATGATTTCCTGCACTGGATCTGAAGAGATGAGGATGGACCGACGAATCAGAACTGACCGGACCACGAAACGAAAGCTTGTGAAAGGGCTTGCGTTGGCCGTGCAGCCTTCGGATCCCGCACGAAAGGACGGATACACTTTGAGCCTGTGCTGCCGGTCTAGTGCTGCCGGTCTGGTGCTGCTATTCTGGTGGAAGGGGGAATTTTTTTTCCTTCTTCAACGCTGCCATCAAGTTTCCCACTTCATGCCTGATCGCAGATCGCAGATCGGTATGTTTTGGCTCTTTTTCCTGCAGCATCTCCAACAAACCATGAAGTTGGTGCTCCGAAGATGGGACATCAGGAAGGGGACAGCAAGCTCCCCCCTCCTCCAGCGAGATGAACGGCTGACCTTGAACGTACGTTCTGCCATCTAGCGCCCTCTCCGGCTGGGGCGCATCTCCTGAAAGGTATCGATGCTGTTCGAAAATACTTGGGAGCCCCCCCTCCCAGTCGAGACTCGGGAGTATCTTGCTTAACGTCACTGGCTGAAGGTCCGTGTTGCTTTTGCACGCCCTTCCCTTCATTATCTGGCCCCACCGAGCGTGATGGTGGCGGAGTTAAAGGTACCTACGTTACGGTTATAATATCATACCATATGGTTAGTACATCACTGGCCGTCCGTTCCCTTGCGTCCGGGACTTGTCATATGACTGCGGCGGTCGTCGCATCGCGTCCTGCGACGTCCACGACCGTACAGACGGTCCAGACTCGATCTACTGCACTGCACTGCACTCTACAGTCATGCACAGCGCTGCACGGATACCGCCCAGACGGTGACAGAGCGCAAGGCGTCAGAATGGCGGCAATACCTACATTGCCTGCCGGTGCCGCAACCCCCCTCCCCCCCCTCCTCCCCCCCTCCCTTCCAACAACCACCCCCGCGCCTCGCGACCAACAAGTTGGGTACACTACAGCGCACCTAGCCTGTAGATCCAAACGTATCCGTCCCGTGGATTCGGTTCTTGACGCCGCTTGAACTGGTATTCCACGGCTCGCTGGCTGGGCGGGGGGCGGGGGGCCCGGGGGTACGGTGCGGCTGGGCTGAGCTGGGCTGCGACTTCCATCACATTCCATCCCCGTCGATAATTATGCGCTGAGTCCCCTCTGCCCAGCCCAACCCGCCTCTCCAGACGTCTGGCCGGTCCTCGATGTAACCGACGCGATGTTGGAACTTGGCCCTTAGGGGGCTAAGTAACTTCATACTTATATAGCTGTGCGCGCTGCGCCAGGAACCATGCGCGTGCTTGGGGGAACGGACTCCCGGAGGCTTCAGTCCGCACCCAGTGGGGTTAGGAGCGAATCCTGAATTCCGAGGTCGTCACGGCGATCGCGATGAGAGGCATGGACCGGCGATCTTCAGCTCTAGTATGGGAGAGACTGGAGACGTCTACGACATGAAACTAAGGTTGATGATACTTTAAACGTGTTGCCGACTGATTTCGGTCGCTTGTGGGTATTTTGTACGGTAGCCACGTCTCAGACCCCACGACACTCAACGGCTTTCCCATTGGTGTCACTTGCTCCGGCCGGTGTCATCGTCCTACCCATCCATTGGCACCGCTAAAGGGCTCGTGGGCGCCCTCAGGACTATGCACATATCTGGAAGATTCGTTCGTTGCTCATCCCCATCCTAAATTGATATATATGAAAGATGACAAAGCTTATGTTGATGCTAATTGTCGGTGATGGAAAAGGGCGAAATCGGCATTGAGAACATCGCAAAAAAAAAAGAAAAACAGAGTAAGAAAAACCAAAGAACGCCCAACGCCCCATGCCAAAGAAAAACACACACATTAAGTTACAAGATTAATCCGCTATATCACCAGCCAATGACAGAAAGTCGAAAGACAAAAGTATCTTTCAGCCCAAAAACCTGCCATGCATGCATGAAGCCAAACAAGCGAACAGCCCATCGCAACTGTCCGGAGATTCCCATGTTCCCACACCTTGAAAAAAGATCCTCTATTTGCTGATCGGGACAAACCCCGATGCTGATCTTCTCTCACCGTACTGTCGTTTTCTGAGCGTTTCTGACTCGGACGCCGTCACAACGGGCGCAGATGTGGCTCTTGGCGTCACCATGTGGTGGTGCATATCGAAGGGACTGCCAGTCGTGGGACGCCCACCGAGCCCGCCACTAACACATCCAGCCGACATCCTCCTGCTATCGGACTCGAGCAAACGGAACTTCTCGCCGATCTTCTCCAGTTTGGCCTTGAGCTCACCGTTGTCGTTCTCCGTCGTCGAAACCCGGTGCTTCAACGCCTCGTTCTCTCGCCGAAGCTCCTCCATCCGCTTCGACAACCATTCGATCGTTGCCGCACTCTCCTCCCGCGAAACGGGGAATTGCCCGCCACCGTGAGGACCCGATCGGTCCTCCAAACGCATCCGAACGCCCTGCATCTCGTCTATTGCGTAATCGAGTTGCGCCACTAATCCATGCTCTGTAGCTAGCAGTAGTTCCGAAGAGTGGGCCGAGTTGTGGTGTTTGGGCGCAGTGGTGCCGCTACCCGGTGATGTCCGTGAATGTTTGCTTTTCTCCGCTGCCGCCATTGCCACCGCCGCCGCCGCCGCGCTACTGGACCCTCTGTACAGATATGACGGTGGTGCCGACTCGTCGTTCAAGAGATCTCGGATTAAAAGCTTTGGTGATGGCCTGGGGGGCGATGAAACCAGCCGTGCCAGCTCTCGCCGCCCAAGATCCGGCGAGGGAACTGATGAAGAGGAAGTGGTGTCATCATCGGACTGCGAAGTTGCTCTGGACCTACCAGAAAGCGATGAAGCCGTCTGATGGCCGCCGTATTGGTGATGGTGCGGCACGACGTGGTGAGTGTGCGGCGACCACATTGCCGGTCCAGGATCGATCCCGTTGCCGCCATGATGTCCATGTCCAAATCTCGAGTAGTCATCGTTGCCTCGCGGGTCCTCGAGATCCTTTGAAGAACGCGAAGCCACCTGCGAGGCTTCAAAGTTCTCCATGATGCGTACCCGGTCCTCAGAGGGAATGTAGTCGCACGTCCGGATATGCCTCTGCATATTCGAGCTTCGGCCGGATATCGCTTCTACCCTATCAAACGCTACATTGTACCAAACCGACGAATGATCAGCCTTTCGTTGTCTAGGATATTTTTCGGATAGTAACCGCCTCCCGCGATTGCATCATTGCTTCTTCCTCGCTCGATTGACCATGGTGAAGGTGGTGGGTAGATGATGCCTTGCTTACCCTGGCGGTATTTCCACTCGTCCCAGCCCTCGACGAAGTCGGTAGCGTCGAATGCGGTGCGGGCGTCTCGCGACCTGTCGAGATCCTCCATGGCCTTGTGGATGCAGCGCCGGCAGTACGCCTTCTTGTGCTTGGTGTTGAAATACTTCTTGTGGCGGTCATAGTGCTCCAGGTATTCGTCCCACAGCGTGGACTTGTTGTGCGGTCTCATCGGGCTTTGGCTTTGGTTGGAACTTCTTCTCCCCGGCGTGGCTTGCTGGCTGGCTGCTGATGCTGCTTCGAGTTTTTTTCGGCGATGCCCGAATATATGTACCGGGTTGCTGTGCTTTTCCGATTGGACCGCGTGCGTAACGTGCTTGGGTAGCTGGGTTGGCCGCCTGAGAACGTGAGAACTGGCTGCCTGCTGAGGGCCTAAATCCGGAATATCAATCCCTTGGAGAGGCTTCCACTACACGTAGTGCCGCGAGCAATATCGTGATGTGAGAGGGTCCGGAGAAGGAATTCCAAATTCTAATAGGTTGTTGGCTTGGAGTGGTGTATCAGGGAAGGATATACTGGGGAGGTGAGGAGGGGGGGTGTGTGGTGTGTGAGGGGGGAGAAGAGGTTGAATGGAGCTTGGTGACCAGGTGTAATGTGTGCGGCCGAAGAATGAAGGATCCGATACATATTTGTAGGACTCGGGTTTAGCACACTATGGCAGTGCCGATGAAATTGTTGTTATTGGCTGCTAGGGTGATCGAGGGGGAGGGGGGTGGCCGGTCAGCGGCGAAAGCTCGCCCCCCCCCCCCCCCCCCCCCCCCCAGTTCTCTCTCTCCCTCCCCCCTCTGCCCCTCTAACTCTTCCTTCCCCCTCCCCATACCCTCGATCTTCATACATCCCTCCCTCCCTCCCTCCCCCCTACCATGTGCTGTCAGGCGTCGAACTCTCCATCGATCATAATCAGAGCAACAGCGGTACACGACGTTCGGGGAGGATACCTTTGCGCATCCATGAATTCCCACATACCCATATGCCCATGGCCCTTTCATCCATCGATTCCCACTTGCAAGTTACTAACTACTTCATGCGTCATGCTCCTACAGCAGACGCTAAGCAACTTCTGTTTGTTGCGCAGCACCCGGTGAACGCATAGCATAGGCTCCATATTACAGGTGGGGCTTGAATTCCTGCCTGTGGGTGGTGGTGGTGGTGGTGGTGGTGGTGGACCGGTGGTGGTGTTGGATCGAAGTACGGTACTAGTAGGTAAGAAAGCGTGCAGGGAAAAGGGATGTAGGTATGGAGGTACTCGATATCACCTAGGTAAGTAGGAGGTAGGTAAGGTATGAATGTACGCAGCACTGACTGACTGGGTGTGCGAGCAGGCAAAACACCTAGGGAAGTACGTACTTCGTACCTATCGCAAGCTTAGGATCGGATAGCTCGCCGTGGCGCTTCTTCGTGCCTTCGCCGTGTGGCGCTAGACGGGGCCTACGGTAGGTATCTTGCGTCTCTGGTGGATGCCTACGCAACGGGGGTACTCCACCACTTCCTCCACCTCCTGCTTCTCCACATCCTCCACATCCTCCTCCCCCTCCTCTTCCTCTTCCTTCACCGAGAAAGCAACCATCAACACGAGCGAATGTAGGCACGAGGCACGGGGCACAGAGGACTGGGGACGGGGCACGGAGGACGAGGGGGGGGGCGGATTCTGGAAGAAAGGGAAACAAGCGGTTGTCCGTCGGCAGAATAGGCAGGACCAGGGGACACTTTCGCAGCAGGCGTGCGGCACCACCACCACCACCGCCGGTGACACAGCCCTACGAAGCGGCAAGGTGGAAGGGAGGGTACTCATCAAAATCCCTACGGATAAGCAACTTGCAGTTGCGGTTCCTCCGCCGGCCGTTGGAGGGAGTGATGTGATGGGATGGAGAAAAATAAATAATCGGACACTAACCGAGGAATCAATCTGCCAGACCGGACCTGTGGCAGCTACAGTACCTACTCTACGTAAGTAATTACTTACATACCTCCAGCTCACCGTCGTGATGGTGAGAATACTCGATCCGATCAATCCTGAGCTGTTGGTGCTCCCTTCCGTCCCACTATGTTCCGCAGCCTCCACCGAGTGCCCATAGGGCTTGGGGGCCCCGGGCCCCCACTTGTTCGTTCGGACGTCTTGACCGGGTCCGCATACATTTTCCACCTACCTAACTCCTACTTCCCTACCTACATACCTGAGTCTTTTCTTTCTTGCTACTGCTCGCCGCAGCCAGCCAGTCAGCCCAGCTTCTAACGAAAAGAAAAAAGAAAAAAAAGGAAGAAGGAAGAAGAAAAAAACAAATGGGAAAGAGTCGCGTATGGGATTGCATGCGCAGTTAGATACTATCTTTTACTTTTATCTCCATAAAACTGGGAGGTCGGGCATGGCAGGGCAGAGCATGGCAGGGCAAGACAGGGGGCTTTTGGGGTGTTGCGAAGGAGGGTAGGGTAGCAATTGCCCACAAATAAGCGCCGGTTCGGTGGGCCTTCCCTCCTGCACAGGCGCGAGCAGCCTGGGGGGGGCTGCGGAAAAGACTCCTCCCCCTCGGAGGGCTGCCTACATTCAGGCTGCCTATCGACCATAGTAATTGGCCCTTCGGCAATAGTTTTGCTCACTGAAGCCTGAAGCCTGAAGCGAGAATGCGGAGTCATCTCACGGCATACCTGTTACATATGATGCCTACGGTGCCTCCGACGGCCACCGGAGGGCAGATGCAACCAGGGGGGAGGGGGGCGGGAAAAGGAAACGCTGTGCTGTGATGTGCGGTGCAGTGATACGATGTGCGGTGTTGTGATGTGCTGTGATGAACTGTGATGAGCTGTGCTCTGCTGCTGCGCTGTGATGTGCTCCGCTGTGCTATGTAGGCTGAGCTGTACCATGCTGAGCTGTACTGATTCAGTAACCGATTCGATGTTGATCCGCAATCCCCAGGTACCCGCAGAATCGCAGGGCTCAGTCGACTTCCTCACCCACTCCGATGCGGCCAGCGGCGCCGCGCCTGTAGGCTGTAGTGCCCTACCAGGTAGATACGCGTAAGCTTCGGCAGAATCGAACGCACTGTGCACTATCGGCTCGCCTCGCCTCCCAGAGTCGCAGCCAATAGCCCCACAGGCGCGCGCGGATCGGGGCGGCGCGGGAAAGACGGGATGGGCGGGACGGGGCGAGGGCAGATGTTGACAACTTGACAGCGGAATAGTTGACAGCGGGAAATCGAGCAGCTCAAGGACAAGTGCGATGGGCGATCGATTGCTGAACACCAGTGACACCACCACCACTACTACTTCGTGCCATCGACGCCAGAGCAGTAGAGGATGTAGGGCAGTAGTTTCTCTAGCTCCTACATACCGCCCCATCCATCCATCCAGCCATCCATCCATCCAGCCATCCATCCAACCATTCCGCGGTTGTGAGGTCATGCGGTAGCTCCGATTCATTCTGGATCCGCAGCCCGCTTGGCGGCCGTTGATGATTCGATTCGAGGGCTTTCTTTTTGGCTCTCTTTTAGCGCTGCGCTGCTGCTGCTGCTGCGGGCCTACGGCGGCGGCGGGGATGCCGTAGATATGATGATAGATAGATATCATACTTTGTATCATACATACAGGTAGACCGTAGATGCGATTTAGTGCGTACGGTTGTTTGAACTTTGGTGGCACATAGCACAGGATAAGGTATGAGGTATGTAAGGTATGTAGGATCCATGTGCATACATACAGTAGAGTACCTCAGAACCTAAGAGAGCTTTGCGCGGTGCCACGACGTTCAATGGCCCGTCGCCTACTCTACACTCACTCACGGCTGCGACGCCAGGCTTACACCCCCATCCCACCCCCAGGATATCCATCCGACGCTTTTTTTCTCCTCACTCCCCTCCCCACTAGCTGAAGCCATACTCTACATACGCATCATTTCCCGTGAGTGAATAGGTACCTAGTACCTACTACGAATGGAGCAATGTTAGCGCGACCCGCATCGATTGGTGCCAGCGCTTGGCAAGCCAGGAAGCAAGCAAGCCACACCGAGCACTAAACTCGTACCTATGGGCGGAAGCGGATTTGGGTGCGTGGTGGTTGAGCGAACCGGGAAAATCCACCGGGCGTGATGGTTCCAGCCGTTAGAACTGCCTGGTTGTCACTAAGGACGCCTCAACTCGACGGATTGGCCCAGGCGGCGGCGGGCGGCGGGAAGCGTGCGGTTGCACTCATTGAGGTTGGGGACGGCAGGGAGCGCATGCACTGTGTGTGGCGTCACGCGTGAACAGCACCATAGCCGGCCGTGAAAAGCGTGAAAGCGTGTGAAAGCGTGTGAAAGGGGCCGCGCCGCCGCGCTGGACATGCCTACAGAGTAGTTAGAGTACTCTACGCCCGGCAGAGCTAACCGCCGCCCGCATACGGCAATCATCACCTGAGAATTAATCCATCCACCTACAGCTGGGCTGGGGTGGGATGGGATGCGGTGGGATGGATGCGGTGGGATGGGTGGGACGCATCCTGGCTGCCGATCCCGATGGCCAGCAGTGTGTCGACTCTGGATTTCGACACCCCCCCCTCCGGCACGGTTGTTTTTTTCTTCTTGCTTTCGGGCTCGGATGTTAACGAGATAAACGATCGTTCACTTGCTACATAATCGGGCAATCGTAAGTCTTTCTGACAGGTGGCGAGAGAAAAAGAAAGCCGACAACTGCCTACGGACTCTTTCGGTTTCTCTCTCGTACCCTCAAAGAACCAGGTTTCTCACACTAACTAGACATCCGCCTACTACTATGGTACCTATTATGTACATACTACAGACATTGGATTCTCCCGGCTATAGGAAGCTCACAGCCAGAACTGCGGACTCCGGACGTATCGCCGTCTCTGCCTCTCTATTGCAGCACGCGCCTTCCTTCCGTCACTTCCTAGCCTTCCGAGTGGTCCGTCCCATAGAGAAGCTCGGCTTCCGTTCGCCGTTGAACTGTGAACCTGCATGATGGATCCCATGCGCGGGCCCGACCAAATCTCGGTACCTAGGCGACGTCCATAGTAGTAGAAACTACTATATGATAACACTGGGTATCCATACGGATTGCACAGATGCGTCCATAAAAACCAGGCTCCACAGCGATACATGTGCTATCCTGCTATCTGTAAACGATTGCCGATCGCGGTTGAAATCGATGTTTCACGATCCCACCCTGGTTTACTCAAGGAGCTGTCGTGGTTGCCGATTCGAAGCGCGCGAAACAGCCGGCCACGCTTCCAGCGGCACCTCCCATATTGACGCCAATCAACCGCCGAACGCAATTTCGACAGCTGCGAGTTCCGCTTCCAGGCTGTTGTGGCTGTCAGTTACCGTATGCAACAAAGAGGCAGAATACTTCCCCAACCGGCTCTTAGCGACATCACGCTCGTAGGGATCTGCGGATGTCAAATTCCCCGCTCCTGGCCTCTTTGCAGCTTTTCGGACAAACCCCGAGCGAGAGAGCCAACTGGACTGGACGCGTGGCCCCCCGTCCATGTGTTCCTGAAACAAGCTTCGACATGCCATCTCGGATGCCTACAGCCTTGTCTCCGCCTACTTGCCCCCGCAAACTTTGCCCGTCTTTCCGATCCCTATATTGCTTTATAGTGAATGGCTGCGTTTAACCAGATTGCCCTGGGCAGACACGGTCGGGACAGGACTCCGGAGCCCGGACCCCCCCCCCCGGCAGGTACTGACACTTTCCGAAGAGATATTTTGCCGATATGCCTTTCATTCTAGATGAACAGCGTAGGAACGAGGGGAAAAAACGCGTATAAATACGTGACGCATTGCATTGGTCTGTGCCGCATCGGAAGTCTTTCGACATCATCTTCGTCTTCGTCTTCGCCGTCGTCCTGCAGAATGTATACCTCTCTGGCTTTGGCATTGTCCCTCAGCTCCTGCCTGTTGGCGGGCGCTCAAGCGCAAACTACTGTTGCGGCTTGGAACCAATGTGTATGATTTATATCCCCCGGTTGCTATCCGCGCGGCTTTTTCGTCTGCTGACACGTCGTCCGGTGTGTAGGGCGGCCTCCAATACACCGGCTCCACGATATGTGTTAGCGGTTCCGGATGCGTCAAGCTGAATGGTGAGCTGAGGACCTTATCTTCGAGCGCGCCGGATAGAACAGCTACTGACCGACGGTGTGTGTGCGTTGCGTAGACTACTATTCGCAGTGCCAGCCTGGTGCCGCGACGGTAACGTCGGCGGTTTCGTCATCAACCACTGTCGTTCCGTCAGTCAGCTCGTCGACTATTACTACCAGTGCTGCCTCCACTACTTCACCTGGACTTCACACGCTCGCCAAAGCAAAGGGGTTGGTGTACTTTGGAAGCGCAACCGACAACGGTAGGCGACGTTCCTTATTCTGAGCGCGGTGGATGACCCGACCAGAATTTCTGCTTACTTTTTATTAGGGGAGCTGACCGATGCACCCTATAAGGCAATCCTCAGCGACAATTCCGAATTCGGTCAGCTCACACCGGGAAACTCGCAGAAGTGGGATGCTACCGAGGGGACCCGCGGTACCTTCACCTTCACCCGCGGCGATGAAATCGTTGCACTGGCGAAGGCGAACGGCCAGCTCGTTCGCGGACAGTAAGTCATCCGTCTGCCCCCATGACCCTGACCCCACACTCCTGAGCGGCGGTTAACGAGAATATCTTTCAGCACGTTGGTTTGGCACTCGCAGCTTCCGTCATGGTAGGACAACTAACCGTGGATGTGCTCCCCCACCCTGCAACCGAGAGCTGACAACATCTAGGGTATCGAGCGGTGGCTTCGATAATGCCACTCTGATTTCGATTATGGAGAACCATGTCACGCAGGTGGCCACACACTACAAAGGCCAGATATATGCTGTACTAGATACCCTCCCCTCATGCTTCCACCCCTCGCACTTGGACGCAGTAGACACAAGTGCCATCTGCTGACCGACTCGTTCTGCAAGTGGGATGTGCTCAACGAAATCTTCAACGAAGATGGGACCTTCCGGGAGTCGGGTAAGCGCTTCCCCTCCCCATCTCCGCCGCAACCATCCAGCCTACCGTACGTATCTGACTCGCTGATCCCCCTTCGTAGTATTCTACACCACCATAGGCGAAGCATACGTTGCGATAGCCTTGCGCGCGGCGCGCGCAGCCGATCCCGATGCGAAGCTGTACATCAACGACTACAACGTCGACGGCACCGGTGCAAAGTCCACCGCCATGTACAACCTTGTGGCTAAGCTCATTGCCCAAGGCGTGCCGATTGACGGCATCGGTATTCAGGCCCACCTAATCTCAGGATCGGTACCGAGTACGCTCCAGGCAAACTGGGAACAATTTGCGAGGTTTGTGCCACTACCCCTGGCTGTCCAACCATACCATGGACCTTTGTCTCTCTACTTCTCTCTCTCTCTCTCTCTCCACAGAAAGCTAATATCGCCATCATGATTGCAGCCTCGGTGTCGATGTTGCCCTGACCGAGGTAGACATCAGGATTACCCTTCCGACCACGGATGCGAAACTGGCACAGCAGGCTACCGACTATAAGAATGTTGTTGCCGCGTGCGTGGCGATCCCCAAGTGCATAGGCATCAGTGAGGATTCCCTGCGGCCTTTTTGCTTCCCCCTCTTCTCCATTTCCGAGTGACCGGCAGTGCTGATGTGATTAATTTTCAACTCGTCCAATAGCCATCTGGGATTACACCGATGTAAGTATTTCGGTCCGGGCCGATGAGAAAAGCTTGGCATGGTGTACTGACGGGTTTCGCAACAGAAATACTCCTGGATCCCGTCCGTGTTCAGTACCCAAGGAGCAGCCCTGCCATGGGACGAAAACCTGGTGAAGAAGGTGCGCGTTCAAGTGGCGGGACCACATATCCCCATCCCCCATACCCATACCCATACCCATCCCCACCATCCATCTCGCTCTCGCTCTCGATTACTGATGTGTACCACAGCCAGCTTACGCTGCTATTGCGGAAGCTCTCGCCTGAGCAAGCAGCAGGTGGCACCGAGACGCCGCTGCAGCAGCACTATAGTAGCTGGTTTACTCTGCTGCATACCTACTTCCTTCATACCCACTGTACTTCTAGAAAGAAACCGAAATGAGAAGGAAAAAAATCATCCGATGCAGGCCGCGCGGTATCTACCGTAACGCAACGCAACATTTTGCCTGGCGAGAGTCTTCCGGCGTGTGTGAGGGATCCTGGTCGAGTCGAGTCGTAGGACCAGGTATGTAGGAATACGTAGAGTAGATACCGCGGTTCGGTTTGTAATCGTGGCAGCGTTTGCTACCTGCAACCCCCCGTGCCTTGCGCAAAAAGAGAACCGCTGTTGCCGCAAACCCGCTGCTTTCGCATGAGCTCCATTTGATGACGCCGCGATATTTACCATATTAGTTAGTACCTACGCTGGACCAAGACGTCATAGATACCGCACGGGCCACGGCCGTCGGCGTCCACCGTTCGGGGAGGGATGTGCTGGTGATGGTACCGTATCTATGCAACGGTACCGACTTCCTACGGATCTTTTCACATACATATTCGCGGCCATGTCCGGCTCCGGCTCCGGCGCCGGCTCCGACTGCGCATCCTGTCCAGTGTCTACCACCGTCATCCCTAGCCTCCCGTTCGAACTGACCATTCCGCCCCGACCCGTCCCGTAGCAGGTATCTCGACAAATCGCAAACGCAAACGCCGAAAAGAAAAGGGTGCAAAGCATCACCGAACCTCGAATCTCGCGTAGACTCCCACGGCGACCCGGTCGCTGCACCCCCACCCCCACCGAGCGTCCCCCCCACCTGCGCATGCGCCGACCTCGTCAGGGAGGGAGGAAGCAGTAGAGTAAGTATCGCCTGTTGCTGCCGGCGGATGTTCGCACCGTCGCCTCTGTGCCTCTCCCTCCCTCCATCCTCCATCTCCCTCTCCCTCCATATCTCCCTCTCGCGCAAACGTAATTTAGCCACCACGGATGAATCACGAAATCGCTTCACTCCCTTCCCCCCCACTCACGCACCTGTTACGTGCCGCAAACCAGCAGCTCTCCTATCCGCTCTCCATCCCATTCGCGAAGCGCTGCACTCACGCTCACCGGTCGTAACTTGTCCACCGGCGGAACGGTGTCATCACCGGAAGCATGAGGGTATGTAGGTAGAGTAGGTAGGGTAGGGAGCGTGTTTCATCTCCCCTCCCTCGTTCCCTCGTTCCATCCCCCAGGGTGGGGTTGGGTGGGGTTATTTTGGCGGGGGCCCGGGGAGCCCGGGGGGCTAGGAATTCAGCCCTGCCTCCCTGCGCAAGCCCTCCCCCATCCCCCGATTCCTGTTCCTGTTCCTGTTCTTCCTACAGTCCGCAGTGTGTGTGCGGCCCCCATGGGCTGTGAGTGTGAGGTATGAGGACGGGGAGCCGGAAAGATACCCGGAATACTTTTGCCGTCGCGAGTCGCGAATAGTCGTAGTGTTGGGCCTGAATAGTTACCGGTGCAGGTATGCATCGGTCGACGTTGCGCGTAAACGTGTGGGTTGTGGACTGTGGGTGCATTTCGAGGATTCGAGGTCAGGTGGTAGATAGTACCTACTCTACATAGAGTCTAGATATATAGAGTAGGTAAGTGCTTAGTAAACTTCCCAGGGAGCGGCCGCGCCCAGATGCTCGCGAATTATATACTCCACCAACGGCGAGAGTGGGCGCCAAGACGGCTCAATGGGGGTAAGGTATCCACGTCGTGTAGATAGAGCGGGTGACATGTAGTGAGTTTGACTTCTGCTCTCGACCGCGTGTGAATCATGATGTGTGGATCTGCAGTATATTATGAGTTGGGATGGGATCCCAGTATGGGCACTGCGTGACGGCTGACGGTTTAGCTTCGCGTTACGCGCGGTTAGATGACATCTTACGATTTTCCATGGCTAGCCAATCGCTTGGTTACCTAATAAAGTATCTACGTCGTATAGTTAAGTTGGGCCTGGCTGGGTGATATGTGGTGAGTTTGACTTTCGCCCTCGCGTGGAAATCATGATGTGTAGTATATATTTTGAGTTAGGGTAGTCTTTAACTTTAGTCCAGGCTCTCTATGTCATGGCTGTCAGATATCTCACATGGAAGCTGGAGGTTTGTACATAACATCTTGCAGATTGAAAACTCTACGAAGTCTAATCGGAACCAGGTTTCCAAAATTTTCGACGTCCTCCGATGTTGCCTGAATTGGACGGCCAGGAAAAAACACTATGCACCTCCAGGGGGAAACGCCTCGACTCCATACACATCGAAGAGGATGACAGCATGGGCACTGGGTGACCACTCAGCTTCACTCTACGCACGGCTGGAAGCCATGTCACGATCGACTTCATTTTCACCTCAGTTTTCAGCGGCAGCACGTCCGTATAGTTCCATGACATTCCATTAATTAACATCAGAACTAGACAAAACAACCAGAAACTAAACTCCAAAAATTTTAAACCCAAAAAGAACCCAAAAGCAAAAAGAACCATCCCAAACGAAAAATTCACCCAAGACCACGACCCCCAAGAAATAACACCTGGCCACTCTCGCGGAGGACCAACCTACTGGGACGAGGAAAAAGACAATCTCTCGTTGTCCCCTACGTACACGGGGTACGCAGGGTACGCAGGGTAAGCAGGGTACTCGTCGTAATCGTCGTCCTGGTCGTACCCGTCGTACTCGTCGTACTCGTCGACCCCGGCGTACTTGACCCATTCGTCGTAAGAGGTCGGGAAGCTACTGGGAAACGCAACGGTCGAGTTTCCCATTGGGAACGAAGCGGTTCCCGTCGCAGCAGGCGCAGTTCCCGAGGGGTAGACGGCGGTTCCGATGGCAGTCGAGTTGCCATATGGGGCGGTCATGTTGCCATACGGCGGGAAGTGACCGCTGGGGACCTGCACGAGGGTCTCGTTGACGCAGCTGGAATTGTTCAGTCTCTGTTCTATTAAAGAGTCCACGATGCATACCTGTACTGATGGCTAAAATAGCAATCATAGAAATCGGGGTCGGTGCCGCAAGCCCGGGTGCCCCTGGGGCACAGCCGATACCCGTCCCAGCAGGTGTACAGCTCGGGGTAGTAGGGCTGTCCAACACAATCGAGGGCGGTCATGTTCGTGACGTTGAGGGTGTGGGGGACATACTCGGGGAACACAGTAGTGTTCCCGACGCTGGTGGAATTGTATCCGCCGATAGGAGCGCCGAAGTGGTACGGGAAGGCCCTTGTGAGGCCAAGGGAGAGGGCAACAACTGAGAGGATGATGGGGAACATCTTGTTTGGCGGGCGTGAGACTGAGACCAGGTGGTCTGTGAGAAAGTGATAAGGGAAGAGAGTGATCTGGGACGAGGCGATCTGTGAGGGAGTGGTAGGGAAGGAAGGAAAGAAGAGATCTGGGACACAGCGGTCGGAGATATATAGTTGGCAGTGGTTTGTGTGAGTTTGGAAGTGCGAGCTGTCAAAGGTTGGCCACCTAGGCGCCGTCAAGCAGTCACCGATACTCGCCCGATCTAGATTGACTGTTTTTCTTCAGGATCGCATGTCCTAACACGAATGCGGGTGTTTTTGCTGAGCGGTAAAGCCGCTGATAGACCCATATTTCAACTTTCCTGCAATATTAGCGGATCATTACAGTTATGCTTCATAGCCTTGAACGCACACATAGTGATTTAGAGTGTCTTCGTGGTTGATAGGTATGTATCATTATTCTTGGTCCGTAATATACTCAGGTTACGCACTCGGCTGACGATGCTATGTTTTGAGATTGGTTGGGACAACGCGGGGCCCCACATATCTTAAGCCATGACACAATGACTGAGCGTCCTGCACGAGCTATCTAGCAAAAACTCGATCACTCCGACAAAATACAACTGGAACAAAATGGTCGGGGCGGCTTTCCATCCTAAGCCCTTCTAAAAACAACCTCAACTCTTCCTTCTATCGGAGCAGTGGTGTATGTATCAACACCCTCCGTACTGCTGGAGCTTTCCGTCTCAAAGTTCGCATAGATAGCCGCGAGAACCATCCTCATCTCCCACATGGCCAGATTACGTCCGATACAGCCTCTACCGCCACTGCCAAACGGCCACCATGCCCTCTCCATCTCCGTCGTGTCCCCTTCCAGCCACCTTTCTGGCATAAACCTCTCCATATCTTTCCATATTGCTGGATCCCTATGAAGCGAGTATGCCTGCGCTGATATCACAGTCCCGGCTGGCACAAAGTGACCCAGGATTTCCATATCTCGGATAACAACCCTGGGCTGGCTTCCAGGAATAGGTGCGTACAGCCGCAACGTTTCCTTGATGATGGCGTTCAGCAGCGGTTGGTCTTCGAGCCCGTCCCCATCCGCTCGGGGGAGCTTCCATCCGTCTCGGACCTCCACCAATGACTCCAAGCTCTCCCTCAGCTGTTTTTGCAACAGCGGCTGCCCCGAGAGAGCTGCGAGAGCGAACGACAGGGCCAACGCGGTGGTTTCGTGTCCCGCGCCGATATGATCCAGTATCTCACTAGCCGCCTGCATCTCCGAGAGTTCCGCAGCGGAGGTGAGACGGTCGAAGATACACTCCTCCGTCCCGCCTTCCCCGCGCCGACGTCGATCACACAGCAGACGACACCACGCCTCGATCCGATCGTTCGCGTCGTTGATCCGCTGGGGTATGATCCACCTCGCCAGCCACGGCAGCTCCGAAGAAACCCCAAAGTACCCTCGACGGCTGTGATAGAGGCGCAATATCTTCATGTCCTCGCCCTCTAGGAACCTGCTCCCAAGCTCGCGGGTGAGAAGAAATGCCGTGACGAAGTCCATCGTGAGGCGATTGAATGTCATCCACACTTCGACTTCCTTCTCCCGGGCTGCCGAGAACTCTCCCAGCAGCACCGGTAGCACCTCGCTCGCCACCCGCTTGATAACGGGGTTCTTCAGGACCGCCCCGTTGCTATACGCCCCGGCCAATATCTTCCTTTTCGCCGCGTGTTCCCGTCCGAGCGGGGTTGCGAACATCGAGGCTATGCCATAATTGTGGAAGACGCGGTACCAGGGCGGCTTGGGGGATGAAGTGTAGATTGTGCTCAGCACGCTGGGCGCGGAAAAGGAGACCTCGGTGGGCGAAAGCCGGACGATGGATCCATGTTGAAGATGTGCTCTGTGGATTGTGGCGTTCCGGCGTCCGAACAGGGTAGGGAGCAGGATCGGTAGCGAGGTGAAAGCGGAAAGGGGATGCAACAGTGGGATGATGGAAGGCTTCGTGCGATGACGGTAGACGAGAAGCAGAAATACCGGGATCAAGAGGAGGGCGGGAAGGAGGAGGGCCATTCTCGCGTTAAATGTCGTGACGTGTGGTGCCTAGGATGGTGGGGCCGTTGTTGGTCATATATGCGGATCTTATCGCTTATCGGCGGGGTGCATTCTGATTCGCACCACACGCGATCTGCCCTGAGAAATGGAAGCTGTGGAATCTCGGGTGCAGCAGGGTCGCGAGAGAGGCCTGTTCTCGTTAATGTCGCTACAGACTGCCTGATCGGTCTCCCATTCGGCCAGAAGCCGACACAACTCAACGTAGCAGGTGTGAATGGCCGGTGCCGGCAATGGCCAGTCATGAGATATCACCAACTACTCGGTTCTCAATGGCAACTCCAAATGGTAATTTTAGCACGAATAGATCGAGTAGGGAGAGCCGGTGAATCAACAAGGCGATAAGAGACAAATAGTTGAGAGAGCCGCCTCTCCAGATAGTGGGCTGCTGTGTGAGCCCCGGGCCCTCAACGTACCCCGCAAAGGTGAGTATCGATATCATCTTTTATCATCTTTGCCAGCGATTCAAACAGCCCCGAAGCCATACATATATTTACCCACGATACTTCAGCTGCTGATATCCTTTCGGGGATACCACTCTCGAGAGTGATCCATCGGCGGATGTGGAACCTGCCCACCGGGAGTGCCCTCGATAAGTCTACTCGGCCTCTTTCATCTTGCGCGGAAAGGCGCCGGGAGTCAATGGGATATTAGTTTGACGTCAAACATCAAACGTCAAACGTCAAACGTCAAACGTCAAACGTCAAACGTCAAACGTCAAACGTCAAACGTCAGCGCTCTCCTGATGATGTTGTGCGAGTTGAAAGTATTGTTTCGGGGGAGTTTCGCCATAGGATCTCACTCTTTACACCTCGAGGAGCAACTTGCTATGCATGTATTGCATACCTGGTATGTATCAGGTCCGAAGGAAAATCTTCATCCCGAAAGGATTTCCGCCACTATAAAGGTTTATCACGACCGCCTTCTCATAGGCGGCATCATCCGTCGGCCACAGGCAGGCAAGCAATCATACCAAGCAAGCACATGTCCAACATATCCCGACCCGACCCGGACATTACCCGCGACCGTATCCCAGCCATGCTCCTCGCGACACCCGTTCTCTTGCGCGCTGACTACCTCAACTACGAGTCATGGTGCGAATCTATCTGCGCACTACTAGGGCTCGCGCACATCGACGATGTGCACAGCGCTTTCCGTGATGCCTCGCGGGAGACGTGGCGGAAGGTGTGGGATAGCCTTGAGCCGACGCTACAGAGGGAGCTCGAGGAGGACTTGGAGAGCGATATGCTGAGTCCTGGTGTCTCCGGACTCGTTTATTGGCTGCAGATGGGGATGACGCATGCGAGGAGGGGAAGGGCGTTTATGTAGGGGTCTGGTGCAGTGAAGACATCCGTACATACGAATGGGTGTCTGTCTGTTGATCGTTGCTTGATCGAGCGGGGTTTTCCATACCCAAGAGGGGATAAAGGTGGTGCGAGTCTAGATAGCTCTGATGTATCGGGGAACAAATGCAAAGTCCATTCACCACACACACGTCCGAAGTCAAGTTCCCGTGTTTGGCGGCAGCAGGGCCGTCCAATCGCATCTCATGTTCTTGTCTCGCCTCAGATTGCTGACACGCGCCTGGTGGCTCTGACTCTTCGATCACTCGCACAGCCACGTCACTCGCCACAGTGATTGTCTAGACTCTGTCACACGGGAGGAGGAGTATGTCGACAAAGATATTCGGCTTCCAGAAGAAGCCCAACTTCTAAGGCGGCTCTCGATGCGTGCGGCAAGAGATCGAACGCCACTGGTCCTGCGTGTGGCTTGTTGATCCTTGCAGACTTTTTCTCTTTCGTTTTTCGTTTCGACAGGGCAGGCGCAAGCAACAGCGTAATCTCTACTAGTACTTTGAACTCTCCTTCCCAGAAATGGAGTTTTCTGTGGGCGTGACGTGAAAAGTCCTGGCAGTAATGCCCCCATGCGGCAATGCGGTAATGCGGCAATGCGGTAATGCGGCAATGCGGTAATGCGGTAAAATGCGGCGTGCGGGGTTGTGTTTGAGGTTGTCCGAGTCCTTTTTCACCGGACGTTGAGACTTGAGAGGCCTGCTTACTTGGGTTTCGTCCTTAGCGATCCCACGCAGCTTCAGGAGAAGTCACAAAGGAGCATACCTTGAGTAAGTACATCACATGTAGATAACTTTATGCACGCCAAATAGGAGTGCTCGCGACGAAACACACTTATGCAGATGAAACGAAACGAAACATTCGAAACGTGGAAGCAAGCCAGCGAGTAGTGCTCTGCGGCAGACGGGAGACAACAGTGCTAACTACTTGTCGTCCGCTGTCATAGGTAGCTGGACGATGCTGCATCGATATCGCATAATTACCGGTATGTAACTATCCTTGAGCCTTGAAGATTTCATTGAGTTTTGAGGACATCGCTTGAACCCTAGCCGGCCACTTGTTTAGTTAGAACTTAGCACGGCCTTTAAGGTTTCTGGGACCCGAGTGTCCCTGTCCTCGATGCGGCCTATCCATATTCGTGCTAGACAATGCTTACTCATCCACCCTTAGCTTGCGCGCTTTCCTTCCCGAAATACCTACTCCCACAACACCGAAGAACTGCGTTCGCGACCGCGGCCCACAGAGGAATCTTCACGCTCGACCAACTCGCAACTGTATCGATATCGCTTCCCCGTTACCTCGAGAGTTGGAGCCGCCGCCCACGCATGGACAACACTGCTGAAAGGCCGCTCGAGCGGCTCGGGGAGTGGGGAGTTGGTGGGGTCGGATGACAGAGCCTATCGATGATAACCACTCACCGAAGCCGACGTTTGGGTCTGGTTTCTCGCCCCCACTCTCGCCCATGCTGATTACTGGGTACTTAACCTATCCGATGCAGGAATCGGGACTGTTTGTGGGCCTGGAACCCAAACAAGAGCAAATACAGGAGTGTTTGCCATGACCGCCGACCGGAATACCGGTACGGTACCTAGGTCGTAGCGCCAACCTCTTACTGCAGCCACAGTGGCGATTGGACTCGAGAGCCCATCACCCAATCCCCCTGCCAAGGACCTTATGAAGCGAATCAATGATGACCTGCGTGAGGGGTAAGCGCTCTGCAACGTCGACCACAAGCCTCACGACGTTCAGGGTATTGAAACCACAATCGTTACAGCCTCCCAGCGAGGGCGTCCGCCATTGCTCTGCACGTCAAATCCCCTCTGAGGAATGCCCTTCGCAAGATCACCAAGGAAAAGCGGTCATGGCGATGCTTTTGCCAAAAATATGCAGCTTTCGAAACCCCAACTGTGCCGCCCGTCTCCTAGGGGGATCTGGTCCAGTTGTTGTGAGTGCAGATCTGGAACCTCCTCGAGAACCAGTGACAGAGGGGCGGTGAGATCTCTTTTCTTCGTTAGAGTATATATTCCCCCATACCCAATCGTGTTTGGTTTCTCTTCTTTCATTCTCGTGCTGCATCGGATATCAGTTGGGTCTTTTCGCTTTCCTATCTTCTTTCCCTTTCGATTCTTTCGCTTTTTATTTCCTACTTTCACTCGACCGTCTAGAAGACGCATAATTTCTCCCACTCCTTGAAGGCAGCGCATCTGTCATAGTCTACATCGCCATGTTCTTCACACGCAGTATCCTCGCCACACCCCTTCTCCTCCTCCTCGCTGCCCGTGCCCTCGCTACAAATCACAAAGGCATTCCCCAAGTCTTCTCGACCGGCTTCGAGCCCGAATCAGGCCTACAGATCACCTATGAGTCTGTCGGTGAAGCCATAACTGACGGCGACGACCTGACCGGTAAGGACCTCGAGAAGGTCCCCAAGTTCTCCCTCGGACAGTCTTCGGGTATCAACACGAATGCAAAGTTCATCATCGTCATGGTCGATCCCGACGTCAACGGTGATCCCGAGAATGTTGTACCGCAGACCCTGCATTACATGCGTACAGACTTTGTCCCCACCGGACAGGCCGTCAGCGTTGAGTCAGACGTAGCGCCAGCGGTGACATATGCGGGACCCGCAGCTACGAACGGTGGAAACGAGGGGCCGCACCGATATGTTTTCCTGCTGTACAGACAGCCGAAGGAAGGGTTCGAGCTGAAGAGCGTGCCGGCGGACGGCGAGAGGGCAGGGTTCAACATCAAAGCTTGGAGGGAGGCGAATGGGTTGGAGCCGGCGATCGCTGGTGTGCACTATCTCGCTACTCCACCGAACGCGGCGGCTGCACCACCTGCAGAAAGCACTACTTCGTGCACCACTACGGAGATGCCCGTCGAGACTGCTCCTCCCGTCGAGACCACCGCTCCCCCGGCCGAGACCACTCCTCCGGCCGAGACCTCCCCCGTCGACAGTGTGCTGACGATCACCGACACCGTGACCGTGACCGCCAGCGACTGCAACTGCGCCGCCCCGACCTCGAGCGACGGGCTCACGCTCACTGCCGCGCCCCCAGCCGAGACCGCCACGGCCACCGCAACAGAAACCAGCGCACCCGCCGCAGCCGTCACGCACAGTGTGATCGTCGGTGGTCCGGCCGGCCTCGTCTACACGCCCGAATTCGTCGAGGCGGCGGTAGGCGACAAGGTGGTCTTCGAATTCCTTGCGCGCAACCACACGGTGACGCAGTCGACACTCGACGTACCGTGTGCCTTGAAGGCGGACGGTGTCAAGTCCGGGTTCCGATCCAACCCCGACAGCATCCCCGGAAAGGAGATATTTGAGGTCGTCGTTGATGATCTCGAGCCGAAGTGGTATTTCTGTGCTCAGGGTATGTTTCCCCCTTCCTTCCTTTATTCATGTTTTGTGATCAGAGCTGATGATGAATAGCAAACCACTGCGCAATGGGCATGGTTTTCGCCATCAACCCGAAGGAAAAGTTTCCGCAGTTCAAAGACAACGCCATGCGTGGCAGCAACGGCACCGTCGGCGGTGCGCCACCCAACAGCACCGTCCCCGCGCAGCCGATCTTTGAAGGTTCTGCCTCCGGCATCGGCGCAAAGCTCGGCTCGGTCTTTATGGGAGTCGCTGCTGTCATCGCCTTCGCAGCGTAAACAAGAGACTCACGCCATCACGGCGACGATTGTACGAGTATATTACATTTGAATGTGGCTAGGTATATCTATAGATGGGATGGACTTTGCTTTTCTCTTGGATACCGATTTCTTGTGTTTTCCTTATGTTGGTTTTTGGTGTTTTTTGTTTTATTTGTGTGTAGCTAGCTCTACCCCCCCCCCCCCCCCCCCCCCTCCAACCACCAGCTTGATATCTAATGACACCAAATTTAACAACCCAACCGAGCGGATAAGCCTAAGTGCTGTCAGATCTTACACTTGTAGAACGAATGCGGAGGTGAGGTGACACAATACGAATGCGAAACCCGGTGAAACGTGCTTGAGCGCCTGCGTACATGGTTATTGGGGCACAGTTGTGTACCACAGAACCAGTAGATTGCCCAGTCTGTTTTTCCAGATCCTTGAAGGTAGGACAGCAGGAGGCATCGTGAAACAAGCATGTAAGCATGGCTTACATAGGCATGTATGTAGATGTCTACATATGACTCTATGCAGTTGGGTGGTACTCTGCATAGGAGAGGGGGGATTCGGCGAAAAGGGATTGCATGTGAGACTGAGCGGTGAGGGTGCGAGTCATGTTATGTCACTCGCAGGATGCCAAATTACAGATCATGCTCATGGACTTTTTGGCTCGTCCTATGTATATTGGCATAGTCTAGTTAGGCAACTTGGGCTGCGTAAATGATACAATCGATCAAGACGGAAAAACGAACGTGTAAATAAACATAGATACTACTATATACCACAAAACGGATATCTACAATGTACAACCTCGGTTCTCTCCACCTCCCCCCCGCACGCTATATCTTACATCCCCGTCCCTCCTTCAAGTTTCTACTTCCAAGTCGGTGGCAGCGCCGGATTCGCGTTCTTGACCAACATCTCTACGAAATCGTTGTGCCAGGCGCCCGCCTCGGGGGAGGGAATGAACGAGTCGGGGTTCCTGCAGTTCTCATCGTACCTGACGGCGGTATCGTCGCTAGTCCCGTCGCTCTCGCCTCCAGGCTTGACCCACACGACTGAGTCGACGCTGCAGTCGCCCGTGTCCGTCGTCGGGCGGATGCCGAAGCCCGAGTCCTGGTGGTTGTTAGTCTGTGCAGGGAGGAGTGGTGGGGGTGGGGGAAAGGGGGGGAAGGGGACGTACAGCGATGTTGCACCAGTGCCCGCCCTGCGCGCGGATGTTCTGCTGGCCGCTGCGGCCCTGGTCAATGATGAAGTGGGCGGGCAGGCCCTCGGCCTCGAGGAACGGGGTCAGCGCCTTCGCGTACTTCAGCTCGCTCCAGTTGGGGTTGTCAGGGCCGGGGCCGTAGATGGGGTCTGGTGTGGTGGAGTTGTATCCGTTGTAGTTGGAGACGTTGGTTGCAAAGCCCCTGATCTTTGCCGGGTTCGCGGGATTGGTGACGTTGCCGTTGGCCATGCTGACGACTTCGGCCATCAGCTTGGCTGTGGGCTCGAGGTTTCCCGGCCAGCCCAGCCAGTTCGAGTGCGCCGCGTCGATGTACAGCGCCACGTTCGCGAACTTGCCCAGCTTGCTGACGGTGTAGGCGACGCCGCGGGTATACGCGTCCTTCGCGCCGGCGCACTTGGGCACGCTCAGATTCGTGACGGAGTTGCCGAGGGAGTCGGGCTCAACCACGACCGCAAAGTCCAGCTTGGACAGATACGGCTTCATGGTGGCGACGACCTTATCCACGAACTGGCGATACTTCGCCTCGCCGCCCTCTGCGAGGACAAGCTCGCCCGCAGACGACTTTGCGCTGCAGTCGCGGTCGGGCAGGTTGTACACGACGAGCGGAACGATCAACTTTTGGCCGTAGCCCAGCTTCTTCTGCGCCCGGACCGCCTCGTCGAAGTGCCCCTTCAGGTCGTCGATGGCCGCGAAGTCGTCGATCCAGATGAACGTCGACGTCTTCTGCACGGTGCGCACGCGCGCCGCGTTGAGCTTGTCGCCCTTTGTGGTGAACGACGCCACAGTCGTCTCCAGCAGCGAGGCGTACCGCGAGTTTGCGTACTGCACCCGGTTCAGGAACGGGTTGGCGCTGTTGCAGCCGGAGGAGGCCGCGGGCGCCGGCGCGGCGGATGTGAATGCGGCGAGCGCGAGCGCTAGGAGGGGAAGGAACGACTGCATCTTTGCGAAGAGAGAGGGAGGTGGTATTAATCGAGCTGTTGGAGCTGTTGCTGCTGCTGCTGCTGGGCCCGATCGATCTGGGGGGACCTGGAGGGGAGGCCTTTATACATACCGTCGACGATGCCAATCCATTCCAATCCGCAATCCGCAATCTCAGCTCCCTCGATCACGTCACCCACCTGGAACTGCACATCTACCTATGTTTTTCCCCTCCCCTGGCCCCAATATCGACAGATCTACTCCAGAGTACTCTGGACGCAGGCGCGGCTCCCAAACCCAGGTTCCCAAGCCCAAGCCCAAGCCAATACGCCTACATTATGCATGCTAAGTAGCATCTAACGGCTCCCCATCCCGTCATGGCGGGGGGTTGGCATGGTTCCCACGGTACGGTATTCCGCGGGCCCGGTACGGCGGTTGAGCGGTTCCGCAGGCCAAATCTCGGCGTCCAGGTACCGGTTACACAGCTAGTTGTGGTTACTAGCAGTGTGGGGAAATAGGCGATATGTACCCCTGACCCGTCGACGGACGGACGTCGGGATTAGGCGTTTTCAAATTTAGTCTTCATTGGCAAGATATTGATGGATGTTTGTATGGGTATATATGGGTGTGCAGGGCCGTGATACCGTGCCCAGAAATGCTAGTTAATGGCTGCGTATTGGAAGGGGGAGGTCGTTTTGGCATGGCATGGCATGGCATGGCGGTTGGGTGTTTATATTCATGTAGAGTATGTACTCTGTGTGCTACCAGGAAGGGGTATAATTCTGAGAAGAAGATTTGTACATACACGGCCAAAGGGGGCTCGGGGGGTGGATAGGTGGGGGCCGTCGTTGTGACGATGTCGTGGGGAAATCCGGGGAGCCGCCACGCTCCCCATTTTCTCCATTAACTCTAACTGCAGCGGTATTCCTCGCCGATTCCATGCAGATTCGTTCAAACTTCAATACACACTCGCAGAAGCTCATAGTTACAACTCCGTTCAAACTCCATCGTGAAAGACAAACAAACAAATTCTTCGTCCCCGACCAATTTCACCACCACCATCAAATTGTAAACCTACAGCTCTTGAAGATGCAGCGCCAGCCAGCTAAAAGCCATCAAAGAAAGAAAGACATCGGCAATAAGAAATCGCGCTTCACCGCAAAGCCAAAAAAACAGATAGAAAAAAAGAATAGGTAGCCACAATAAAACCAGAAAGAAACCAACCAGAAAGAAAGAAAATCATCGACATGTCGTATCATATTGTATCGTGAAAGCAGTGGGGCCCGTAAAACATTGATGTGCACCGCGCGATGACCCGGTCCCAATCCACCATCAGTTATACCGCAGATACCTAGATCATAGATCATAGATATCCGGCGTCTCCATCTACCGGTATCTCCACGAACCCACCCTCCTCCTCCGCAGTAGCGGAAACCTAGGCATCAGAAGAAGAAGCAAAAAGCCCCCCATCACCCCCACCAAATAAGCCCATCAGCTCCCCCTCCATAGTATCGGCAAACACGACCTCGTGCAGCAACTCCACCGGCGCATCCGCCATCTCAGCCGGAGCCACGAGGGCCAGAAACGCAGCGTACGGATCCTGCAGCTCCTTCGCGGGCGTAGTCGGCGGTGTGAGGAGGCCGTTAGGCCTATCTGCCGTAGCGGTGGTCGTGGGCGGGAGCGGCGGTAGGCTTTCGGTAGTGGTGGTGCTAGTGCTAGAGGACATTTCGTGTGCGGTAAGGATCGGAGACGGGATGAACTTAATGGGAGTCTGGCGGCGTCGGCTGGCGATTGGAAGCACGACCGGAAGCGCGGCGACCGGAATCGGGAGATGCCGTCGACGCTGCGAGAGCAGGCGGAACAAGGCGGAAATGCAAATTATTGCTGCCGGGAACAGTAGAAGCAGCACTACTGCAGGGCCAGAGACGTCCACGATTCCCCCAATAAAGTCCGTAATTCCTGGCCACATTTGAAGTCACTCGCGCTGGGGCGTGTGAGGTGTGTGGCCGGGCGGATGGATGCTGTTGGAACTTGGTGTCGCGATGTTGGCTGTTGGTCGGTGCAGGCAATTTCAATGTGAAGGTCAATAGCAGTTCGGGTTTGCCGAGTGTTTTCCGGTGTCCGGTGTCGTGTGGAGTCCTAATGAGCCTTGGGGATGGACGGTGAGGGGGAGGGGGAGGGGATGGGGGAGGGGGAATGGATTCGGGTTTGCCGAATGTTGTCCGGTGTTCGGTATCGAGTCGAGAACTAAGGAAGTTTACGGATGGATGGGGAGGCGGAGGGGGGGAGCGAGGGGAAGAGCGAGGGAGGGGGGGAAGGGAGAGAGCCGGTCTACACATATTAGCTCAGCCCTTTTCGCTGCGCACAGCACGCACAAAATATGGATCCGTACGGAACTCTACTGACTATGAAATTCTACGAAACCACCACCGCTGGCGCAACATAGATGCGCCACGTGACTCGTGAATCAGAATTCCACAGCACAAGTTACAACGCAAGTAAGGCCTCATAAATTTGGAGAAACTTGAAGTGGCAAACTCGCGAGGGCCAGTTAGAGTTGTAGAAACGGAATGGGAAACGAGTTGGAAAAAGAGTTTTGTGGGTGGGGGTGGGGGGAGATGAGTGTTTACATTTATTCCGTTCCATTCCATGTGCACGGTGAGGGAGGGAGGGACAGTCATCGATGGTGCATGAGCGCGCTAACTACCATGAGCACGCTAATAGAAGGTGGCACGTGCTGTAGTACTCTACATACCATACGTACGTGACGAGGCTGTGCACTGTGTGAAAGGACGCGAAAGAGGACTGAGGAGCGCTGCGTGGGAATGCTCTGTTCTGTGCTCGAGAATTCAACTCGGCTGTGCGTGAAGACCACGGGAACAGGGGTGCTGGGGAATTCTCTTCTCCATGCTCTCTCTAGAATTCAGCGAGGCTGTGACTCACTGGCTCACTCTGCCGCAGCAGCTCCTTGTTTAAGGATCACTCGCCGCGCGCCGCACAGTATATCACTCGGCTTTGAGATGCCGATCCCGTGTCACTATGGTCGGGGAGGCGTAAAGCAGCGGCGCCACATCGTGCTGGCTGGTAGCGGGGTCTCAACCTCCGGCCGGCCAGAGTGGGCAGGAAAGGAGTTCGACGGTTTGCCATAGTCTAAATAGGCTGCAGGCGAAATAAATTGAAGATAGATGCGCTTCAGGAGAGAACTGGGCGGAGCGTTGGGGAAGGATCCCATAGCGAGCATGTGGATAGCGATCGGCTAGGTTTTATATGTCACTGTCATGATCTACGGTATTAAGGCCGAATGCAATGGTGATAAAACGGAAATAAAAGGGTCGGGCGACGGGGAGGCCGAACTGCCAACGGGGCGCGAATAGTAATGCCATTTAGCCTGCATTGCGATTGATGACTAAGCAAAAAACAAACATGCGTTCGGGAAAGGCACGAAGAGCTGCAGTAGGCGCGCACTCACCCGGGAATTGATGGCCGAACCTACCGTGTTTGGTCTCCGGCTGCGGCATGCATTCCCATGCGCCGTTAGCTAGATGGATACTGCTTTTTTCAATCCTCACGTGTATAGTAGCGGTATGCATATTCCAAACGTCTTCGTATCAGTATCAGGTATCCCTTTGTTTTCCATCATTAACTGTACATACAACGACCGTAGCCATCCACTACATCCCCACTACATCCATGATCCCACTACATACATCCCCACATGCCCACATCCCATCATTCCGCACACCAACGGCCTCCAGATCCGCAGCCCGCTGATGATATCAGGCCTTCGCACCTCCAAGCAACTGGCGTAAAAGTAAAATAAAAAAAGAAATATCCCAATCTCCTCCAACAAATGCGAGGAAAACCAGAAAAAGGTAAGAAAAATCATTTATAGCTTCGCCTCGACATCGCCGAGAAGATCAGTAACACCATGGTTCTCGACGATGGCGACCTTCGTCTTCTTCAGCGACGCGGCCTTGGGGAACGGCGCCTCAAAGATCTCGTTCAGCTCCTCGAGGGTGCGGTCCTTGGTCTCGACGAAGAAGAAGTAGATAAAGGCGGCCTGGAACGTGTCCCACGCGATGTACAGGAAGTAGAACTTCCACTTGACGTTGCCGAGGCCGACGGGCGTCGCGTACTGGTTGAAGAACGACGCGATGTTGACCCAGAAGTTGTACACGGCCATGCCCTTGGCGCGCGTCTCAAAGTCGAGACATTCGACGGGGTATAGAGCCTGGAAGGGCGTGAAGGCGACCGAGAAAGTGAAGCCGAAGAGGTAGATCATCGCGATGGTCTAGGAAATATCTGTCAGCTACCGGTAGAGGACATCATTGAGGCGGGAGAACTGCTTACCGCGTTGGATCCAGCCTTGTTTCCGCTGCCCGAGTAGGTGGCCGAGAGCGCAGCGACGATCGAGAACCACATGACGAACAAGCAGGAAGCAGTGAACAACATCTTTCTGCGTCCAACCTTGTCGACCAGGGTGGAACCGATGACTGCACCGACGAACGACAGAACGGCAATGACACCGTTAAGCATGAGCTGAGTGTCGACGTTGGTGATTCCGGCCTGCTCCAACATGACGGGCAAGAAGTACGAGATAGCGGCGTTACCGGACCATTCTGTGATGGTTCGTCAGCTTTTGGAATGCGGGAGAGTAGTCGTGGGAGTACAAACGTCCGAAGAAAGACATTGCGACGACCATGGTCAAGCGCCATCTGGCGGCACGGGTCTTGACGAGGTCACTGTAGTCCCACCAGCGCTTATCGGAACCCTCTTTGGAGATCAACTGCTGCATTTCGCCGTACGACAACCTAACGATGGCGTTGTTGGGGTCGTCGTCTCCGTGGTATTTGATGAGAATCTATGATCTTATGAGCATGAATGTTTCCGGAAAAACATAAGACTGGTGCGCGCATACAGCAAGGGCCTCCTCGTGGCGGTCATTGGCCATCAACCATCTGGGCGATTCGGGAAGGAAGAACACGCTCATGGCGATGACGCCCGAGAAACTCATCTGAATCCAGAGAGGGATGCGCCATGCGCGGTTGTCGTCGAAGTGCATGTTAGTTCCGTAGGTGATCCAACTTGCGGGAATAGCTGCAGGACAGTCGCATGAGCACACCCGCCCCCACTGGCACATGATAGATATATCCGGGAGGAGAACTTACATCCGATGAACCAGAAAGAGTTGTACATGCCGGTAAGGAAACCACGGTAGACGGGATGCGCGATCTCGGCGATGTAACTAGGACCAGCGGTGGCAGACATGGCGACGCCAAAACCCAACACGAAACGTCCTCCTTTAAACTGAGCCATGTTGTTTGCCGGTGCCTGAATACAAGTTCCAATGATGATAATTGCCGCTCCAATGAACATTCCCCATCGTCGTCCCCAGGTATCCTGTAATTTTTTGCCCGGTTAGCAACCCGCGAAGCAAAAACCAGTCGGCGGTTTTATATGGGACTCGGCAAGGTTCAACTTACAGTCAAAGGACCAGCCACGAACGAACCGACGATATTTCCAACAGTGTAGATAGCGAAAACGAAACCGGTGGATTCTCCGGTGGTGATCATGCCGAATTGTCTCTGGTAGGGCTTCATGGCATTGATGGCGCCCATGAGCGAGCCGTCGTAACCGTTGATGCACGAGTTCATGGTGGCTACGAAACAGAAGCAGTACAACTGCAGCATACGCTTCGAGAAGGGCCTCACGTTCGACTTGGACACGGCGTCCGCGAACGCGACGTTCTCGACCACGACCACATTCTGGTTGCTGACTTGCTTGGTCAGGCCGTCAGGCACTTCCTTCTCGTTCCCTAGATCGGCCATTGCTGAGATCGACTCTTTTTTCCTCCTGAATTGGCGGACTCCAGAAGAATCGCTGGTGGGGGGGTGGTTTCGGGGGTGGACTAGCCGGGGGTGAGGGATGCAAGAAGAGCTCTCGAGGGGATATAGAACCTGAGGAAGCAAGAGAAAGGGTCCTGAAGCTGGGGACGGGGGGTGAGGTGACTATATACTCGTCTACTCGAGCAATCGGAGGGTATGGAGACCGATCAACCCACACTCTTCCCTCCCGGGGTAGGCCACCTGCGGGGTGGAATAGAATAGGATCAATCTGGATGCTCCGGGGACGGGCGAGAGTCGCCTGCGTGTCGAAACCACCTGCCTACTTACCGACTTACTTACTCACTCCCTATATTCGCCCGCCTGTTCAGACGACCTATTAGGAGGCAACGCGCTATGCCGGTAGGCACGAATGGGCCATGGATCCCAGCGGATGGAACCAATTTACATTCTCGGCTGCTTCGAATAGCCGAGCTTTTTTTTCTCGTTCTCTTCCTGTTGAGGTGGGGAGATCATCCATCCCCCATGGGAAATGCGGGCAGGAGTTGCTGTGGGATAGCGTGAGTGACCAGTGACCACCTCCCAGGAGTGTTCTAGAGTTTCCCCGGCAAGATTGTAGTCTGTATGTGCATATCATACCAGCAGTTTCCCTCCGGACTCTAACGAACTAACTACTCTCACATGGATAGCTCAATATGCGGGGCAGGAAGAACATGGGGTGGGTGTAGTTACCGGTGAGCGGGGGGCCACGATCGGGAAGGGCTCTCGGATTATCCGCAACCCCAGCAAGTAGGCCGCGACAAAACAATGGGCCACAAAACAGCGCCAACACTCTGTGTCTCCTAAGCAACCTCCCCCACCCCCTCCCCCCATTGATCATCGCTGATATAGTAGAGTACCTACTATTCAGTTGGGGGCCTCGATGCCCGACAGGATTGACTGCATCATGCACCACTGGTCAATCACCTGCAGAAGAAGAAGCGGAAGCCGATCTGCGTGGAGCTGGAGCTGGAGAACTCGAGTTCGTGACGGGCTGTATGTACCATAGGCTACAGCTTTCTGGCCTGGTCTGCACATGTCCATCTACCGTACGGTAGAGTACCGGTGGGATGTCGGGCAATCTTGGGTTGACGATTGCCTATCAGACTCGGGCTCCCCGGCGCCCTCTCCCTCGCATCAACGATCAAACCACCTGGAATAGCATCCTTTACTTCCAGCCCCGTAGAATCGGGGGGAGAGGAACCCTCATCCCTACTTGGGTACCTACTCCAGGACGTCCACGAAATTCAGGACGTTTCGCGTATGTACATAAGTAGAGTAGGTATTCCCAGCACTCGAGCTAGTTGACTAGGCTTCTTCCATGCAAGTTCGGTACACACGGCAGCAAAGTGGAGGAGAAGAAGGAGAAGCGGCGAATCCGGAGACAGTAGCTCGCGCCCGTAACCGACCCCCTCAACTTCGCGTCTGGAACTCAGTTTTTTCGACACTGCTGATTACGCCCTCATCTGGGGTAAACGCAGAGGGCAATCACCGATTCACCGTGGTATGTAACTAACTGGGTAGCCACCTACCTATCTAACTCAGCGCGTCGCAGTTGCGCGAATGCTATCGTATAGTATCTATAGGATAATAGGGCCATCACCACGTCTCTTGATGTCTGGTGTTGATTGCTGTAGATATCGATCGCACGCCACATTATTATTTCGTCTTGCTTGACTGACTGACCGACTTGACTGTTAATTCCCCTGCAGGGTCTAGCCCAGCGCCGAACCAATTGTCCGCGTGCTTCTTCTGCTTGTGCTGACGTTGGCGCCGTGTGTCTGTCTGTGCCTGAACTGACAGGCGTGGTGCATGAGAAGGGAGGGAGTGGAACGGCTTTTCGGGAGTGGCGCCCGCAAACAGAGTTCGGAAGGAAACTACGGTCCGCTTCTCCGCGTGAAAGGCGTGCGCCCAACGGCGCCTACGTTGGGGGCCGCAACCACCACCACCTCGAGAGTCCTTGGCCCACCCACCACCTACCGAAGAGTGCGGAACCCGGTGGGTGACATGTGGATGTGGGAACACGAACGGAGTTACGCACCAGGGGCTTTTGCGTACGTAACTAGCTTCGGAAAGCCCATTAGGTATCGAGGAGTCCTCGACGCCTACGCTTGTTGCGGTAGACGAAGCCTTTCTTATGTAGAGTATGATATGCCCACACCGTGATTGCTAACCATCTCCGCCACCAGTCGGGCTGCCTGAGCGAGCGAATACCCAACGGACTTTGCGCGCCGCAAGAAAAAAAATTACACTCGACAAGGCTCGCCCTGTGAGCCCGAGTTGAAACGCGTAGAGTGGTGCACCCTCTCCACCCACTCTATTATTCCCAGCACATACAAGGACTCGGGGAGATCACCAGGCAAACTATAGTATGGTTATGTATTAGTTACTTACCTAGCCGGATCAATTCGAACGGTGGCCCCCATTTTACATACCAGGCCGATGTGGGGACTGGGGACTAGTTTGGAAGCATTTGGGAGTTTGGGAGCGTTTGGAGCAAAGTTTGGGAATATGTAGAGCGGGGATCGCTGTGTGGCGAATCTCACTCTACTATATCCTACCGGTACGAAAACTACTAGATATGATATGTGGTCAACGCCGGTCCTCTACCGTAGCTATCGCGCCGGCATGCCGACCCAAAGCCCACTGTTTCCCCTCAGCCAAAGTGCAGTGGACATCAACCCAAAGTATTGAGCTCCAACTATTAAACTGTGTATTTGGCTATTTTTGTTATCTTTAAACGTATTACCTACTACCATTATTACCATTATCACAATTATTACCACCACCACCGTCGGCTCCCGGAACCTCAATCTGCACTGTGCAGTGCGACTTACCGCTCGGAGCTGTAGGGAGCAGCACCCGCCTTCAGAAATCCGAAATCCTCCTGTCCAGCGGAAAAAAACACACCATGTATGCAGAGAAAAGAAGCTTCAATTTTCCCTCCGGCCGTTGTTTGGTTCGCTTGCAAGTTGCAACCATCGAGCCGTGGAACGCAGTGCGACCCGACCCTGCCCTTCAGAGCTTCACCGGACGCTATGTACCAACCGCGCATTCCAGCTCGAAGTTCGAACGCCACCAGCAACCAGCGGCCAGCCACGGTGACAGGAGCAGTGGGAAGCAGTAGGGTCCCGTGCACGTCTGCGGGGCCCACCATATGCGGCGTCAGCTAGTTAGGTACATACGGTGCACCGGTTGGCCGTCCCTGCGGTTCCGGTATGTACGTAGGTGCTTAGGTGCTTAGGTACTTCACGTGCGATGGCAGTTTCAAGGCGCGGTGACACTCGATGACACTCGACTCGGATGGGACGAATGGTACGAGCGCCATAACTACAGACGTCGCTAAATTCTAACTACGGCCAGGAGCAATCCGTGACGAACGACGCACCCGCAGGGCCGCAGCCGCCCCAGAGAGTGAGAGTGAGAGTGACAGTGACAGTGAGCATCCCCACGATCGGCCCCGGCACTGGTGGAAACCCCGATCGTCCCCCAATCCCCCCCCCCCCCCTCCTCCTCCCCGCGCCCCCCGCGCGCGCGGCCATCCGTGACCGTGACGTAAAGCGCACTTTCCGCGCGCCCTATGTACGCACGCACGCACACTCTCTGTACTCTGTAGTAGTCGTGGTAAAAGTAGTCGTGGTAAATGGAAGCACCAGGTCGAGGGCAATCTAGCGCCTGGATACAAGGTCCGCTGTTTCCAGATTTCCAGGAATCTCGGTCCGACCCGACCAGGGACAGAGCTGCAGAGGTGCAGAGGTGCGGTGCTGCAGAGTGGTAGAGAGGGGCTAGATAGCTGACGGAGTTTGGCGCTCCCGGGTTTGAGAGTTATATAGTCGGCTTGGGCCGGGGATCGGGCGTTGATGCTCTACTCTGCTCTGTCTCGCTGTCTCACTGACGGTGGGCCGTGGGAATACACTCAGGAGTGAGTAAGTTGTTTGCCAGTATGATCGTGGAGGCTGTCATCTAGCTCGGAGATTGTCGCCATACCGTATCTGACGACCAGCTCTGGCCCATCAGTTTCTCTCTCCCACCCTTCCCCACCCTCAATCGCCCCCCCCCCCCCCCCCCCCTCTCCCATCCCCAGAGCCCCACCCCCCCTATCGCGTTCGTTTCAATCCCCAACCCCAAACCTAACTCCAACCTCAAACCCCACTCTAATAAGTGTCAGTGTCAAGTGAGGCTTGCATAATTATAAACAGGCATCCCTTCCAGCATCCTTTCCAGCACCCAACACCCAGAACGCTGTACCCAGTACCCAGTACCCAGTACCCAACAACCAGCCAGCCAGTATACTGCATTCATGATTCATATGTACATACATACATACCTCCGAGTACCTACATACATACATACAAACATACATAGGGCTGCATGCACAGCCCTCTGCCAATGCAAACAAGCCTTTTACCCCACAGTGAGGTGCATAATTATGCGTCTATGCGTCTATGTAGGTATACGATTACGATGCGTCGATACGGTATGGCATGGCATGGCATGGCATGGCATGGCATACCGAGGCGAGGCGAAGCTATGTATGTACATAAGCTGTCACATAAGCCCCGCACTGGTGCGCCGATGCCGTTGTAGGATCGGTTATCGACGAGTAGGTGGCCTTAAATATTCTAGTGCCGCCGCCGTGGCCGTAGGTTGGGGCCGCAGGCTGGGTCTTATTCGAATGGGAGGGGGAGACGGAGTATTAGTAGTGGCTGATGCCTACTTAAATACCGGTACTCCACACCAGTAGGCGGCAGGCGGTAGACCAGACCTGAGACATGACCGGTCACCGATAGGTATCGTGCGGTATCAAGTTGTACCGGGGGGTTCGCACTTGCTACAGCTTACACTCACTACACTCACTGTGGCCGCAAAGTGCTTGGCGAATGTTACCGGACCTGCAGGAGGGAGGCTTCCGACAGTGATGAAGGTTGTTTTTTTGTTTGATCATCTTTACCATCGAACTTCGACCTGAGGTATGTACATATAGTACATAGATCATGGCAGTTACATAATTACTTGCTTCTTGTTGTCTTCTGGCAAGTAAGTGCTCGCATTGCCCTCCGCCCGGCCCTCCGATACCGAAATGTCCATAAAACAGCACCCCCCGCCGCCTCACTAGTAAACCGTGGTGATATTCCATGAAGAAGCAACCAACGTATTTATGCATGACTCCCCAAGCCCAATATCGTGGATTCATCCTTCTGCTCCACTACTCTTGCTTTCTTATGTATCATCTTCGGCTGCATCTGCCGTTTGAATTCATGCTACCCCCCCCCCCCCTAGTTGTCACAGACCATCACTAGGTTCTGCAATCCTGATGATTTGGGACTCTGGAGAATGGCAGTATAGCCCAGTACCGGACGGTGCCGCCCTTTACTGTGATTAACCTTATTCCCCAGTACCGGTGCATTCCCACGACGACATCCGATCCACGCCATCCTCACCACCTCCACACCTTGTTACTCACTACCAAGAAAGCCCTTGCGGCTTCACATAACTGCACTATTTCTCATCCCTGCGGGATAGCGAGCGAGGTTCACGAGACGGAAGAGGTATTACGGCTCTTCCAAACACATGTGACACGTCGGTTTCTTTGAACTTGAATTCCCGATTCTCAATAGGTAGCGAGAATGAAGAAGATGATGAAAAAGAAAACCCCCGTCGGACCCACTCGGTCAACCCCTCCATGGCTGCCAACATTGATGCCCACTACTAACCACATTCGTTTTCTCTCGCTGAAAGCTCCTCCTATCGCTCCGGCACAACAGCCAAACTAACTGATACACGAACTACAACATCCAACAGTACCCCCAAAAATACCCCCTCCGCTCGGACTTTCAAACATGGGGTCCCATAGTGCGATGTCGCCATGCCCAACCGCGGTGTGCTCGGAGAACTGGAAACGAAAGTCAACCTTAGTCCTACTATAGCCTGGCTGGATTCACTCACACAAACAAGGATCCGTTTCTCTTGGATCGTCAATCTCACCGTCGGACAGCAGCGAATGCTTCCCATGCCATCGAAGAGTCGAAGACGCTACCCGGGCCATCGAAGGCGGCGAGTGACGACATGGTTTCCCGTATACGACCATCCGTCGACAACCGCCATCAAGCGGCCTCAGCGAGGTCGGGAAGATGATGCGACAAGCGGATCATCCTCTTTCTATTGCTTCTCGTCCACTTTCGAGCGAGTCATGACGCACTCGACAATCTTGAGGACCGCGAAAAAGAGTTCCAGACTAACAATGGCGTTTCGGATGTGGATTTGCGCAGGGCAGCGGGCAGTGGTCCATCGGACGCAGTGAATTTCCGTGAAATCGTTGCAATGTTGTCGGAAGATAGAGGGGGATGCATAGTGAAGGGGGTAGGAGCCGGAGGGGCCCACAGTCGACTTATGCGTGTAGGGTTGTCTTCAGGGGTGGGTAGAGCGAATCACAGGTCTCGAGAAGAGATCAATTATTAAAGTAGGAAACGAGTCGAAGGACCCGATATAAGAAGAGGCACACTTAGAGAAATCAAAGGAGGACTACAGTAGTCTCGAGAAAGTAACAAGCAGAGAGAGCAGATGAACAAGCGGCAGACGCCTGAAGAATAGTGATGATGGATGATGGATGATGAAAGACATTCGTGGTTGTTGAGAGAGACAGACAGACCCGCCGGTATAAATATAACAGATCGGCGAACTTTGGCCGACGCCGCATCGTCGTACAACCGTCAAGAAGAACACAAGCGACCAAAACAAACCAGAATCGACAGCAAAACAGAAACACGTCCCCCCCGGCAGCCCTAGGTACGACAGCCGGTCCCAACATCTTGACAACAAATCCTCCCATGTCCGCAGCCAAGAGTCAAAAAATGGTGCTAAGACGTCAGTTCCAGCTGTACTGTGTCCCACACTACTCGACCCCGCCGTGGCCGCCAACGTTGAACTTCGGCCCACTACTAACCACATGCGGTTTCTCCCGCCGACAGCTCCTCGTCTCGCTCCGCTACAGCTTCCTTCGAAGTTCCATCTCTGCAGCCTGCAGGCGTGGTTGCGGCTATTGCCCACAGCAGATCTGATTGTATGAAGACATGTAGTTGAATTCTACCGTTCTACTTTCCTTCCTTTCCGTCGTTCTTACTTACATTACAGCCAAGGCGAACCACACTCACACTGTCGATACCAGTACGCGGCACGCTGTGTTTCATGATTTGCCTGCCCACTGGGCGATCTAGTTACTTCGAGTGCCTACTGTCGTACCTATCCGCTGTGAAGGATGATGCCTTGCCACAAACGCAGGTATGCGGGCCAGAACGCCAATCCAATCGAGTGATTCCCATCCGATCCTATCGCACTTACTTTCTGTTGGGCGAGTGACGTCCGGCGTAGGTACATCACTCGGCGAATATAATTCAGTTTCCAGAAATATTCAGCTCTTGGGGTTTCCAAGCCACCCACCCGTGCCGGGGGTGGTGATGGTTTTTGGTTTTGTTTCTGTGGTTGGCGGCGTCGATGGTCACTGGATATCACTCGGGGATATCACTCGGAGTAGTATCACGTGACACGCGTTGCGCTGCTGGCTTTTTATTTTGTTTTTTCTGTTTAATCGTCTTGCCATCCAAACTTGGGTAGAAAGACCATGGCAGATTACATATCCGTTTCTACCCCGCTGTCTGTCACAGACCGCTGGCCGCGAGCTCGATACCGGTTCCTTTACTCTCCGCCCAGCCCTCCCTGCGAGTCAACCCTCCCCTTCCTGCTAAACCCTCCCCGCTCCTTGCGCTCCCGGCGGTGGAGGCGAGAACACCTACGATGGGGCGGCGGGGCCCGGGCTATGCGGTGGCCTGGTCTGGTACACACAACCGGTGCATCCGGATGGGTAAGTTGGCATCAGGCGCCACACCGGACGGAACCATGAGGCGTATGTACAATACGTTGGCTAAGGCGCGGCGATTGCGAGCCTGCGAGGTCCTTCACTGAGCCTGCGAGGTCCCTTACCGAGCCCACTCTCGACGACTCCACTTACAATTCTTAGCAGTCGACTACAGCCAGTCCCGTCCGACCCTACTGGTGGACTACGATACATAGTCCGTCCAGCACGCACCTCCGGACGGACTGAATGTACGCTATGTAGACCAGTCCCGTCCATGAGTCCAGAAGGACTGCGCTGGATGTATGTAGAACACCGCTGCAGCATATCCACTTCAGTCAAGAATACCCAATTAGGTCAATAGGTTCTATTCCATGTGCCCGCAGGCGAAAGTACACAAATCATCTATAAAACGCCGCGTCCCCATCATCACCACCACCCACCATCCACCGGCCATCCATCACAGCACGATCCCCACAGATCACCATTAGAAAAACAAAAAAACAAAATACAAAGAGAAAATAAAGAAAGGAAGTGGCATGTAACTTTTGTGTCATTCCGTTATTTCCCTTCATGGCAGCCCTACGTGTAGAAGCAAAGCAAAAAAAAGAAACGAAACAGAATCTCCCCCGTATGAACACAAATGGAGACACACAACCTTCTCTCTCACCGCCTCCTACACACTCCCGATCCCAACGAAGCAGCCTTGCCTGATTTTCCCCAGAATAAAAGGAAATGGAAAGGAACCAATGAAATGACGCAAAAAGAAAAATGGAAAGGACACAACGAAATGAAAACCCCACCCAAGACCTAAGTAAGAAACAAGATTAAACGCCAAAAGACGCCCCACTCATATCACATCATTTTGGTAACCTTTTTACGCCGTAGCGGTCTCCTCCTGGTTGCCCTCGCCGTTGGTGACTCCAGCGTCGCCAGCCTCAGCGGGGGAGCCGTCCTTGTTCTTAACATAATCGTCATAAACCGAAAGGGCCTCGTTGACCTTCTGCTGCAGGGCAGGGTCGTCGTCCAGACTATGATATTATTAGTAACGAGCGAAATCAATATCTGCTAGGGAATACTCACAGAGAAAGGAGCTCATAGTTCTCCATCTCCAACAACATGCCGGTGATCTTACCAGCCAGCTCAGGGTGGAGCTTCTGGATTTTGGGGTACAGAGCCTCACCGAGCATCTGCTTCTGCTGGGCCTCGGGAGCGGCAGCATAGGCCTGGTTGTCGAAGCCAGGGATCTGAGGAGCCGGTCCACGAGCCTGGGGAGGGGGCATGCGAGCCTGCTGCGGCGCCTGGGGCTGCTGCTGGAGTGGCATTCCACGGCCGGCGGCGGGGGGAAGAGGACCACGAGGACCGCCCATGAGAGGCATACCGGGCATACCCTGAGGGGGGATGGCGGCGACACCAGCAGGGGGAGGAGGACCCTGACGACCGCGACCCTGAGAAGCAGCCATGGCCTGAGCCTGGGCGTGGGAGGGCATAGAGGGGTTGAAGGGAGGGTAGCCAGGTCCGCCCATAGTAGGAGGACCGTACATCTGAGGGGGAATGCCCTGAGGGATGGGACCCTGGGGACCACCACGACCCTGAGGAGGGTAGCCGCCAGGAGGACCACGAGGGGGCTGAGCCATGGGCATCATGTTGGGCTGCGGGAACGGCATACCACGTCCACCGGGCATGAAGTTGGGCTGTTGGGCTTGGCCGAAGTACATAGGAGCAGCTCCCATGTAAGCCTGAGGGGGCATGCCACCCTGCGCAGCAGCTTGCTGCATCCTGATCTGGTTACGAGATTGGATGCTGGCCTCGAGCTGACTCTTACGGACGTCCTTGCGCTGAGCGAGGGCAACGTAGAGAGGCTTGCCATTGATCATGCGCTGGTTCAACTCGGTGACAGCCTTGGAGGCCTCCTCGGGGCTCGAGAAGCAGACGAAGCCGAATCCCTTGGATTTGCCGAGCTTCTTCTTAGGGGCCTTCTCCTTCTCCTCGGTTTCACCCTCCGCGCCCTCAGTAGCCTCCTTCTCCTCAGTCTCCTTGGGCTCCTCCTCATCCTCATCTTTGTACTCGTCACGCATCACCTTGGCGGAGGTGATGGTACCGTAGGGAGCAAACTCCTTGCGAAGACGCTCATCATCTATATCATCGTCGAGGTTCTTGATGTATCTGTAGGACGGTCGTTAGTTGAATGACCATAAAACTGTCTAAAGCTGGGATGGGGGATCTCACAGGTTGACACCCTGGTACTTGCTCTGCTTCTCAACACGAGCAGCCTCGTACTGCTTGCGAAGCTCCTCCTCACGCTCGTGCTTCTTCTGAGCTCTGGAAACGTAGAGCTTCTGGCCCTTGAAGTCCGACTCATGAAGCCTGTCAACGGCCTCAGCGGCACACTTGTGCTCCGAGAAGTTAACGAATCCGAATCCACGGCTCGATCCATTCTCATCGCGAGCGAGGGTGGCCGACGTGATCGCGCCAAACGCGGCGAAGAGGTCTCTAAACTCCTCGTCCGAGGCCTCGGGGTCAACGTTCTTGACATAAACGTTGGTGAAGTTGGCCTTCATCTCGTCGAATTTGCTCTGACGGTCCTTCTTGGGGATGTGGTGGCCGACGAACACCTTTTTCTCGTTCAACAACATGCCGTTGACGTGCTTGATCGCGTTGTGGGCAGCCTCGGCAGTCTCGTAGTGAACGAATCCATATCCGCGAGAGTTGCCGTACTCATCCTGAGCGACCTTGCAAGACAAGATGTTGCCAAAGGCAGCAAAGGTGTCGTGAAGCGCCTTGTTGTCAATGGCAGTGTCGAGGTTCTTGATGAAGACATTGCCCTGACCAGTCTTGCGAAGAGCGGGGTCACGCTGAGACCACATAATGCGGCACGGCTTACCCTTGATGGGGCTGTAGTTGAGCTCCTCAAGAGCACGCTCACCATCCTGAGTGTTGTTGTAGTTGACGTAAGCGTATCCCAGCGAACGGCGGGTCACGGCGTCACGGCAGACACGGATGGAGGCGACCGATCCGATCGACGAGAAAAGCTCGAAGAGCATAGCCTCGGTGACAGAGGAATCAAGCTCTCCGACGTATAGGGAAGCCGACATGTGGGGTGCAGCATTCGAGGAGGGAGCCTGAGCCTGGCCGGCCTCGCCGTCCGAAGCGGGCTCCTGGGGGGCGGGGGAGACACCATTGGGGGGCGACTGCTCAGTCTGCTCCGCGACGGGAGCGGGGGCGGTGACCTCTGCAGAAGACATATTTTCAATCTGTGACGAATGCGTGCGGTTAGTTTGGTGTTGTTTTTTCCGATGAGGTAGACTATTTAAAGACAGAAAGAGAAAGGACTCGGGACGAAGGGCCAAGAGGGTAGTATTATAGTGATTGACGTACTGTTGAATGAAAGTTTTTTCTTGCAGCGGTGGGTGTTTCTGTATGGGAATTAGCAGCTGTCATTCAAAGACAAAGAGCACGAAAATCATTTAAATGGGCTAGCAAGGCATGTGACATGTCCGACGGGTAGCAATCGAAGATACGCAAAACCCTGAAACGCCAAAACAATGGGACAATCGAGAGAGGTGAAACGAGCCGCGTCAAGTAGAGCGTCATTGATGTACGGCAATCCGCTGCTGCTGTTGAGAGGGCATGATCGAGCAATTACGAAGCCCACCGCAACAGCAGCAGCAGACGACCGAGAGTGAGAGGCGAACGACTGGAGGTGTGTGTATATGCGGGGAGTGGAGGGGACGAAGGGGTGGGGTTCCGCTAACCTCAAGAAGTCCTTTTGATGTGATCAAGTATTCGAATTAGGTCGCTTTGGGTGCGATGATGGAGAGGATGAGGAGAGGAGAAGAGGAGGAGGGGTTGTCGAAGGGTGGTGGTGGTAGTGGTGGTGGTGGATGGTGGAGGGAGATGAGGTGGGGCGGGATGAAGGTGAGCAGAAAGGATTTTTGTCGGTTTTCAAGTTTTTTTGTGGTTTTCGGAGGTTAGGTAACGAGGATAGCGGAGGTAGCCAGGGCTTCGATTTCCTATCGAACTTGTGAGGGAACGAAGGGAGGAGGGAAGACGATGTCAAGGTTGGTGGTTGTGGGTTGGAAGGAAGAGGGGAGAAAGGAGGAAGAAGAAGGAAGGGTGATGTTGGGTGGGTAAGTTTGGGTAGTGGGGTTGGGGGGTTGTTGGAGGGGAGACGTTACGTTTTGGGTTGGGTTAGGTGGTTGCGGCGCGAGCGAGACGCTGTTTTTGGGTGTGGTGAAGGCGGCGGAGGCGAATTTTTTCCGACAAGCAGAAGAAGTAGCAGAAGATGTATCTCATGTCACTCTCCATCTCACTCTCTGTCACTCATACCTTCACGTTCGCACGCTTCTTTCTCTTCAAAAAAATCTGGGACAATATCAACCAATCACAGCGTGACCCTTGTTGGCTCGGTGTGCGGCTCTTTTCTAACCTTCTGGTGGCGGTCAGCCACGGCCGCTCGTCAGTCACCACGACCGCGACCGGCCAACCCTGGCTCCGAGCCCTGACTGGCAACCTCCACAAAGGAAACGCCGTCAAACACAGACACCTTGAGGCTAGAGTGCCCCACCGAGCACATCGTTAGTGAGCTCGACGGGGGTGTGGAGAAAAAAAAGAGTAACGAAAACAAATCGAAAAATACTGCAAAAAAAGAATCCTCACCGCGAAAAAAAAAACACTACGGAAAAAACACTACGAGAAAAACCACAAAAAACATCTGTCATCTCAAATCCGACAAACTTCATCTCCATCCAATCTTGTTTATTCATAGACGCCTGGAGGCAGAAGAGTACAGACAAGCGAAGCACAGAAACTCCCAACACCCAAACCATCGACGGGCCATCACAAGGCCACAGCCCCATTTACGAGAATACCTAGCAAGAAAAAAAAAAGAAAAGCACAGAAACAGAGAAAAACAAGAAAAAACTGTCACATCCGATTCATGCAGATCTCTCGTTCGCGGCTCGATCAGCTCAGATCAAACCCAGCATTGGACCGAACCGAATACAGTAGCTTCTTCCTCAGCGTCCTAGCACTCTTGTATCGCGGCAGCTTGAGTAGATTCACGCAGGTACCTACATAAGCGGACATGTGCATTAGCCAAAAAAAAACATCACGAAAATCACTCCTCCGGCAGAGGAGCACCGGTGGCAAGGCAAGCTTACTAGCAGAACACAACCTCGCCTGGTCTTCTCCTGCATCTCGAATCGAGAAGCGTGGTCGGAGCACCCTAAACCCAAGAAGCGGCGCTCTAGCAACACTCGTCACGAACCGGAGCACCTTCCTGCGGTCGGCATCGTCGAGCTCGTGCATAACCTGCCAGAATAGCCTGATCGTCTCATGCTCTTCTCCATCGTCCCCAATGGAATATACCCCCCCGTAGATGGTGTTCCTGCGTAGATCCTCGACATCGATGGGGCTGCCTGTATCTCCTCCGACCAATGTCTGCAGTTCGCTCTGGTTGAACATTTTGAGCCAATGCGGATTGATGATCGTGGTGAGACCCTTCAGGAATGCAGCCGTTTGGGCTGCAGGTTCCTTGACAAGCCGGTGCTTTGAAACGAGGTGGACGTATTCCAGTCTGTTGGCGTTTGTGACGGGAATCGAATCTCCATTCGGCTTCAGATTGTACGTCTCTATCTTGCCGGGTGCGATTTGCGTAGTGATTGTAAAGTCGAGGTTAAACGTAGTCTCAACGTTGCCCTCAAAGTCCATAAGTGCCATCAGGTGGCGGTACATCTCGGCATCCAAGTCCCGGAGGTCGTTGACACCTACCGCAGACGCTGACGAGGGCTGTGACCATTTCAAGAGGAAGAACGGCGCAAACGAGAGATCAACTAAGATTCCCTCGTAGAGGCACTTTCCGAGGATTCTTCCGCAGAACTCGTACCTATGGAGGATATCCGTGATGACAGATCGATTGTCAGTAATAAGGAATTGGCGCAATTTGTGCTTGACCTCTTCCAACATCGTCGGATTAGGGTAAAGCAAGTGCTCGGGATTCTCCTTGAACATGTTGTTTACACCCAGCGTGGTCAGAGAGATGCCCCCATAATGAGCAAAGTCCTCAGGATCCTCATTGGGGTTGTTGTCGTCCGGTACATCTGCACTGGGGGAGAACGCCTCTCCACAGACACCCGTTAGGAATTCCTTGGTCACGCCACCACCGTCGATGCCGGCCTCCTCTGCCCCAAACCTGTCCATATACTTGATCTGAATGGGTTCTTTGAGCCCCTCACCCAGCTTCCAGAAAGCATTATAAGCATCTTGGAACTCGTGTTTCCGACGGATGGTGGCCTTGTGCTTGCTAAGCCGGTCTCCGTCGACGCCAGCACCATTCATCACCGAAAACCTCCACAGATCCGGGTCGGTGTGCCCATTCCTGCGCGCCGTTTGATCTTTCGAAACAAACTCCCGGAAGATCTCGACTCTCTTGTCAAATGGAATCGTGAACGGTAAATTCTGCAGGATCTCCGAACGAGACTCGATGACTGCCCGGTAATTAGCCCGCTGCTTCTTCTTCAGTGCCTTTTCCCGTCGTGCATGTTCCGCATGATGACGGGTAGCTGGGTCCATCGCCTCTCTCGAGTCGGGATCGATGCGATAGTCTCCATCATCTTCGTCTTCTGATTCGCCATCTCGGTGTCGAAGACGGTTCTCCTCTTCTTGAACCACCGCAGCAATAAATCCGTCCAACGTCAAGTATTTACCCATCAACCAAAAGTCCTTCGGAAGGAAATGCCTGCGTGAACTGGGAGCCAAGTCAGTTGTGCGAATGCCTAGATGTGGGGAGTCAGATAACTTACTCCCTAGTGTAGATGGCCTTCAAGACATCGGTCACCACACTGCGAAAGTAATTCAATTCCCATGCCCTGCCGTTCTCTCGCGGCTTGAAGAACACCTCGCCACCGGTATCCTTAGTCGGATCCTCGCCCATGATCTCTCCGTACCAGTAATAGGTAGCGAATGACAGGTTCTTGAGGAAGAGCGCAAGCTCACCGACCTCACTTAGCGCTAACTGACGTCCCTTGCCTTGCACGAACTCATGGTCGTCGCCAGTGACCAGGACGAACGAGTACATCTCCAGAAACAAAAATATCAGGTTCCATTGATCTTCTATGGACTTGACGGACATTCCCCTCGATAAGGTAGGAGGGTATTTCAAAGGGTCAACAGCTACGCGTGAATCGCGCTTGATGGAGGTGAAGAGTTGGCATTTCTTCACCGCATTCCACACATACTTGACAGCCGGTACGCCGTCTGCAGTGAGAGCAACGCAAAGCCAAAACCTCATATCGGTCCGACGGGCTGGGAAAACCAAGAGCAAGGTCAGGGCGAATCCAGCAAGTATATCCACGTTTCCGTCCGTCGATTTGGTGTTTGAGAGGAGAGACGTAACCGACGATTGCTGAACCAGCGATTCTATCTGCTGTTTCACGAAAGGTGGCAACGGCTGCTTCTTGACGCGGGTACGTTTGCTGGAAGTGCCTTCGTCTTCAGCATCGGACCCCTCTCCATCATTCATCGTCACATCCTCAACGTCAATTCGCTGGCCCACTTCTACCGCCACGGAGGATAGAGCCATCGAGAGGAACTTGATGTACTCTTCTCGATCGGCCGACAATCCGGAAGTCGTGAGGTCGATGAAATTTTTGTTGAGCCTGGAAAAGTGGACGACATGTGAAAGCAACCACAGCTTGCTCTCGGTTTCCAGATTCATGCTGAAGAACTCGGTTACTTTTCGAAGGTCCACTCCGGCAATGAGGTTTTTTATACATCGGTCACCGAGCAGAGATACCAGATCGGGTGTGATGAGGTAGCCCGCATTGAAAGCCTTGTAAGCCGCATCGACATCGGCGTCGCTTCTGCCTTCAGATAGTCGCAAAGGTGCTACTACCGCCTCGACGAGTGCCTGTGACCGCGAATCGTGCAAGTTGGGAGAGGCCGTTTCTTTAGACAGGGCGGTATAGTAACGGTCATCGACAAGCTCGGGAACATTCCACGTGAGACTCGGTAGTACTTGCAAGGTCCGCTCCAAAGCTTCATCCTTCACAGCCCCCGAGTCGATTCCTTCAACAAGTAGCCTTCCTAGCATCCGGAGGAGATACCGACGCCGCTGTGGATCACAGCCATCATCACCGTCGCTCGAAAGCCACAGACGTGTAACCAACAGCATTCCACTCAGCCTTTTGAGATCGTCTCGGCTCCACGTCTTAGGCTGGCACTTCCGTCCCATATCCATAAATGCTAGGAATAGGCTAATTCGAGTAGGTGCATGGCTTGCATCGGCTGGGTACTCATCCCACACAGCTCGCCATTCCTTGCGCTGTTGTTCCGCAGCCTTCCGGCCTCGCCACGTCCGTTGGATTGTCCCCGCAGCCTTCAACCTCTTGCGCTCTGCTTCTCGCGCCGCACGCTCTTCGCGGGCCGTCTGCAGTGAGCTCGATGTGGCGACCTTGTTCTTTTGAGATGTGGATGTAGACGGAGTGGTCGGCTTGCGGCCGGAAAGGTTAACGTTTCGGGGGCGCCGGGCGGAGCCTGTAAAGTTGAACATTATAAACCGTCGCAAGCGGGATACTGGGAGTAGTGTTGAAGGTGTTTCGGTATCGCTCCAAGTGTATATCGATCGTAGAGCCTGGGATTGGTGAGGCTGTAGTGATAAGGTGCAGATGGATATGTAAACCCGACGACTGCGAGGGAGTGGTGGTAGTTCGGGCACGTGTAGGAGAAACGATATCGAATATGGGCTATTCGGGATGCAATAGACTGTTTGATGGGTTGAAATGGTGTTGGTTTGGTTTGGTTGAGCTTGCTTGCAGTCATCACCGGCGGAGTTAATGATGCTTGAAGAGAGTATGAGGCAGTCATAGTGTGGCGTAGACCAGGGTGGGGAAGTGGCGCGCTGGGGGACGGTGATAACACGAAGGGGAGAAATGCACAGATTTCAGTTGGATCATATTGATAGCTCCAAATATCACTAATTTACGTATCATTTGAGACAGAAAGCTCTCTCTATTGCGACTCTAAACATATATTATCATAACCACGTGCTGACTTAGTAAGTCTTGGTTGCGGCGACGAACTTCAAGGAACCCCACTGAAGGAAACATCACGACACCTCCGGCCGGCCCAACCTCGTCCAACTTCCACCAACACCCCAATGCCTCCACGAACGCTCCTCCTGAGACCGCAATGCGTGCAGATAGTTCCCTTCAGGGCTCCGTGCCCAGCGACTGCTGCCTTCGTCTTCCGTTCATACTCGTTGGCCCCGCCTAAGGTCCCCAAAGGCCCCAACCAGGACGTGCTCCCCCATGTCTCCGAAGAGGCCGCCGCCACAGCCAAGATCACCGGCGAAACCCCACCCGACCTCGAACAGGGCACTCCGATCTCCGAGGTAACTCACCTGTCGCCGGGAGAGTGAGTGTTATGCCTTTTCGGTTTCGCCGCTGACATGCTGCGAATTAAGGTGATCAAGCGCGACCCGCAAGCAATGAAGCATGCCCCCAGCGTGTTGAAGACGGACCCAACCGCCACCCCCGGGTCGAAGCGCGAGTACTCGACACTTATGGGCGCTGGCGATCGTGCCGAAGGACTCGGTCGTGCGACCGACATCCCTCCCGTCCAGGTCGATGCCGTGGAGATCAATCCCCGCCCCACCCTTCCCGAGGGAGCCAAATACCCTCTGCCAGACCTACCACTTCCCGCCACCTCAATCATGCGCAAAAGATACTCCCCGGTGGTCGAGCAGGTCACCAATCTGATCATGCGCGACGGAAAAGTATGAATTCGACCTCACAGGATGCTTTGCACAACTAAGATGATTCGCGTTTATAGAAAGCAACCGCTCATTCGGTAATGACTGAAGTGCTTGCCATCCTGCGCACCAAATCCGCGCCGGTAGCGAATGCCCGCACACCGATCATTCCCACCGCTCCGCCGCTCTCGTCCCTTCCCTCAGACCCTGTCGCGTATCTACAGACCGCCATCGACTCGGTTGCGCCGCTCCTGAGGATCAAGAGTGTCAAGGGATCTGGAGGTTTCCGTGAGAGTGTTCCCAGCCCTATGTTCCTGCAGCAGAGGCGCAGGAAGGCTGTGATGTGGATCATCGAGGCGGCCGACAAGAAGAAGGCTCGCATGAGCTTGGCTGAGCGATTAGCTGAGGAGATTGTGGCAGTTGTCGAGGGCAGGAGCTCGGCGTGGGATAAGAGACAGCAGGTTCACAAGACGGCGGTTGCATCACGAGCAAACGTCAAGGTCAAGATATTGTAAATTACTACACACAAAGGAACGCAAAGTTCATGGGGGACTGCCTGTAAGCTAATGAAGTACTTCTGCTTTCCATGTACCGGGTATGTGAATTGGTAGTGAAAACACGGTGAATCGAATACACTTGAGGTCTCCCCGCATCGGTCAAACGGTGAAGGAGATGAAATTCTTCAGACTGTCACTACGGTAGTATGCGTAGAGTGCTCATGCGAGTAGCTACTCGAGCAAGCAGCTACTCGGGCAAGCAGCTACTCGGGCAAGCAGCTACTCGGGCAAGCAGCTACTCGGGCAAGCAACTACTCGGGCAAGCAGGGGCCTTCCGCCAGTCGTGGACGCATCAGATTGGCGTGTGTGAAAAGTGTGTTCCGCCGGAACTAGAATAAAAGAACTCTCTGCTTGTACGCGTAGAGTAGCTGCACCCTGCACCCGCAGCGATTACTGAACCCACACAAAATGTGGGCATCACCGAGGAGGCTCCCGCTGAAGTCACTCCCCTCCCCTTTCCTTCCTCTCTCTCCCCTCTACCCACTAACTAGCCCCACTCCTCTGTTTTTCGGTTAGCATACTTCAAAAGAACCCTTTAACGGAAAGTCACGTCACCTCGTCTCACCGTGCTCCTGCTTCTCAGGTGCGGCGTGAAGTTCGTCTGTTCTACTCCTTCACCACAACCCCCTCCTTCCGATTCTATCAACCCAGCCACCAATCCGACATCCTCCTCGACTTCTCTACCAGCTGCCGATCACGAATCAGAAATAGCTTCCAACAGGGCCAAACACCCAACACCGTTTGGACTCACTGTTAATATTGCGATTGTTCCCCTGCCGCATTAGCTTCGGGAGATTAGTCCAGAGATGCCAGCGTCGCATCACACACGCCAGCCCCGCCGAGGCCGATATCAACGGCGCGGCAACGATCGCGGCGATGCAGACGACCCCAGTTTGGCTGCCTCCAACGTTTCGATCTCAGTCAACGCCGATACGCCGCCGCCGCCGCTCATCCCAGCTCCTCTGAGACCACAACGACACCGCACCCAGAGACCATCCCCCCTTGCTCGCGAGTTCGTTCCCGGCGCCTCTGTGGCTCCCCTCCAGCCAGCGCCACCTTCAGCAGCAGAGACAACGGTGGAAGAGGCGCGGTCAGTTTCAGAGACTCAAGATCTTCCGGATAACACACACCCGGCTACTCCGAACATCACTTCAGCCGCAATGGAGTTGACTCTCCGGGAAAGCACAGATTCTGTGACATCCGGTCGCCAAGGCAGCCCCAATTCAGTTCACGGTCTGTGCCGCTTCTTCCAGGCTGGTTGCTGCACTCGAGGCGAAAAGTGTTGGTACAAACATGAACTCGAAATACCCACGGCGTCAGAGACGGTCGCTGTGTCTTCCACCACCACTACTACTACCACACCGTCTTCCACCACCACCATTACTACCACCACCACTACCACCACTACTCCCAATGCCTCTGCAACTGCCGACCCGTCAGAGGTCGAGACTTGCTCGATCTGTTTCGATAAGCCGGAGACTTACGGGCTAATGACCGGCTGCGATCACATCTTTTGTCTATGTATTTTATACCTCCCTACTCCGCGATTGAATCTATTCATTCCTAACCTACATGGGATAGCTTGTATCAGGAAGTGGCGCTGCAGCTCCAGCACGGCCCGCAACGGACGACATGACGATCCTTACGCCGACGATCCACATGCGCTCGCAAGCACCTCCAAAACCTGTCCGCTCTGCCGTGTTCGCACTCGATACATCATCCCGTCGGTTGTATTTCCCACTACCACTCCGCAGAAAAAGCAAATAGAGCGAGTGTATCGACTTCGTCTATCCAACATTCCTTGCCGATACTTTGTTGCTTCTCTACAGCCTCGAGCTCCCCCGCCTCGCAACGAGAGCGGCCTCGTTCCCCCTCATGGCCGCCTAAGCAATGCTCCATGGTGCCCGTTTGGTAACGAATGCCATTACCAGCATCAGAAGGTTCCAGGGGTCCCCTACAACTTCAGCGAGTCTGAGTTAGCACGTGCGATGTGGGGACAGCGGGCTGCGGCTCGTCGTCGGGCCGCTTCTCGGTGGGGACGAGAGGGCGGAGGCCGGGCGTCGTATGGTCAAGAGTGGGTGATACGGCACATAGATGATGATGATCACACACAGCACGAGAACACAAGCACCGCGGATGCAGATGACGACGACAGTTGGGATACTGCTGATATGGCTGTGCTGATGGCGGGTTTGATGGAGATTCATGGACCTGCTGCGGACTGGGGTGGTGATACTACTGGCGTTGAGGCGATGGACGACTTTCTCGCGACGGCTTTCAGTTGACTAGGGGTGTGCGCGGTGTTTTTGCCGCTTCTGGGTGTGGCGGTTGCTGGTGCAGGGTATATTGGGGTGTTCAGCGTGACGATGGGATGGAGGCATAAGGATGTTTTCGCTATCGCCTGGGCTCTCATGCTCACTGGTGCATTGAGTGCATTTCCTTCCCTGGCTTACTTGGTCAGGAGGTAGTTCATTCCTTCACGTCATTAATTTGGTTTGGTTTGGGTGGGCTGGGATTGGACGGCATGGGATCGTTTGGACGGCATGCGATGGGGCTATTGCTTTGAGTCGGAATTTCATACTTACTATTGTGTTTTTTCTGTTCAAGTACCTCTTTCTTACGGGTTTTCTACTTTATTCCCTTTCTTTTCTTTTTTTCTTTCTTCCCCTTACGCTAGTTGAAGAGAGAGCACGGACAAACTGAATCGTTCTGAGTGGGTCGAGTGTGGTGCACTGATAGCAAATAAGAACGGAACTGTCATCATGCGGCGGTTTGGATTCAACCTAGACTCCTTCACAAGGTATCACGCGCTCTCCAGGCTCGGCAGTAGCGCAGCAACGGGCCGGCGGCGATGGAGCGTTCTCTTCATCCCCGTGAAGCTGGCAGGAAGGTCGGGTATGAGGTCTCCACAGTCTGGACAGGCCGTATGTGACAATAAATTGATGTTCTCTCTCTCTCACTCTCAGAACCCAATCAGGGATCAATTATCAAATTCAATCCGGTCACTCGGGTGAACTCGATGGACCCAATGGACCACGGATGCCTCGGCCACTTGCCATCCACCATTCCCGACCCTGGGTCCTATGCACAGAAGTACTTTATTCCCCAAGAGATCGTAATGCTACGATCGGAGATGCGGCACGGTACGGCGGTAGGTCCGTGCGTGTAGGACCGATTTCGGTCCGCGATTGGGATGGGTCTGCTGGCTGGATGGAGATATATGGTACGAACGCCGGAGATTTTTTTTGGTGGGGAGGAGGGCTCAATTGACATGTCTAAACAACTCCTCCATCTAGAGCTCCCCGTCGCCTATATCCTCTCCCCACAACCTCGAGTCGTCACTCCAGCTCCCAAGCCATAGAGGAGTACTTTGGGCCGTCTGTATCCCCCGGGATGTAATGCATCCGTGACTCGGACCCCGAGGTGCTATCAACAGGCTACATATGATAAACCTTCCATGCTCCATTGGTTTCAGCTACATCATCGGCCATAGTGAAACACATCCATCCCACCCCACTCCAATCCAATATCACCGCGACGCCGCGCGGACATTCACGATGAAAAATGTATACATAAACCGTTCTCTTCCGCCATCATCCGTCCAGCTTTTCATCACCACAGCAAGCAAACAAGCAAGCAAGCAGCACCAGCACAACGATGCAGCTCCTCTCCCTCTTCCTCACAGCACTCATTTCGCTCTGCAGCCTTGCGAGCGCACAGACTCCCGGCGCATGCACGGGCACCTGTCAGGGCATGTCGCACGATCCCGCCATCATCCGCCGGACTAGCGACGGCACTTACTTCCGTTTCAGCACGGCGAATAAAATCAACGTTGCTACGGCGGCGGCGCTGGAGGGGCCGTGGACTATGCAGGGAAGCGCGATTCCCGATGGGAGTATAATCGATATCAGCGGAAAGGATGGTGGTTCTTCCTACCTTTGTGAGGGAAGAGAGGAGGCACTGATGCGTGCGGACAGATCTTTGGGCGCCCGATGTTCAGGGCCCAATTGGGGATTATTATTACCTCTACTACTCCGTCAGCGCTGTATGTAGTATCCGCCACCCACCGGCTTTTGCCAGCCAGCTAACCCCCCGTGCTCCAGTTCGGCAGCCAAGTCTCAGCCATCGGCGTGGCGCGTTCCAAGACCATGGACGTAGGCTCATGGGAGGACCTTGGGGCGACCGGCATCGCGTCCAAAGCCGGCAGCGCGTACAACGCGATCGATGGACAGCTCGTGCAAACCTCGGATGGAGCATACGTCATGACGTTCGGCAGTTTCTGGGGGGACCTATACCAAGTTGCCATGGCCGATCCGCCCACGAAGGTCGCCTCGGGAGTGTCCGCGTCTCAGGTGGTCTACAATAGCACCGGCACTCATGCCGTCGAGGCTGGGTTCGTCTACCAGAATGATAACTATTACTATATGTTTTTCTCGTCGGGCTCGTGCTGCGGGTTCGATACGAGTCGCCCGGAGCAGGGCGCCGAGTATAGGATCCATGTGTGTCGCTCTGAGGCGGTCGGCGGGCCGTATGTCGACAGCGATGGGAAGAGTTGTTTGAGCGGAGGTGGAACTACCGTGTTGGCGAGCCATGATAATGTCTATGGCCCTGGCGGTCAGGGTGTCTTTACGGATCCTACGTGAGTTCACCACTGTTCTCCCTCCCTCTCAGAGTATCACTGCTAATGAGAAAAGGCTCGGTTCGGTGCTGTATTACCACTACGTCGACACGACTGTTGGGTACGCCGATGGACAGAAGACATTTGGATGGAACAAACTCAACTGGAGCAATGGATGGCCTACTGCTGTCTAGGTTAACGAGGAGGATGGGAGACTATGTACTGGTATCATAAGCCAAAATTGCAGTTTTTTTGATTTTGATTTTGATTTTGAGGCTTTTTCAAGTGATATCTATGATCATGACAGTGAAAATTTGACATCAAGTAAGTTACTCGGGAACTGTATGGCGCTGTATCACCTGTTTTCTTCTATATAAACCGTCCATGATGCCCGCTCTTTCATCCTTCTATCAAGTAAGACAGTCAATAAAATCTCCTATTCTAAATCTCTCTCTCCCTCTCTACCGCATCTTCTATCCATACGATCTCCGAACTTCCGCACCGCCCAAACGACAATTCGCGCACCAAGTCAATGTCGCTGTCTCGCACAGCGACCAGAGCAGCAAAATTTTGGCCAATGGACATGCATGCCTCTCATGCATGGCCGGAGGCAAGACCTTTCAACTTTGAAAGGAAGAAGACCTCCGCGTATAACGGGGGGGGGGGGGTAAGTAAACCACGGTATACGCGTATAACTTGGGCGGGGGACAGTAGCCCAAGTTATACTTCTTTGGTTTTTTTATTTGCTCGTCCGAAAAACCGTCTGTCTCCCGGTTTCGGAGAGGTGGCCTTGGCCATGCAAGCCTCACACACACATATGGCCAGGAGGAAAGACCTTTGCTGTCACAGACTCACAGCAAAGGAAGAAAACCTCCGCGTATAACTTGGGGGGATAGTAAACCAAGTTATACTTCTTACTTTTTTCTTCCCCGTCAGGGGCCATCCAACGGGAGCAAGTCGGCAAGTCAAGTCTTGACCGACTTGGACCTCCGGAAGAAGGGGGAAAGAGCTTTGCCGGCAGCAGAAGAGAAAACCCCGATCTTTTCTGCTCAGCCTCGAGGGTTGGACCCGTCTAACTGCAACAGTCTACTTTGTAGACCGGTTGCACGGATCCCTCAGTTTCTCGCTGCTACGGCTGATCAGGATAGCTCTGTAAGGTTATTTTGGAAGTAAAACGTGGGGGGGGAGAGGGACTTACCTCGAGGATTGAGCTCGGGCTCAGGTGGAAGGAAGGAAGGAAGGAAGGTAGCATTACTGCCAGTATCCTTATCGTCGGTATCGGACCATGGAAAATAATTAAACTACCTAATCTAAGTAAGTAGCATGAATCACCAATTAGTGCTGGACGGGAAAGAAGAAGAAGTTAATGAGTGGAGAGAGGAAGGAGAATGAGAGGAAGGGTGGGGGGAAGGAGGGTTTTGTAGGTGAAGTGGGTGGATTCCAAGCAACCACTTCTAGCGCACTAGCTGCGACTCAAAAGTTTGCTTTTCAGCGAACACCGCTACATTCCAAGGTGTCGACGCATTTTTGACATCACACGAAATCATTCGACCTCCGAGTGAGTGAGTATGAACTCCTTCCCACAGCGATGATTAAACAAAAACAAAAAAAGAATAGCGATAAACGCACAAGCATGTACTGATTAAACCAAGAAAAAAGGAAGAAAAAAAGAATAGCGCTCGCCGCACACACAAAGCCGATATCAGCCTCTCGCGCAGCTCACAGAGAAACAACTCTTTTTAGCCGTGGTTGACGATTAGAAACCAGCCGTGGATCGAGAGTGCAGCAGACCAGGGCGGTCAACCGTCCGCTAGTGGACTGTAGTCCCGTCCTCAATTCGCCAGCCCGGAAGACTGTAGTCCTTGTTCTCTTCAGCCGACTAATTCCGTCCCGTCTCGGGCAACCTCAAATACGGACTGGACGGACGGTTGACCGCCCTGTCAAGATCTAGTAGCAAAAGTATCACGCGCGCTGCAGAGAGCGGACTTCTCACACAAAGCTCTCGGACATCTGATACAGTGCACAGGAACATTTCCTCATTAGCAGTATGATGGTAGGAATTCCTACGGATCTGGCGGGAGTCGTCCATGTGCAAGACTACAGCAACTATCAGTCTATCACTGCCAATGTTTTGATTTCAAAGCAAGAATAGGTACGGATGTCTGAAGCCAAAACTTCCAGGTCTGGGGAACTCATGAATGAATGATATCATTGGAACTGAAGTTCCTCGGATTTCCCAGTCAACTCCCCGTTACACGCCTAGACGCAGTAAAGCCGGAGAGACAGGCCGTCGCGCTCCGCGGATCATGTTCCATCACCGCCCTTTTGACAGCAACTGCCCTCGACCATATAGAGTGCGGCGGTCGCCGGCGAGAACTCAATATCAGCTACCTACCTAGGTTAGGTGAGACTTGAACAATCTTCCCGAATCGGTCAGAAAATGAGGACAATGCAGTGAGTGATCACTTTCGATCGTATTAAATCTTTCACGACCCAACCCAGTCACCACGATCACGACCTACCGCTTAACCTGCAGAGTAGTATGGATCTACATAGGAGAATGGATGGGAACAGTACAACCAGCAAGCCGGACGTCGCCCAGACCCGCCACGCCAAACTTTGAAGTGGTACAGTGCTAACTCTCCGGAGTCACCGAGGATCGGGGTTAGATGAACAGTTGTCTAGGATTCTTCGGCCCTGTAAGGCTTTTCTTTTCATCTTCACCAGAGCCATCTGGAGCTAACGAAAGGCCTGAGGCGGTTCACGATTCCGCTTACGCCGCTGCTGTGTTTCTAGCTATGAACAGTTGGTCGATGCAGGGGTGACAATCTTTGCTTTTTCTTCGTTCTGAGCTTCAAACTTGGCTCCAGAACATGGAGTCGCAGTGCCGGAACCGCAGTGGCTACCTTGAAAGCTGGCGATGATGGCCGCAGTTCCTAGCCTGTCCCGTACACCGTCGATGTTCTAGTTGCGGCGTGTGTCCTCGATGCTGGTTCTTGTGGATGAAGATGTGTTTCCGGAACTTGCTCTATCGTCATCCGAAGGACCTATCAAGTACCTACCTAATGTATGTACAATACTTTGGATAGGCGTCTAGAACTGCCCAACAACACATGACCTAAGGGGCTGTGGTGAGTGGTGAGTTGAACTTCGAGTAATACGTACAATGACCGCAGCAGACATTCCCGCGATCGCGCAATTACTCGGATTTGGCGCTTATTTGCAATCGCTGCCGCAGAATTTCGCTGCCATAGATTTACCGTGCCACCCGAACCGCCAGATTTAGACTGATAGTTTCCGGAATGTCTGTTGAAAGCAAGCATAGGCAGCCGATACCGTTCATGCTCAGGACGGGCCGCCTCATAGTCCCGGACTCCGGGATGATATCCAACCCCCCGGTAGCACGCATCCACCACGCATCGACTACCTATTAAAATCTGCCTAAGTAAGTATTTGCCAAGGTACCGGTACTTTACTCTCACCTCAAACCGCCACAATAGGTCAAACCAGTCTAGGAAGCTTGCTAAAAATTCCGTCCCGATCCTGCTGTATGTATGTTAACGTTGCATGATGCTCACTCGCTTGCTAGCATGGGAGCTCCCTTAACCCATTATGTTAAACCCTCCGCAAGTTAAGCTATGTTACACTGCGCCTGCTCTCGCAGCAGTGATTGGGGAATCCGCAACACACGACCCAAGCCCCAGATACGGATCGCGCTGGTATTCTAGCTCAAGATCTTGGAATCTTGCCCTAGCTCGAGCAGTTAAGCTTACGGTTTATGTCCCGAAAATCCGGGGTAGCTTCAGTGCCAAATGCGGGAACCAAATGTCGCGTGCCAAGATGATGTCGATGAGGGATGATGGATTTCAATGTCTGGTGTCCCGAGACATCGAGGTATCCCACAGACCACGGGTTTGGCTTCGGTTTTTGACAGCGGCAGTCGGTGCGATAGCTCCGTGTGCTATGGCAGGCTGATCACCTGGTGCGTGAGCTCGCTCTCTCCCTGTGTGATGATATTGAATCTGAAGAATATACAGTTGTTTTTCCTCCTATTCCCTGTCAACATCCACTCTATGGGGGCCATTGGCAATGTTCGCTTTATTGCTGTTTCCAATTTACCTAGGTATACCATCTTGTTTTTCTGTCAGATTCAGCCTTCAGGCCGAGGATGTATGTATGTGTGTGCAATCATATAAACCAACCTGAGGGCCCGCAAGAATTTTTCGTTGCTCCTCCTCATCACAGTCCGTCCGTCAGTCTTTATTCACCCAGTCCAGCTTCTACAGAACCGTTCATCCTCTCCCGCTTTTTTCGAGATGAGGTTCTCCATCCTCGCTGGCTTCGCCCTCCTGGCCGCCTTGGTTCACGCTCACACCACCGTGTATGCCGTCTGGGTCAACGAGGTGGACCAAGGTCTCGGTTGCGGCCAGCAAGCGTCAGGAAGGCAGACTGGTGAGTGAAATCCCATGCCGTCATACATCTCCCAGCCCGCACTGACAGTCCCCAGGTGAATCCGTATACATCCGATGCCCACCCAACAACAACCCGGTGAAGGATCTGGACTCCTCGGCGATGGCCTGCAACGTTAACAACGCCGTAGCGCCCCGATGGGTGACCGTCAAGCCGGGCGACAAGTTCACGTTCGAGTGGCACCACGACTCGCGCGCGGCGTCGGACGATATCATCGCCTCGTCCCATAAGGGCCCCGTCCTCGTGTACATAGCCCCCGCCGCCTACAACGGCGCTGGAAACGTCTGGGTCAAGCTGTGGCAGGACGCCGGGACCACCGCGAATTGGGCTGTCGACAAGCTCATCGCCGCGAAGGGAAGGCACTATATCTACATCCCCGACGTGGCGCCGGGGAAGTACCTGCTGAAGCCGGAGATGCTGAGTGTGTTCTCCCCGCGTCCCTTTCCCCCCATCCCCTTCCACCTCCAACTAACCCCCCCACCCCCGCAGCCCTCCACGAAGCCGAAGTCACGTACAAAACCAACCCGGCGCGCGGAATGCAGTACTATACAGAGTGCATCCAGATCGAAGTGGTGGGCTCAGGGAGCACTCGTCTCCCCGCCGGCGTGTCCTTCCCGGGGACCTACAAGTACACCGACCCCGCCGTGAACTACAACATCTACGGCGGGAACCTCCCCGCGTATCAGTTGCCTGGCCCCGCGGTGTGGAGCGGGTATACCCGTGGAGGCGGGTATGGCGGGTCGGGGTCCGCCACGCTCGCGCCCGGGGCGCCCGTGCAGACGCAGACGCAGGGGAGTCCGGGGGCTACGCCTGCTCCGACGGGTGCTGCGCCTGGTGCTGGGGATCCTGTGGCGAAGTGGGGTCAGTGCGGTGGGAATGGTTGGACTGGGTCCACGGCGTGTGTCGCCGGAATCAGCTGCGCGAAGGTTAACGACGTAAGCCATCCCCCCCAGCCCTGCTCCTGAACAACAGACTGACAGTGGTGCAGTACTACTCGCAGTGCCAGTAAATCCAGTAAATCCAGTAACTCCTGGATGAATCTATTTTTTATACATATTTGCCTGTTTTATTTCTCTTATATGTACTCCACCTTATGTATTCTACTTGTACTTATTGTTAGGATAGCCAGCCGGTTTGTGTGGCGGCAGAGTCGAGAGCCGAGAGTCGAGATGTTGCTGGCAACTCTCCGTGTGTATGTACCTGTATGCAGCAGAATCGAAACTTCGTTGCTGCAATGCTACACTGCAACCTGCGGGAGGCGCTTTTTGATGGTATTCTGTGAAGACTGACGACAATATGTTTCCCACCGAGTGAGATCTGCTGCTCCTGAGCCTTGCGGAAGGTTAAGCGCAAAAGCGTAGAGTATCGAGTTCCAAGCCGCCAAAATAGTACTACGTATAGAACCCGATAGCTGCCGAGACTCGTTTAGTCCTGCGTGGCTGAATAGGGGTGGCGGAGATAAAGTTTCCCGCCGAGTGATATGCTGCTCCTCAGCCTTGCGGAGGCTAAAGAAAGGTGAAGGGTGAAACGCAAAAGCATAGGTATCGAGTTCCAAGCTGCCAAAATTGCTTATAAAACTTGATGGCTGTCGAGACTCGATTGGTCCTGCGTGGCTGAATAGTGGGTGGCAGAGATGGAGCTGCCGAGGATCCGCGGTGGGTGGACGGGGCTAAGTGATGGACTCGTCACTCGTCACTCGCGACGGTGTTGAATGGATGCGATGTCGGGGATTGTGGAGATGGTCCACAGAGACCCGGTGAGGGGCGGAGGAGGTTTGTAATACCTAGCCGATGGAGCCTACCTATTGCCGTACCTAGAACAGCAGTTGTGAACACCTACATATGCACATACATCTTTACGATCAGACGATGTCTTTCCTTTGCTTTTCTTTACGGCGAACCCCCAATTCTATTATCATACACACAATCCACGAAACCGCCACCCTAAAATCTAATCCGACCCGAAATCGACAACCCAAAAAGCCGCATGCCCATCTGAATTCGCCACCTCGTTCGAGCCTTTAAACACAACCCACCTCTCATCCCTCACCGCGCCTGCCAGCTGCATTCCCACCGCCGGAATACGGCAACGGCTCGGTTGCACTTCCATTTGCACTTCCACTTCCATAGCCGCGCCCTGCTCTTCCTCCCCTGCCGGCGGCGGGAGCACCCTCCGCCTCGCGTACTCAACCGCACCATCGTAGCAGACCGCGTCGATCTGCACTCCCTTCTCGGACGGGGAGAGGACTATGCAATCGCCATGGTGTCCGAACAGCTGTGTTGCCTGGACGTCTGTCCTTCCGTACGTGATGGCCTCGTGCAGCTCTACAGCGGTGGCGCTAAGGATACGGATCTTCCATGATTTTGCGGCGGAGTCGTCGATGATCGAGAGCGTGTTGGTCACTGATGAGAAGGCGAAGTGCACCTGCGGTGGGGACGTTGTGGGGGGCTGTAGTGGTATGTTTTGCTGCTGTTGGTGGATGGGAACGGTGGAGAGGAGTGTGCCTCCCGACGGGATGGAGAAGAGGCGGATATTATCGCACGTTGCCACCGCGAGGATCTCGCTGTTGGGCGTGATATAGCTAGCTCGGGTACCCCACAGGCGGTACTCGATCCCGCTGAGTACCGTAGTTGCCTCCCCCGTCTTCAGGGAGAGGAGATGGAGAACAATTGTTCTGCGCGGATGGGCGCCATCCGCGGTCGCCTCCTTGTCGTGCACGATGTATCCGGTGTGGGAATCCGACATGTTCTGCGTGACGGCCGCGTGTGCCGGAACCCCGACTTGCCACACAAGGGAAAGATCCGAAAGGTCGTAGAGTCGCATGCTCCACGGGCCGGTGGTGTTGTCACTCTCGTCCGCGTCTCCCGGTCCGGGGTTGAGCAACACCCGCAAGAACCCGCCACCCACCGACAGATCCTGGACTCTATTCACCCCGACCGTGATCCAGCCCCTGCCCGCCTCACCACCACCCAACTTCTGCACCCCAACCCGGTTCTCATCCCGCCCGCACAAGCCCTCATCGAAGACCAACCAGCTATCGGCCGCCACCCAACAGCCCATTCCCACTCCGCCTTTTACCGTCTCAACCCCACTCACCCTCCTCACCCCCCTCTTCGCAGCAGTCCTAAACCCCTCCACGGCCGCCTCAGGAAACCTCTCCCCATCTCTATGCAGCGCCCAAACGCACTCCGCCTCTCGCGCAAACGGGAAGTGGTATCTCAGCGCCAGTGTGTAAACATACTCGCTCGCGAGAATAACGCGCCATGCCTTTGACACGCGTTGGTGTACGAGCACGTCGAGCGGCCTCAGGTGCGCCACGATCTTTGCCAGCACGTGCAGCGGCAGCAGCGCGAACGGGTCGCGCGTCGTCGACGGCCGCGCTTGTGTCGCTTGCAGAAGCCGCGCTGACGAGGCGGTTGTGCCGGAGGAGCGGATGCGTTTGGCCGGGCGCGAGACGGAACTGGGGGAGTGCGCGGCCGGCTGCGTGTTGTCGGGCGTTGTTAAACCGCGCTTTCGCGTCTTGGGTAAAGACGCCAGGATCGTGCTGGTCGGGACGGCGTCGAGACGCACGAGGACCCGCGACCACGGGCCGAGCGAGTGGTTGTTCATCGCTTCCGTTTGTGCGTCGTGCGTGCGTCGTTCCGTGGTGCGTCGTATGTAGTTGCGATGTATGTGTTCAAGCAAACGCGACGTTGTTTGCATCGCGCGCGTCAGAGAAAGGGACCCGTCTGTGGCATTATATATCTACCGGCGGGCGTCTTAAAGTTAGAAAGTTAGGTCATGGCGCCGGCCCCAAGTCGGAGCTTGTGCGGCGCATTCGAAATGACTCGCGCGCGACCTGCGAGACCAGTGCCCACTAGGCTGGGCCGCCGTTACGAGCTATAATGTTTCGAGTCTTCGACGCGTGTGGATGGGCGGGCTGTGTTGTTTTCCAGACCAGCAATTAACTGAAACGAAAACGAATGACTCACAGCAGAGGACAGGCTGTAAATATAGTAGGTAGTGCTGGCCCTGCCGGCCCCTGGGGGAGGACGAAGTTGGAACTTGGTGGGGCAGCAATGCCAACATGCAACGGTAGGCCAGCGGATGACGCGACCGACCGACCGACCGACCGACCGACGCGGTGCTTACGCGTAGATGGAGATGGACGGGCGCGATCTTACGTGACGGCCTGCTGCGCCCACTGCCCAGTAGAATTTTGATACCTACTCTACCTACATATTGGACTTGCCGCATACGGAAGGTTCGGGGGTGGGGGGGTGGGGGGGGGGGGGGGGGTCCAGGTGGAGATTGCAATACACATGTGGCAGTTCCATGGGCGCTCACTCGCCGATGAATACTGGGCATGAGATTCCTCTGTGGTAAGTGGGTGGAGCTGGCACGAAAGGTCGGGAAGTTGGTGGTCGCCATAGTTTGCCTAGTAAAGGCTGCATGCGGCAATAAATTGATGTTCTCTCTCTCTCTGTGGTAAGTGGCAAGTGGCGGGATCGCTCTCGATGAGGTAGTGGGGTTGGATGCAATGATGATTACACAAGAGCACCCGTCTGAGTCGCCATACCATACCGTAGTAATTGTACCGTACCGTATGCGACAATAAATTGAGTGAGTGTGAAGCCTCCATGAGTGTGAAGCCTCCATGAGTGTGCTGAGTGTGTGCAAACTTCAAAGTGCCCCTCCGCCGTGCGCACACGTCAAACGGTCAAAGCCTCCCTGGAACCTTCCACAGAATGCCAAAGTAAGGCCGTAGATGCGGGGGCAAAACAGTTCCTTGAACAGTTCAACTTCTCCGGTGCTCTGTGTAGTATCAAGAGCACCTACATACTCTAGATAGGTACTTGGTATCCCAAACGGGGTTTCCCGTGCTACGGCCTACGGATGGTTACCGACAGACAGACGGCCAGACGGACAGACAGAAAACGATTGACTTCCCGAACTTCAAACTTCAAAGTCCAGGGCCAGTTATAGTAGATGCAGACATCGCACGGACAGGCACGTACCCATACATCCCCCCTCCCCCCGCCCGTTTTGACCCAGGCTATCCCCCCGCCGCCAGTCATCGCGAAAGTTCTAGACCATCCACCTAGACCATCCACCTAGGCCATCTACCATCCACGCCAGGAAGGGTACGATACACGAGCGCTCACGAGACCGATCGACACACCCCCCCTCCCTCCTTCCGAGTTCACGAGAGACATGCTTCAACTTTCGGCCGGACCGTCTTTTTGGCCCTGCAGCGAGAGGGAGGGATCGCTGTGCCCGACCCCGACGTCCGGCCGGACGATCCCGACACGCGCGCCGGGGGGGGGGGGGGGGGCAGAGAGAGACAGCCAGACAGACAGACAGAGAGGGAGGGGGTGAGCCAAACCAAGTGCAGATACCGGACTTCGCACCGGTGGCGGAAAAAGAAGCGAAAGACTCACGGCGCAGGGCGTACGTGCTTGGCGGAATCTGCACGACCAAGACAGACGGTCTGGCCGCTGCTCTGGCGGCAACGGCTGTCTGGTCGACTGTCCAGCGCTACCGCTAGTTGGTAGTTTGTAGAAGTTGGTAGTTGGTACATAACATGGTAGTCTAGATACCTCTGGATAAGTTACCAACCCTGTTCTTTCGCATGCTGGGACATTTCCGATATCCAAGTGATCGCTTGCAAGTTGCAGAAAGTGGGATGGTCCCAGAGTCTCAGACACGAGCGAGAAACGAACGAGAAGAAACAAATAAGAAACAAACAAGAAAAGCCCGACCGACCGACCGTTATCACGCTCGCGATAATATCTGACCCCGCCGAATGGATCTGGCATACAGTACTCTACACACCGGTACGATATATTCACCAGTACGATACGTACCATACATCATACATACGCCAGGTACACCGGGTACCTGGAGGGATGACGGTTGAGGGTTCAGGGTTAAGGGAGGGGGGGGGCAAATCGCACAATATCCATGCACAACATCGATTGCTGACGACCGGCTGCAGTAAACTTGCACACACACACACAGTAAACTTGCACACCCACAGTGCACCCACACGAATTGAACACACACACACACACAGACATCACATCACATCATATGTATACCCAGTAATGTACGGTACATATCGGCAAAAACAAACGAGGTGAGATCGATCTGGAGCGGTATTATGATCTTACAACGTTGGCGAACATTTTTGGCAAGGGGAAGTTTGGAAAGGGGAAGTTTGGACTGATATTGCGGCCTTGTTTTTCTTGCGGGCGTTATGCTCTCTACACGCTTCTCGGCGAGCCCGAGAATCGAGATTCGAGAATTCGTTGGCTCGCTCGCGTAGACTGAGTGCACCACCACCGTCCACTGTCCAGCAGCTTGGTCGTGAGTCGTTCTTCCATGTTTGATTGGGGGATTGTTTGATTGGGTGACTGAGTGACTGAGTGACTGAGTGACTGAGTGACTGGGTGACTGGATGACTGGGTGACTGGGTGACTGGGTGACTGGGTGACTGGGTGACTGGGTGACTGGGTGACTGGGTGATTGGGCGAAGTGTTGTCCTGCCATCTAGTACTGGGTACAATATACACGAAGCGCCATCCACATACTGGTATTCATCTGAAAGATTCCGGTGGGAAAGGACTGAAGATGCACTGAGCAGATTCGCATCCTAGTCAAGCGATCGTGGTAATACCTATCCTGCTGCTGGCCACTATCGATACCGGCTCCCGGACGATGTCGCGAAGTCACGGGTTGCCAGGTAGACTGTGTAGGTACCTGATCTGAGCGATGGTCCTGTGGAGAGGAACTGCGATCTGGCGGGCAAGGGAAGCATTGGTTCCCACTGCCCAGCGTGGGAGAGCGTGTAGTGAAGCTAAGTGAACGGCCCGGGCCGGATCGAAATGTGCGATGGCGGGTTCTGTCCGGGTGGGCCGGTGAGAGCCGGTCTCGTGGCGGGGGTCGGGATCGGTCGGTCGGATTGACATCGACGGTTTTTCTTTCTGGCAGGGGCAGAGTCGCGCTGTCGGACCGAAGACGTTCTCGCGTTTTTGCCGCCAAAGCAACTCGTCGACGTTGTTGCTTTCTGCATCAGCGTCAGCATCAGCATCAGCTTCCGCGCTTGTTCCAGAACGCTTTTTTTTATGCTGGGGGTGGGGGAGTCCGGGGGGGGGGGTCCATGCTTGAAAGTTGGTGGGAGGAGGAGCCTGGACGAAGAGGTGGACATGGACATGGGAGGGATTAGCTTGTGGGTTGGCGCTGGGTGTGACAAGAGGTTGGGCGCGTGTGGAGTTGAACCGTGCTTTGCTGTGGTTGATGTGCTTGCTGTGCTGCGATGCGATGTATCTTCAAGGATTCGGCAGGAAGTTAGGTATCGAGGGGGGGAGGCAGAGCGAGAGAGTGCGTGCGGTTTCTACTTCTGCAGCCAGCAGGAGATGGAGATGTGGCAAGGTCTCTCTCTGTCTGCTCGCACTCATTGTTCGCACTCTCTGCCCGCACTCACTGTCTGTCCGCACTCTCTCTCTGACCGCACACTCTCCTCTCTCTCTCTCTCTCCCGCCTCTGCTCCCCCGGTGACAGCTGGTCCTCCGCCTGACTGCGCTGTGCACGGGTGTACAGCAAACCGCATCTTCACGTACATACGCACATACTTAAAGGCCGCCGATCACAGCGAGAAAGCCGGCAACAAATTATATTGCCGTGGTGGGAGCGAGATCACACCGACTACATCATTCTATCTCCACTGCACACTTCACTCTACATAATACCACAAGACTTGCGAACCCACCTACCCCACAAGCACTTGCCGCCTTCGCTATCGACAACCTTCTCTGGCTGCCGCTGCTTGCTTGAAATACGGTTGCTGGCAAAAAGCAGAAACAAGGATACCACCTGGCCATCGGTGGCTACGAACTACCCACGACGTAGAGTCCTCTACATACTTTCGGAACCTGAGGGCTGGCGAGAAACGGACGAAGCGACTAAGCCGGCAACGACAATAACGACAACGACGACACGACGACAACGACAACAACGACTACGATCACGACAATCCCCCGTCCGGGACGAGACCTGCCGTGCTCGAAACCAATTCTCTTTGTGATCCGACGAGGGATCGACTTGAATCCGAGTCCCGCCAGCGTGTGCGCAACTTGAGTCTTGCACAGCAGCAGCCGCCGCAGTGGCAAATACAACGAACTAGAGTGCTCTACTTACATACCTGTGGGTACCTACCTGCTCCGTCTGCCCTTCTCCGCCTTCTCCGCCTTCGACTGCTCCTCCTCCTGCTGCTGCGACTCCTGCTCCCCCTCCTTCTCCTTCGCCAGATTGACATCAACACCACTACCTACTGCCACCACCACTGCCACCACCACCACCGACATCCACTCCAGTCTGTCGTTTACCGCCGAAGAATCTCGCACCGCCACTCTTTACTGACCATCCCACTCGCTTCACATTCAGCTCGCGCACTGTCGACTTTGAAATCTGAACGGCGTCGTCGGTGAGGCTCCGCGAACGAACGACGTAGTCTCTCATCCCACAATAGAATAGCAAAAGCAAAAAAGCAAAAGCTGTGTACGAAGAAAAAAGAGGAACAGGCATCCCAAGTGCAGGAAAAGAAAAGCCACTTCTCACGCCCAAGCCTCGATCCCTCACGGTAAGGCAATTAGTCGTTTTCCACCAGAATACCTCCCACCCATCCCTCCTCCCCTCCGTCCTCGCACTCGTTCATAACTGCTAGTTACGTCTCTGATCTCGCTGTGTCAATTCAAAGACTCTATCTCCCCCGCTATCCCCCTCGCAACTCCATATCCCCCACAAAGATCGCCTCCCGACCCGACGCGTCGTTGCGAACAGACCGTCTGCTGGCCCCCACAACAGACCAGCCCCATCTCCGAACGAACCCGCCACTTCGGCGAACACCCCATACAAAAGCCACCATTTTCTCCACCGCAGAACTGGCTCCGTTTCCCTACACGCAGGTCCGTCGAACGAGCCTGGATACCGTTCCGCCTCTGTCACCGGGAGCAAGCCGACCCCAGAGAAGGAGGGCCTCCGTGCCCCGTTCTCCATCGCGTCCGAAGGCCGCGAGACAGCACGCTGCGGTGGCGGTGGCGGCGGCGACATCAGCGGCGGCGACATCAGCGACGGTGACGACAGAACCCCCGACGCTACAGTTCACGACGCATTTCGAAGATGGCGACCGGATTTCGGATGCGACGCTAGGTAACGACAAGTTGGCTACGGCTCCGGATTCTCGTGGTGTTGCCGACCGGGGGTCTCCGGCCTTCCAGGTCATCGTCCTGGTAAGTTTTCATTTTCGTCGCCCTTTTGTTTTTTTTTGTCGCGTGCGCGCGTCCGGTTGTGTCGAGAGTTCTTTCGATGGTTCCTTGAAAGGAAGAAAGAAAAAACACAATCTGTGCGTGCATGCTCTTTATGTAAGTTGGCTCGCAAGGCAGAAACGCAATATCTGACCGTCGACTTTGTTTGGTTCGGGTACATGCAGGGATCTGGGGGAGGTCCAACCGAAGGCAACTGTTCTGGCTATCTCCTACGTTCGACGTCAAAACGATGGGCAAAGAACTCGATTCTGGCCGTCGATGCCGGAACTCATCTCTCTGGCATCGTAAAAATCCTCGACGACCATGCACCCAACCGGAAAAACCCGGAGGCCTCGCCGTTCGAGGGTGCCCCGCTACCTGGAGCAAGTTCGAAAGTCAATGCCGCATTCATCACTCGAGAGCTCGTATCGACATATCTCCTCACCCACTCACATCTGGACCACCTCTCCGGCTTCGTGATCAACACAGCCTCCTTCTCCAACACCGCCCAGCCGAAGCGAGTGGCTGCCCTGCCGCACGTGATCAACGCGTTGAAGACGCACATCTTCAACGACGTCATCTGGCCTAATCTGTCGGACGAAGATGCCGGCGTGGGACTCCTCACGTATCAGCGGATGCAGGTGGCGCACACGTATATTCCCGTCTCCGATGGATTGAGTGCGCAGGTGTGGGCGGTCAGCCATGGCCACTGCATGAAGCTGCACACTCACTGGGGAAGGAAGAGCTCCGCTGGTCTTCCCTGTGATGGAGCTCATAGCGGTCACAATCACCAGGCGCGATGGTGCGTGCTCGATTCTGCGGTCTTCTTCGTTCGGGATGACACCTCTGGCCAGGAGGTCATGATGTGGGGTGATGTTGAGCCTGGTTCGTTTCCGCCCTCTGACCCCACGTGTTCGCGCATCGTCACTAAAAAAATGATCGCCGCTCAGACTCGGTATCCCTGGACCCCCGCAACCTCCGTGTCTGGCAGGAAGCAGCACGGAAATTCCACGCCGGCTTCCTGAGCACAATCTTCATCGAATGCAGCTACGTCAACTCGCAACCCGACTCACAGCTCTACGGCCACCTCTCACCGCAGCACCTGATGACGGAACTCAAAGTGCTCGCCGAATTCATCGTCTGGCTACGCAACGGCGGCGACCAACGCAACGACAAGAAGCGCAAGCGGCTCAGCAACGGCTACTCGAACGACGATCCACTGATCGAAGGCCGGCGGCGGAACAATCCCAATCCGCCCAACACGGTCCGCGAAGAGGACGAAGAGGACGTTCCCCCGCCGTTCGGAAACCTCCTGCCGGACACGCACATCATGACCGACAATGTGAATCTGGACGTTAATCCGATCGCTGGCTTTCCCGCAGTCAACCCGTTTGGCGACCTGCGGCCGCTGGAGGGCCTGCAAATCGTCATCACCCATGTTAAGGATACCATGGGCGAGCTCGACGATCCCATGCTCGTCCTGGCGGACCTGGAAAAACTCGAGAAGGAGGCGAATCTGGGCTGCACGTTTGTGCTCGCTAGGCAGGGGGGGAGTATATATTTCTAGTTTCTTGAGTATCTTCAATTGCTTTCTGGGTGGTTCGTCTGTTTTATTTTTGATTTTGTGGGTCTGAATCTTTGCAGCGGGGATCGGGGATCGGGGATCGGGGATTATTTCGTTTCTTGTTTTCTTGTTCTACTTGCTTTACACGATTGTTGTAGACCGGTTTGCTTTTTCCGGATTGGATTGGATTGGATTTGTTCGGATTGCTTCGGATGGGAAGGGATGAAATGGATTGGATGGACTGGGCTGGGATCGGGCTGGATTAACGGAGTTGCGTTCTTTTGCCTACTTTACTTTACTTTACTTACTTTACTTAACTTGATATGTGGTTTGCTGGGTTTGGTCAGTGGCCAGTGGTGAGGGTGGGGGTGTTGATAATACCACACTCACTACACTGAAGATTGTACGATATTGTTGTCGAAGGAAATGGGATGGGGATAATGTTTTGATCCGACGGTGGTGCACATTCGTTTCTCTAGCACAATAGCAACGCTGTGTGTGAACTCATCTATTTTTTCCTTGCGTGCCTTTTGCATTCACAGTTCCTGATCCGAGACCGAACTGCGTGCTTGCTTGCGTGGTATGTGACATGATGTATCATACCAGTACATATGGTATCTCTGTCCGTCCCCATCCCCGTCCCCCTCCTGTCGTTGCTAGCCCTCCCGTCGTTGCCATTCCCTTCCCCAACCCGTATGAAAAATATAAAAAAAATATAAGAAAAAGAAAAAGAAAACTAAAAAGAGCACGAACAATCAATCAATCGAAAAGAATACCGCGCCCAACCTTGAAATGAAGCCCAGAAAAAAATAAAAATTGTAGGAAACGAATACTACCCAGAAAAAATAAAAAATCAAAGTTGACACCAAACCGTATACACAAATGCAATCAAGCCTGTCGAAGAGTCTCGAAGAAACAAGTTCAGAAAATCTCCGCCTGCCCCTCCTGGACCTGTTCATTACAGCACATCCTACAGATAGCGAAGCCACACCTGCCGCCCTTCTTCTCATCGCGCTCTCTTACACCTCCAAGTCTCGCATTCTCCGGTGCGGCCTCAGGCACGCCGTCCTCGCCGTCGAGACACACCCACATATTTGCGAACGGACCCTTGAGGCAGAAGGCGCACTTCTGCGTGGTCCCACCCTTGCGCGGCTTCATGCGGTGCTCTTTGCACTCGCCCACGCCGTTCTCGTCCTCCTCGCACGTGCGGATAAACAGCGTGCCGGGCGCGTGGTGCATGCCCTGCTTCTCCTCGGCGGTGAGCGGCTGGGCCTTGAGGATTACGGACGCGCGGTTGGGGTTGGAGGAGGCGGGAACGGCGTCGGAATCGAGCATTGCGCCTGGGCGCGACGTGCCGTTGCTGCCTGAGCGGCCGATAATTGTTGACGAGACGGCGGCGGCACGGATCGCGCTGTTCCAGCGCGCTTTGCTCATTTCCGAGCTGGTGCCGCAGCCAAGCGGGCCCGAGACTTCGGTGACGGGGGAGTTGGCGCCGCTTTCGTGATCAGTGCCGTCCTCGGGGATGGGCGGTGGGGTTCCGCTATCAACGCTGGGGAGCGGCGCCTTCGGCGGACGGCGAGAGAAGGCACGCTTGAGGCCTTCACCAACAGACTTACTCCTCTTAACGACAGGAGGCGGTGCCAGTCCTCCGACTGTTGCGGAACGCGGTACTTCGGCGGCCGAAAAGGATCTGGCGGGGAGAGCAGGCGGCTGAAGATCCGTATTTACGCGCAAGCCATTGCGCGCTGGGGTACCCGTCGATGGCCGAGGAGCGGCATCATCGAACCTCGAGAGTGCTGCAACGCGGTCGTTCTGCGCGCGAGAGGCAGTCTTGGGACGGACCTGCACCTTGGACAGAGACCGGTCCACGTCGAATGGTGTCGGAGAAGCAGATCGCGACAACGGTGATGAGGGGACAGACTGGTTGTTGTTGCCCATTTGCGAGATACTGTCGTCAGGACGGATCACAGAGAAGTCATCCCGGATGAACGAAAACGCTGACCCGGAACGGGCATACGGCGACGTGGGACTCTGTTCCATGCGCATAGACCGCTCGGAACCGGAGTTGTTCCGTGACGGGGGATTCGATGCGGCCTCTTCTTCCGTGATCGGTGGTGCCACCGGCTTGGGCTTGAGTGGTGTGCCACCTCCCGGTCGAGATGACATGGTTGCTGTTCGCAGCATCATCCTTGGACTTCCAGGACCGAACGGGGGTTTCCGCGCTGTCGGTGAGCGGTTGTACGTCGGGCTGATCGGGGTGGTTGGAAGCATTGGAGATGTGGCGGCACTTGTCGGCGCGGTGCTGATTGTGGGTGATGGCCTAGTAAGCATGGTAAAGCCCGTGCTGCTTGTGGTATCTGTGAAATGCGAATCGTGTTTACCGGTCCGTGGCTGAGCAGGCTCGGGCATGATGCTGTCGTGGTGGATACGCGAAAACGTAGTCTTGTGAGGATCCGGAGTGGGAGGTTCATGCGTGAAACTCGGAACCGCGGAACCAACTTCGGTGGTTGTGTCCAGGAACACTGGTACCTCTTCGGAAAATTTCCTCGGCCCTTGCATGTAATCTTGCTGCCTCACAGTCATATCACTTTTATGTGTACCCACTATACCCGGATGTCCCCTCAGCGCAGAGAAAGAGTACCCATCGTCGGCAGGAGTGGCAGGCGTCTCGGGCGTTACATTCCGATGCGAGCTTCGGGTTGATGAATGTTGACTCGACAACCCCGGGTTATCCGACTCGGTCGCCAAGGTCGCATTGTCGGACGATTTGTAACTGGGTCGCAGTGAAAGATTGCTCGCCGAGCTTGCTGCCGAAGGGTAGTAGCTCCAGTCATCGACCTTTCCGTGAACCTCCTGCACTTGATATGTGGGCCGAGTATCGTGTTCAACGTCAAACCGCGCCATAATGTCATCCATCTCCGCTCCGATCTGTTGCTGACTTGTCGATGTCGCCGTGGCGGACCCGGAGAGTGCATCCATGTTCATGTCTTTCATGCTATCCAAGCTTGGAAGTTGAGGGATTTCATCTCTACTCACATCCCTTGATGGGCTGGTGAGCGCCGCATCCTCTGGCAGTGTTTCTTCGCGAGGTCTGTTTCCAGCACCCACAAGCGTACGCAGCCGGGTGGAAACCTTTCTGCTGAGTGACCGCTTCGGCCCCGAGGGCACTCCCCCGGTGGGCTTGTCATAGAAATCGGGCCCACGCTGCACCGGCTGTAGCTTACCAAGGTAGGCGGGCAGGTTATGGTGCTCAGGGGACTGGGGTGCTGAAATAGCAGGCCGGCCCCTTGCACCCATCACCGGTGACGGCATGGAAAAGTCGATGAATGTGGTATCTGTCGGCTCGGTCGGGGTTTCCCCAACAAGATTGAATTCCAGGCCGTGCGAGAAGTGTGTTGAAGTCGGGCCGGAAACCGGTGACACTGGCGACACGGGCTCGTCCTGCGGCGCAAAGTTGTATCTTCGAGGCGAGGGCAGCAACGGCGATACCGGCTCTTCGGGCCCTGAATCAAAGGCCTCAAAGTATTTTGCCGTCTCCGCCTGCTGAAGTTCTCTAGCTGGTTGAATATCTAATTTCAATGGGCGGTGACGTGTCTGCTCGGTTTGATAGTAGGATAGGGTGAAAGGTTGAGAGATGGCTAGGGGACCCTCGATGGAGTTGGCAGAGGAGTAATCGCTGGAGTCGGACCCGCGGCTTTCCGTCGCAGACCTCACAATTGCTAGAGGTGTGTTTCCTCCTTGAAACCGGTCAACGGTAGGGAGCCCTGAATCCTCTCGCTGGGTTTGTCGGCCACGGGCGGTATATTGGGTCGTCGGAGAGTAGGGCTGGTATGTTACTGGGCTCTGGGTTCCCGGCGTGCTGCTACTGCTGGCGCCCGTCCGAAGCGTCAAATGCGACTGCTCTTGATTCCGCGTCCTGACGGTCGGATTCGAAGAAGTCGATGAAGAGTGTGAAGAAAAGGAAGGGACAACAAAGTGCCCTACTTCATCAGGGTCGGGAGTGACGGCCGGGCGGGAGAAGTTTCTGCGCTCGCTGCTACCCGATTGCTCGGGCGAGTAAGGCCTGGGGTAATGTCTAGTTTCGTCAGACGCTGTCAGACCACAATAGGGGGCACTGCAATCGTACTCTTGGTCCTCCCGCTCCCCATTGTTTCCGTCCCACTCCGAAACGTACTCATCAGATGCGGTCGTCGCCAGTCTTCCATCGTTGTCACCATTACCCCTGAGATACTCCTGCACTTGGTACTGGTCATCCGCGCGGCTTGGCCGAGCCGGTGCACCTGGTTGGTGGGGTCTTGGGTCTAATTTCGATGTGTAGTACTCGCCACCATTGAGCTCAGCCCCGCCAGCGCTCGCCGTGGCGGGATGCGCGGGTTCCCCCCTGTGAACCGGCGAAACGCCTACAGCTGCGAGCGGAACACGTCCATCCTGAGGGGAGATCTTGAGATCGATGAAAGAGCCATTGATGTTGATGGGCTCAAGAGGCGTGGGATTTCCAATCCGATCCTTCAAGTTTCCAACCTTTCGATGTTTCGACTTGGACCGGCCCCAGAGAGAGTTCATCCTCCACGGTGGCGGGGGGAGAAGGGGTGTGTTTCGAAAGTCGTGGGTAAAATTGAATTTGCCAGGTAGCGATTATTGAAGGGCGATGAGAGCTCGTGGCCCGAACAGCTGAACAGGAATCGGCGGATATTATTGGACAGAGGACGGACGAATTATTCCGATGCGACAAGAGGGAATGTGTGTAACTGTGAAACAGGGCTTTTGCGGGACGTAGCGGCGGGCTTGCCTGGGGGATTTTCTTTCGTCGCGTCGATTCGAATACTATCTTGTATGTGTATAAATTACTGTGTCCGTCAGCTACACGAACTGAGGCCTGAATGTTCCTGGACGCGGCCGTGTCGAGGGAGCTGGGAGTTTCGATCGTGGCGGAGGTAGGGCAGGCGACAGGACAGGGCTAGCAAGGGCAATGTTGGTACATGGAAGGAGTTCGTTCTGGGCTGTAGGTACCTACCTCAGTCGATTCGCATCCACCGGCAAGCTGAAGAAGCGAGTGTGATGGTGAGAGCGGATATTTTCGGAATCCGATAGTGTTCTGCTCAGCACCGTACGGCAAAAAAGGAGTGAAATACAATAACGAGTGTGATTTCCGCGACCGACTGAACGACTGAACGACAATGGGGGGGGAGAGGAGGGAGTGTTAGGATCAGGAGAAGGGGAGAAGGAGGAGGGCAGATAGGTAGTTGGGGTAGGTGGGCAGTTGGAGCAGTGGCGAGGAGGACGGAGAAAGAAAAGTACGTGGGGATCTCGGGCAGGCCTGCGATGGATGCATAGCCAGGGATGGGGGGAGTTCAGGAACCAGGGCAGCCACGACGAAGAGGTTAGACGCAGGCCCATTCCGAGTAGACGCACGGCCTCATCTTCACCCCCGGACCCTCACCGGGCTAAACAAAGCAAGCCGTAAAATACATTGTATCATTGTATAGTGTGTACCTTTATTTTGGGCCGCGATGTATTTACGGACAGAAACAACGGTGAGAATTAGAAGCATCATCCACCAGAGCGGGCACCGTAAATAGTTGTTTCGGTCGGTTCGTGGGCGTCCCTCGGGCTTCATGCGGCGAAGGTCGCATGGAATTATCTTTTGCCAGGGCAGAGAGACACGGATGCGGAGAGTAGCGATCTTGGAGACGCTATTAAAAACCGGATTGGTTAGCTCAGGAGCGTCGAGCACGCTACATAAGGCGTTGAGCTCGAGAAGGACATGGTGGAAGACATGGTTGAACGAACGCTGGTGTGCCCGGCGCAATTTGGAGACACTGTATGTGGCGCAGCGGCCAGATGAACGTTACATTCGTGCGCTTTCGTGTCCGAACATGAAGAATACGCGCAGCCGGACGGCCCAGGCACAGAACCGCGGCAGATGAGGAGCAGGAGAGGAGTGTGCTGGCACTCCTACGGTGGCTTGGATGCTCGGAGTGGTCAGAGAAGTCTCGGAACGATCTCGGAAACGTTTTCGAAGAGTCTCCTGGAACCCGCGGTACTCTAGCTTGAGATGCTTGGAGTGATCACAGAAGTCTCGGAACGATCTCAGCAGAGTTTTCGAGGAGTCTCCTGGAACCCGCGGTATGCAGATGCAAGCAGTCAGGCTGGCAGGCGTGCCTCTGCACGGGAATCAGCTCTAGTAGAGAAGGGTTAGAGCAACTTCTCTACGATCCCGAGTGGGAACGATCACGAGCTCCCTTGCCAGTTGGAGTAAAGTCAAGACGCACCTCGTTAGTTAGGGCTGTCTTCGGCCAGCTCTCCTTTGCCACAATCCGTTCAGGCGAGTCACCGCCAGGTAGGTTCTCGTACTTGGTACTCAT